CTCTCAGCCCGAAGAGAAAACTCTAAAACAGAAACATATAGAGCTGAGCCGAACAATAACGAGTAGAAAGCACAAAATACTTCTTATAAGGTACCAGCGTGAATTTTAATAGCTACTTCTCCACGCGTTCTGCTAACGGTATCTATTTGATAAATCTGCCGTGCACCTTCTAAATAAATGCATCCTCTGCTTCTGTAGTTGAACAGTGCTGGCATTTGTGTTGTCATTTCCGGCTTGCAAGGAATGCTCTTTCAATCAGTGAACTGAACGATAATCGTGGTGTCTATATCTCGGTTTCTATGGAACAGACTTATTTCATAGATGTGCCCAAAGAGTTTGGGGCGTTTTGAGTTCTTATTCAAGGATCCACTGAGTTCATGAGTGTTGCCAAGTTATTATTGAATGCTTGTCATGAAGAAAAACGATTTCGGGAAAAAAGTGATCGCATCTATAGACGACGTTGTGGTTGCAGAAAGTAAAGTTTCAAATTCCCCGTTTTCCGGTCGCCTGCTTTGTGGAATGGTACTCCACGCAGGATGGGAGGTCAAGTAGCTTCGTTACACGACGCCCTTCGGCAGGCAAAGTGTTTTTACTCAAATTTACGAAAATCTAGAGTAAATCTAATTGTTAAAACGCTTTTCTTAGGCGGAGTTAACGCCACTTTTTGACGGTGACTGCTGAACAAGCTATACATGATTCTTTATGGATGCAAGCCTAGAATACCCTTCACTTTCTTTTTTAACATGCTCTGAGCATGACCATATGTGTTGTCCCTAAGTACAACACTTTCAAGAAAGAAAGAAAGAAAGAAATGTCAAGGATAGTTGATCAGGAATGAAGTCAGCTGCACAAACTCTTCATTATGCATTTCCATTCTTATACAACCCCGTTATTCATGCTAGCGGCAATTTTTTTAGTGAGGTGATTAGAGTCAGCTCTGAGAACCACCTGTTTTAGTCGTGCGTATCACACTTGAAACCAGGGGTAACATTCGTATAATCCAAAAGATAATTTATAAGACTTGTACAACCCTTTCCTATGCATTATTTCCTATGTTTTTATGAATAACTGGATCAGAAGTACAACCACACAAATACGAAATACGAAACGCTGCCGGTGGTTTCAATTAGAACGTTAAGTCTCAATTATTCTTTCTTTTCTTTTGCTTCCCATAAAAAAATGCAATTGCCCTGAACCTTCCGATTTACGATCACAGTTGAAGAGTACACGAACAAAATGGGTCAAACGTCTTTAAATGTCATGATAGAGAATAGCTTTTTTATCGATGTATACTTGTGAGATAATATTATTTAAATTTAAGAATAGAATCATTAATCGAATTCCACGATCTCTTTCAACGATAATCATACTCATTCATATGGTCGAGACCGTGTTATAGTTTAACGTGCTGATAACCAGTTGATACCCGCAACCTTTCAGATTTGCTAACTTTTTTCCCTTTTCAAAATCTCTAACTTAAACAAAAAGCATCGTTTGCTTTTGTGATTGAAGTGTCATAAATGGCAACACTTGAATTGTCCTGAATACAGCATACAGACATAATCCTGTTCGGCCGCCACTGAATTCAGCTACACCGTACTTGAAATTTCAGAAAATGTTATCACCTTAACTTCAGCCTAGGTTAAGTTTTCAATACTCTAAAACTTTGGCCACTTTGAGCTTCGATGTTCTGAGACAATGAAGACTAAAGCATCCTTGGAGGCTGTCAGGTGATACAACGGATTAATTTAATTCAATTCCCAGAGGTTCCAACTCAGTAGTCATCTTTCCATTCAAGTTGCCCGGACGACGGTCTGATCCTTTACTTTCACAATATAGGGAATTCAACAATTCGCGACTTTCGTAAGTCGATGGAATGTTTCAGCAAGCAAACGAAAAGGTGACGAAATATTACGAAACGATATCGATCAAAATAACGTCATACTGTAGTACACTCTTAAGCCAAAAGTTGATTCACGGATCATCAATGTAAACAGAAAACTTAGTTTGAAGTGAGTGTTAACAACCAAAGAAAACAAATATTATCTGTAAATAACATAAAACTTGTATTGCTATGGCTTCAATACAATCATGAAATGCTTCTTTAGAAACAAGCTGACACGAATCGAAGAAGCAAACGTGACCGTAAGCCCAAACTGCTTCGTGACCGTAAAGTAATTTCATTCAGTCAGAGATTACGCTCGTGCTGACACGACGCCACCAACGGATTGCAAAACACTTTGGTAAATGCGTGACTTAAGAATGCTACGTTTGTGGGTGTGTCAGTGCTCAGACGTGTAAGGGTAAAGTTCACGTTTACTCAGTTACAGTAGTTATGTTGCGCAATGTTGTTCAGTCACGTCATTCGCTAGTCGTTTCTAGAATAATCTGGACACGCATGAGAGAGCTTGCGGACACGCACCTCTCACGCGTGCAAAGGAAGTTTTGATCACAAAAACAGGCGGTTTGCCTCTCGATTTCCTTCTTTGAGTTATTTATTTTGCCAAAGAAACGTTACGACTCGCAATGATTAATTCCTGCGTTCTTTCTAATGTATTCTCTCCTTTTCTTACATATATATATCTAGCAATAAGAAAACAGAACGCTTTAAAAAAGAACAATTGTCTGCCTTTCATGTATATTTATAGTTAATTTTTGTCTGAAAATGCGACTGAGCTATATTTACCTCTAAGAAATGTCTTCCAAAAATCATTCCTTTTCTAGTTTCCTTCAAAATGTGTAGAAATTACATTATAAGCTAAAACACAAGAGATGTGTTAATCATAGCACTCTCGTTTTTCCTTCCTCTTTTTCAGGGGTGCATAAAAGTTATTTTAACCAATATGGTAATAGAATACACGGTCTCCTGCCGGAAAGGAATCTCGGGATTTCTTAGCCACAATGATTTTTTTTAAAATAAGTAATAATGAGAAAAGCTAAACTGCTTCTCGACAACCATCTTGACAAATCAAGACAGATACTTAAGTGTGAAGTAAGGTAAAAGGTTTTACCTAAAAAAAAAAGACTAAAAACTGTTTTGCTGGAACATGAAATCTTTATCACTTTCTTGAACTCTCTAATGGGAAAAACTCAGACAAAACCAATTTAATATTTAAATGTAAATACATTTTCAGAACGAAGATGGTGGCAAAAATGACAAAAATAATACGAACGTTTTCTTTATGTTCCGCGCACAGTTCAAGATCTAGAGGACGTTTTTTTTTAATCCGACTCAAGTTATGAACGAATATTCTACCGAAAACTTTTGACGTACGGGCTCGGCACTGGTTCCGGAAAAAACGAAAAAAATACAATATGAATGATAACTGCTACAATTGAATCACTCTCGTTAGCATCAAAGGAAAAACTTTAAAGCAAACTGCTGTTTTTTTTTTCGGGATGCAAACGACAAACTGGAAAGTAGACTTTAACCTTCCTGATTGGAAAATGACAAGGAAAACAAGTAAATGTGACAAAAAAACCTCGATCTCGGCAATATGTATCGTTGCAAATTTCGCTTTTTCTAGAGTCGTTTGCGTTGATAAGCCGCCACCCCGAAAGCGGCGGATCTCCAAAAACCTGATAACAATAAACTCAAAAACATCCTTCATATCGTTCCAGAATTTGAATTGCAAATTCAGTCTCCCTTTCACTGAGGTGGCAAAATCGACACATTTTTGAACGACATAACACGATTCCCCATAGCTACCGCGCTTCTTTTAAGTAACATCTCAAATCCTCGAGCTCTCTTCAAATTAGCCGTATAAAGCAAAATGCCAAAACCGTGAAGTTTTCAAATGCGATGTCATCAGTCCCTGTTTCATCCGCTTTTGCTTCGCTTCCAAATTCTATGAATAAGTAATAGGTGTCAAGTTAATGATATCTGTGTTTTTCACCTGCTCCAACGGGTGAAATGGGGATTCGCAGCAAGCATTTGACGTCAGCCAACGTAATTCGCGAGCTATTTTTATCACGAAACCCAAGCAAAAACTAATGCACCTGCTCCTGTTATTCAGCCTTCGGCAAATCATTCTTTTTTTGTCATGGACACCCACGGCAGCACTAATTGGTGTCCGTTTATAGAAATGGTTTATTTTTAACAAAAATATTTTGGAGACTTCCCAATTTAGAAACTGGGAAAAGGTAGTAATAGTGATAATAAAAACGAAAAACATGTTTTTTTCATAAAGGCTTAATGCGCAGCAAACTCTCTAGAAAAAGAAAATTTAAGTAAAACTATATAAAAAAAAATCCTTTTTTCGACGGCAGATTGTACAATGTTTTATTTAACAGAAAAATCTTCCCAATCTTAAGTGGTTTATTTTACATTTTTCTTTAAATAAGATAACCCAGTAACAAGTGATAAATTTTTAACGATGGGTTTTTTCGCAAATAAATTATGAGGCACGTTCGAGGAAGCCGAATTTTGAAGTACGGGCACAAGACCATTCAAAAATTGAGCAATATTTAAAGTTGGTAACCTAACCCTCAAAATATTTGCATGAATTTGTCTAGATAATTCGTTTCTTGTCACGGACGACTGACTAAGGGCCCAACAGCGAATGAACGTCATAGAGTAAACAATAATTGAACAATTGTACAATATAAACTAGGGTGACAACCGATGACGCGTATGCAAATTATCAACTAGCATTTCCGTAACGCCAGAAACGAAAACTCTCGACTCCATTCGCTTTGTCGCCTAGCAATTCTATGTTTTTCGATGAAAGAGGATTCTTAGTGGAGAATTAAAGTCATTTGTTTCAAATTCCGGGCGAAACGAAAATGTGCCGAGAGTCATTTTTCGATCAAACCGCTTGACGATACCGGTTATTGATAAACAATACACATTTACGCAATATCTATCTACGTCAAAGCATGACGCACATCGGCTAAAATTAGCACCGAGTTCATTGGCTGCCTGACATTATTGGAAAATTCTCGCACGTCACGACATTTACAAACGAACAATGAATTTTAGATTTAAGGAGTCGCCCACTCGGTTCGTACACAGAATCGTCGAGCTCTACGAAGCGAAGGAGGTAAATCCGACGGAACGCAAACGACCCCGAAGTTCTAAGCCGAGTCGCAGTTATTGCTGGCCAATAACTCGACCTATACCTATACTGTTGATCAGTTTAAACGACAAAAAACTACTTCAAGTTATTTAACCCAACCGTTTGGAGAACCAAGTATTTGTAATTTATCATGATGATTACCATGACTGAAGCTTTGGATAGCCTTGCTCAAGTTGCTACGGACCAACTTTTTGGTTTTGATACCGCCAGTCTTCTCACACCTCAGCTTGCTCGCCAAGTTCCTCAACTAAGCGCCGAGGAATTTTCATTTGTTCACGCCGGCATGGATGAACCAACGAATATTTTTGGTGAGCCGGTTGATTTCCACGACACTTCTGTTCCAGGTACTTAGTAAAACTAACGAACGTTAAATTCTAACAGCCACCGTTCGGACCAAGTTGTCTGTTATCGTCGGAAGCGAATCCACCTACGCGAATCGCCGTGTTGGTGTTTTCAAAAATAAGCGTTGGCTCTGCATAAGACCGTGGGAATTTCTTTCTTTCGAACATTTTTAACCGTCAGTCTCGCTAAGTGCCTTTCGAATCTGTTCGTTCAACTAATTTGTGAAATTGTTCGAGTTCGACAATTTCGCATTACTCTCGTCAAACTTAAGAACATGGGCAACAGTCTTGTGTATCTTTTAGACAAGTGTCTCTCTTTTCTTGTTTAAGTAAGGGTTCTTGTCTGAGTAAGTGAAGATTTAAAGTAATATTTCTTGCGCAACGCGCTCCCTTTAGAGGCAATGTTTAATTTATGATGCCACTCATTCCAATTTGTATGGTTTATTTACATTAGTTCGCTAACACTGATTTTGCCTTCTCGCTTTTCTCAGGAGATCTTGACCTGGATTACACTGTGCCAGACGTAAAGCAGGAGGGTGCAAACCAGTCTGTCAAAGCCTGCCAACAGCGTTTGGCTCACTTTAAAGTCCCAAGTCTACATGATGTGATTTCGGGACCGACTGGATCGACTCCACCACCGAGCGGACACGCTTCTCCTTACAGTTCTCCTGCTCACAATCTGTGGATTCCTGACCGCACAGTTCTTACTCCCTTGATCAGTCAGGCTGGAACTACACCTTGGAGCACATTTTTCTCGGACACAAAGCTTCCAATGTCCCAGGAAGTAAGTTCGGCACCAAACAAGGTACAGACTCCTACTCCACAAGAACTTCCACAAGAGCAGGTGGCAGTCTCAGCAGCAAACAACCCACAGACCAACTTTTACCAGCGACCTATTCAACAACCAGTGAACTCTAATTCACCGATGTTTATGCAAGCTACAGCCACACTGAACATGAAATGGCCAATACTTAGTGGTCCTTCTCCATTTCCTACCACAATGTCTCCAGATCACTCTGCAATGATGGACAAGCTCCTTCTGCACACCACAACTCCTTCTGACTTTCTTACTACGCCACCAAAACCTGTTCAAAGAGGTCGCCCTGCCAAGGCTGGTTCTGCTATACTGAAAGCAAAGCGTAACAACCCTGCTGATGGGCGCTCACGAACACCACCAAGTGAGCGGCCTTATGCATGCCCAGTTGATACATGCCCACGAAGGTTCTCAAGGTCTGATGAACTGACACGCCACATGCGAACCCACACTGGACAGAAACCATTCCAGTGTAGGATCTGCATGAGGAACTTTTCCCGTTCAGACCATCTGACAACTCACATCCGTACACACACTGGTGAGAAACCTTTTGCCTGTGACACATGTGGTCGACGATTTGCACGATCTGATGAACGCCGTCGCCACATGAAGATCCATTTGAGAGAACAAGCTAAAAAAGAGGAGGAAGCCAGAAAAGCCATGGCTCAAAGTAATGGAACTGTTTCACCCATCCAGAGCCGGTCTCCTCAATCAACACCATCACCCCTTCAGGTCCCAGTGACCTCGGTGAACTCTTTTTAAAGTATTTGCCACAAACATTTGACAGTGCAGGCACTGTTTCAACACTACAGTTTTAAGAACATTACGGTTTTGAAGAACTCTTATTATGATAAGTGCCTTATGTTTTGAGGAACATTTGTGTATATTATTTCAAGGAAGAATTTTAAAGGAAGGCTGGTCCTTTGTACAGATTTTCATTATGCAGGTTTTGCAAGGTACTGGAAGTGCCATAATAATGCTTAATGTAAGGTATTTTTTCAGTTATGGAGTTTTATGTTAGCATACAGCTGGTCTCTGTATTTCTTTGAGCTAACATAACCTTCATGAAAACAGTGATCTGTTTCGCTAATTGGTGTTATTGTTTATCAAGACAAAGTGCCCCATGGCACTCTTCACATGCAAATCTAGTTGTATTTATAAGTTGAGAAAATTCAGAATTAGGCTGGTCCTAATGTACATAGTTTTATGTGCAGATCATTCTAGACACTTAGTGTCTTACTAGGCCTATTTTTCATACAAATATGAAATAGAAACAAAAAATACAGCTGGTTTCTGTATACAATTTAACGTAAGATATTTTGTGTAAAGAAGTTAAGTATTGCCAAATTGTTCTCCTTGGTACAGTAGATATAATTATACATAATTTTTTTCATAACTAGAAATCAAATTTACAAGAATTCATAGCTTTTTTTGATATTCATGAGTACTCACATACGGGTTTAACCCAGTTGTATAAACATTTATAGATGTTGACTGTTTATCAAGGAGAATGATTTTTTTCAAAATGTCAGAGATTATAACAAACTAAGTAAAAGTCAAGCTGGTCATTGACTCGATAAACACAGTGCTGGTCACTTAAAGATAATAACAATAAAAGTTGAAAAGATTTGAAGAATTTTACAGTCTGTTTGATGTCCATTTATAAACATTTAAGGGGTCTCAACACAGACCCTATCCTCCCTATCCTCCAGCCCAAATTGTATATATCCTACACCTTCCTACAGAGCTGCTGACTAATCTCTACAGGATTTTTCCTGTATGTTAGTTCCAAAAACTTAAGGGATAATAGTGCACCATTCTCCTCAATCTGTTTTCACTTGTAATCTTTGACCTGACCTTAATCCCTAGCTCCACTTTCAAAACAACAAATAGACTGCATTAAGTCTATTATTGAATTTATGGTTAACAGCTTAACATGATGAAAAATGGAGCAAGAAAGACATCTCGCAAATCTTGCATACCTATCCCAATGAAGTGCTATCTTCTGAAAAGTTTTATTTTCAAGGTTAGGAGAAATATCTAATGCTTTGAGTTGTGCACCTTTGGTTCATTTAGTTTTCATCACTGTTGTAGGTTATAGTTGATCTATAAATTAAATGTAAAGGCTGAACAAATGGCACCATGGCTTGGTTGAGCAGAATGCCCAGATACTGTGTGTATATTTGGGAAGTGGGGGAAAATATGTAATTCTTGGATCAACTTCATTTGCCTTGACATGCTTGTAAAAAAAGTACCTTGAGGAAACTAATCAAACAAGATTTCAACTCTAAAGAGACTATTCCTTATTGAAAAACTTTGAAATTGCCCTTGTATTGATGACTTATTTTTTTCATGACACAATTTTGGCAAAAACACGATTAAGCTGATGCTAGTATATTTCCCTGCTAAAATAAGGTAAGTTTGTGTGTGCATTTCATAGTAATTTGGAATATCTCAACCTCTAACTTGTGTTTCTGTTCAAATGCAAAGTTGTTTAGTATATTCCACATAGGTGAATAGTGATTAGCAAGCACATGTACAAATCAACTCTGAGCAGTTGAAGAGACAAAATCCCGTCTCAACAATTCGATTTCCAACCATTTTACAGTATATTGACAGAAATAAACTAATTGTTTTGGTTTCTGTGGGGTATATCCTAAAACAATTATTCTCTTCAGTGTTGGTGAAAGTGGTGGTTAATTACCTCGATGCTTTGTGGCTCCGTAAATATCCACTATTATTCACCTCCACTTCGGTGAATAAAAGTTAAAAAGCACCTGGTTGTAACAAAGAGTATTTCATACCCAGTCCACATATCCATTTTTCTTTACATGCACCATCCTTTTTAATCCCCATTTTGCAGCTTGGATTTAGTATTACATTAAAGGATATGGTACATTAGGAATAAAACGATATAGGCACTTACCATTTCCGGAAACAGACATAATATGTAGCTTTGAAGAAGTTTCTTTTCACTCAGCTAGAGAACCATTGAAGGCAAAATGGAAATTATGAAAAACAGAAATTATGTAATTGTGAAACAAGCTGTTAACCTGTGACGGTTTTTAGGAAACTTCAAAGAAAAGTGATGGCTCTGAAAGTGATAAGAAATGAAAATAACAATAAGTAAACTTAAAGACAGATTGTAAGAAGGATAGAGAACATTAGAGATACTATGCTGGCCGGGAAGATCACCATTTGAAGAGATGTCTGCAAAAGGTGTCTTCCATCTTCCGTTTGAAACTCCTCATCAGAGAACACAGCTTATGACTCACTCTTTTTGAAGTGATCGGGTCCATACTGTCCTGATCTTCACCTGATATCGCATAAAAATGGAAATTCAGTTCCTTTCTTTACCAAAGAGTCCAAATTTTCATCAGACTTTACAGCTCTTGGAATACGCGTCAAAAGAGCCGCACACTTGTCATCGCGCCGTCGCGACTCGTTTTCGAACCAGCCAATTACATCGCAGAATTTATAAAAAAATTGCCGCCAAATTAAACACCTGATAAGCTTCGTGTTTATTATTACCCATGGTCGCCATGTTGGCCAAGCTGTTCGTAGTGTTGTTGAGCTATCTCCTTCTGGTGTTTCTTGCCGCTCGAATCTTCGAAATTTCATCGACATGGCTGAAAGCTGGTTGTCTGGCTAGTCAGCTGTTGAGTCCGTTCGCTCTGAGTGTTAAAAAACTAAAAGCGATTTTGGAAGAAAGGGGCGTTAGTTACACGGGTTTGGTGGAGAAGAAAGAGCTTGCTGAATTAGTCGAGGCTTGCGGAGCGGTGACAGGGGCCGAAAGCTGCTCTATTAGCACCGAAAGTTCTGGAGAAGACGAAGAGAAAAGTAACGAGCTGCAATTTACTGGAGCATCTCACTTCTTTGAGGAAGTGGAAGATACCAAAGCCGGGACATGGTTGGTTGATGTCATACCTGAAGGTCACTCGTCCTTGCTCCGTAGGAAGCAATGGTTGGTCCTCAAACGGAAGATCGTTCGATTTGGTATTCGAATCGGAACATTTAATTGTGGCAATGATCCGAGATTGTGCATTAAGTATGGCTGGAGGGAGCCGTCCCTCGCTATTTCTATGCCTCAGGGAAATCAACCGAAGGGTAACGTCATTTTAAAAACATACGATTCAAAACCTTCAGTGGAACTGGTGTTCAGGTGGATTAGCAAAGAGCTGTCTTTGAAGATAGAAACATTTGACAGAGTAGAAGAATTTTCCAATACATTTAAAGAGAAAATAAAAGAAAATCCCGTCTATGTCGTATTATTCACGACATTACCAGAACCTCCTTTATACCTTGCTTCCCTTTCAGTTCAGTTTACGGGAAGAGTTCGATTTGGACACGTACGAGTATTCGATTGGACGACAAAAAAACATATCCTGAAAAACTACAACATCAAAAATTTCCCAAGGCTCATGATATTTACATCAGAGGGGAATTTGACGTACGGTTATAGAAAAGGAGAGTGGATAAGATATCATAACCTTGAACTATTCCTAAAAACACTACATCCAGAAGTGAATGATGTATTTGTGACAGTGTTCCTGATGATAAATGTGAGCTGTTGTATGGCTTTATTCATAATAGATGGGGGCATACTGAAAAGATTAATTAACTTCATATGGCTCCTGATATTTTATAATACCAGCCTTATAATTCTTTGCCTTCCAGTCCTCTCAATATTGCAACTACCGTTACTGACTCCAGTTCTGGATTTTGTCCTGAAATACTCCAGATATGCTATGACATCAGATGCTGCAGCAATTATGAGAAATTACTTAGGTTTGGGATTACAACACAAGTGGTTAATGTTTGGGGGATATTTTTGCTATGGTATAATGATATGGTGGGTGCAGAAGAGAATTAGATGGTACTTTGGATTCGAGAGTGAAAGTGACAATGTAACATCAATCACAGAATGGTTTACTCAAGATCTTCACTACTTTACAAATGTTGTACAGACATTTCCCACTTTGGGACAGTCACGAATAAACTACAGTGTTTCTGGTCTTGAGGATGGGTTTGAACTTCTTATTCGACGCCTTGCAGTCCCTGAACTGTGGCTCCGTCCCGTCATTCCTACTGAATATCTTAACAGCCTCCCAGTTTGGAGATTCTGTCATTCTCAGGTGAATCATTGCTCTGACAACAAACATAAGCAGTGCACAAGCAAGCACAATTCTTGTTGCAAAGAATCTGTAAAACCACCTGGGATGTTGGTGGCACAAGACTGCTCAATATGTCTGGAGGATTTCAAAAGTGGTTGCATGTTACTTGGCCTCCCTTGTGGTCACTGTTACCATCAGAGGTGCATTGAAGAGTGGCTTTGTGGGGGGAATTCCAGTGGTCATTATTGTTGTCCTGTGTGTCGCTGGCCTGCTTTCAAGATAAAGCCTCCGGCATTAGGAGCAAACCCAATAAGAAGTCAAGCTCAAGAGACAAATGTTTGAGTATCCTAAGGCATTGTAAGACATGGCCACCGGTGCTTGAAGGAACAGTTTTTGAAAGCAGTATTTTTTTCTCTTTTTTAACCCTAAGGCCACACGGTCTTATGGTGAGTAAAATTTTCTTTTTAGTCATTTTCTTTCTGTTACAGCTATTTGCAAAAGTGTCTCAAAGTCTCTTAATTTTGGTGAGCTATTCAGGACTTCTGACTGATACGTAAGATTAAAAAATTGCATTTTTTTTTCCAATTTTAATTTTAAATTAATAATGATGTAAATGTGTTGTGTATGCTTTGAAGCTTCAGTTTTTAAAAGTTATTTTACTCTTTAACTTCCTTTACAGCCTTACATATTTTTTTAATCATTAATTTTAACTTGAATGAGGGTATTAGAACAGGCCAGGTTCATTTGAAATTCAGACAAGAACTAGAAGGTGTGGGAACGAAACAAATGAAATAGCACTAAGGTTTTAGCATGGATAATACATTCCTTTAGTCTGTTCCCATCAGCTTTTGAGCTAAATATGAACCTTTTTTTTAACTGATAACAATACATAATGAAAATTACACATGAAGATGATCACCAATTTAAGAAGCTCCTGATTGTCAATCAAATTCTCTTTGTCACTGAGATAAGAAATGTAAAGAGAACTGTATGGAGAATATGGATGCTTGTGTTGGGGTGTAAGGGGTTAAAAAGATTATTACCATATGGAAATGGTGAAGTAAATAGTACAATTAATAATCATATTTAAAATATAACAAAAATTGATGTAATCTGAAAAGTTTTTCAAACCTCTTAAAATAGAAAAAGTAGAGGGTAATTCAAACAGAGAAACAGGCATGCTGTTAAGGACAAAATCCTCACAGCAATTTTTTTGTACTTATTTCTCTGGAAACTTGAATGTGTGATCACTGGCTACTAAAAGAGAGAGTGTAGCTAAGCTTGAAAGTAATGTAAATCATTTTTTTTTCTAATAAAACATTAAAAGGCATAACCTTTGGTTTTTTTTGTGTGTATGTTAATTTTCTAGGTGACTCTTGTTCATGTCAGCCTTGACCTAATTATTAATGAAACAAGCCCCATCCTAATGTTTCATGTTTGCAAACACATTATTTCAGTACTACCTGAAAGGCAATCATCATCATCATCAGCATGACTCACCCATGTAAGGTTGCATTTGATTTGTAATTTAAACAATTTTACCTTGAATGAGCTCTCTAACTTTATGATGTAATGCACCATTGAGTTCTAGTTGAGTATGGCACTCAAGCAATCTATTTTAATTTAATTTCACTCAAGTTGTGTGGAGTTATCTGCTACCCCCTGCTTGATGGATTGTAAGAACAGACAATATCACTAATGGAGGAAATGTGTTTGTTCTTTGACATGTGAGCTGAATTCACATGTTAAGCAGCATGTTACTCTCATATGAGACAGGCCAGGTGTGTCACCTTATGATGTGCAAGCTGTCATAATTTAATCTTGAGCCCAGCTTGGGAAAATTCAAGGAACCAAAACAACAACAGCTGAACATATTCACATATTCTACAAATTCTATCATAAAGGACAAAGTGAGCTCCTAAGATGCAACATGTGACCCACAATGTTAGCGTTAAAAGCATCAAGTGGCTGAAAGTATTGCTACTACCCTAGGATGGGATGCTTTTACATCACAGGTTACTCTCAGCATTTCATCAGGCTTCCCTGTTAGTTTATTGGCACAATGAGATTGTCTTACTTAAGTAAAGAAGATTGTCTTACTTAAAAGTAAAGAAGGAAATACAGGGGTTTCAATAACCTTTTTGAATATGTGATTGCCCATGGTGTAATAAGCCAAGAAAATGGTCTAAAGGTGAAACCCAAACTCAGGAGCTTCACAAGCTCAACAGATGGCAAGAAGTCTTATAGGCAGCAGTAGACTACCAGTAATCAGCTTTTATTGAAACCCTTAAGAATGGTGCAGCCAGGGCTCAAATCTGAACCTCAAACCCTGGACCCCACTGCAGTAACCATTTGCCCCATCCAGTCTCCAAAATGTAAGGTTCCACACTTAAAACAGACCTTCAATTATGTTGTGTAGTTTAGTTCTGTGCATTTAAAACATGCTCAATAGAATTTTTTTTTGTACACATATCGGGCCATTATAATTTCTGTAATGAGTTTTGAGAGCATGTGTGAATAGAAGCACTATTTTTACATTAAGAAACATCCTGGCAACAATTTCCAACAGAGCATTTACTTCATTTCAAAGAATTTTTACTCCATGGTAAACACAACTACAAAGCAGTTCTATTGTCATTGTCTTATCTCAAAAATTCATGACAGTGATGTTTCCTGTCAGGAAATTCTTGACTTTATCACAAATATATCTATTAACTTTTAAAATCTGCTTCATCCTTATGCTGGTCAATGGTTATTCTGTTTCACACATATACAGTAGAACCCTGCCAACTCAAACTCAGTAAACTCAAATTTCTGGTGACTTGCAAAAGATCTGATTTTCTTTGACCCCTTTTTTCAGTCATTTACTCAGCTAACATGAACCATTTTTTGTTTGAGTTAGCAGGGTTCTAGATACTGTATCACTTTCTTTACAAATAATATTGTAAATAATAAATAATTTTACCATTAGTAAGTCTCATCTTATGAGTTCCTGCATTTAAGAGTTATCTTGGTTTCTCCTATAGAATACTTTGTAATATTTTAAAGCACAACACTTCCTGATGTAAATGAGCTGTTACATTTACAACTTTGATTTTCATGTTTGGCAGAAATCAAATTTCTAAATGCCATGTCCCTCTGTGCCTTGGAAAATGATAAAAACCAAATGTAGAACCATGAATTGAGTACTTGGCTTCTGTTCTCAGTTCAAATGTATGACAATTGCATAGAGTAAACTTAAGAATTATTAACTGTTTGGAACATGTTCATGGCCACAGGAGTCAAGTCATTTTTTTCTTTGTAATCATCAACAGAGAACTGGCAACGTTTGCCAACCTCTGCTCTGTCATCTAAGGAATGCTTTTGTTCAAATGCAAACAGGTAGTATCTGTGTGGACCAGATCTTGAGGGTGGAGTAGGTGGGTTGTAACCTGCAAAATGTTTGAAAGATAGACTGTAATAAGAGATCATAGACCAAAAGCAAGCAGGATGCAGAACAAAATGTAGTAACACTGGTAAAAGGGTGATACAAAAGAAGTATAATGACAGATAGTTTCACATTTAGGCTATAAATCAGAGCAGAAACAACTTGGTCCATAACTTACAGAATGAGTACAAACTCACTTAGTAAAGGGTAGACTGGTATATTTTTTGGGGGGACTGAAGTGGGTTCAAAATCAAATGACTTCATTCTAGAACATAGTTTGACTCAAGGTCCAAAGTGCTTTTAACACTGATTTTGGTTTAAACACAGGCCATGCACACAATCATGTTTACCTGTGAAAGTGTCACCTATAATATTGCCTTTTTTTAAGTCATCTCCCTAGGAGAGGACAACAGTAATCAACAAGTAAGTAACAAAACAAACACACAATTTTAATGATAGTAATAACTCTACTTGGGAGGTTAAAAAACAATTTTGTAAAACAGATTGGTGTAATATTCTACTCACTTTAATGTTACCAACAATCCAGTGAAGCCAGCTTCTACAACTATGGCTTTCTCTGGAGGGAGCATCAGGATCTACCATTGCTATCAAATATTTCTTAACAGAAACCTGAAATAAATTTTTCACATATAATTAAGCATGATAGCTTCTAACTTCACTTATTAAAGTCAGAACTTTACATAGAGATTAAATATTCTGCAAGTAAAATATTGATAAGCACCTTGAAATAATGTACAATCATGCCATGTATAGTTCATGACATGCAAACTATATTACTTCCAGGGTTTCTTGGCCTTGTGCAGACTCAAAAATGCAGTAAGTTTGGAGGAGACTATTTACTTGTTGCCTACATGCACTAAAAGTACATTTGGTTTCAGCCCAACAGGAATAGTCAATCATGAAGTGTATGTGTGTTATTTTTTATCTCAGGGGGCCCTGCACAATTCTATGCATATTTTAAATTTTAAAAAAAAGTGTAGAAATGTCTGAAAGCTTTGAACCATTGCAGTTAATGTAAAAACATGGTTGCTTTTTGCTGATCTTCAGGTTCACACCAGCTTAGTTGAAAGCCCCAAGTTTCTTATTGTAGTTTAAAACTTTGAAAGCTAGAGCTCAAATAAAATTTAGAAATTCAGCAATCTAAGCTTTTTTAAGTGCCACTAACCCCCCAAATTTTTTTTACAATAAAAGAAATTTCCTTGTTTACTGATCATCGCAGTGAAATAATTATTGCAATTGCATAAAACCTTGCAATTCTTCAAACTGTGAAAGCTTAAAATTTTTCATGTCCATGAAGGTGCATCTTGGGCCCTGGATTGGGGAATGTTGTTGTGTCACCCCAGGAACCATGCTACACTGCTGCAAAGAAAAACTTAAAGACACATTGTCAAGACAGGAAATGATTTTGGGAATTTTCCTTTCTCTCAATGCCAAGGACCTTCCATAAAGCACCTAAAGAAAGCCATATCATCTTGAGACTCAAAGTTGGATAGTGACTATATGACTACGAGGCATTTGACGCTTTCTAATCAATCAGAATATGATGGGGAGATGGAGGAAATTGACTGTGTACCAAAAGTGAAGCCCTAATGAAATGGAGTCTAGAGATCCCTGACACTACTGGAAAAGAAATCTCTTTGACTCTTACAAGCTCATCTCGAGAAGGCACATCCCAAAAAGCCTATGATACAATGTAAGAGCAAACATTGTAATCAATGAAGATTTTAAATCAGATCTAAGCTTAAAAGAAAGCAGAGCGTGATCTTGTGGGAGCTCGAGTGAAATTTCACTACAGATGCATTAAGAGACTTACAACAAGGCTCAGAGAAATAGAGCAAGCAAAAACTAGAAAGATAAATGTAATAGAACTTTCAAAGAACAGAGAATTAGTGGTTTATACTCAATCAATTTAAAAGTTAGTGATGTAAACAAATTAGCAATGGAATCGAAATCTAAACTAAACAAGGTCAAAAAGCTCCATGTAAATTTGAGAGCACAAGCAGGCAATAAAGAAGTTGAGTCTTATAAGTTTGCATTCTCAGCCTTTTCAGAAATGAACTACAAGGGTGAAACATAACCCAAATAAATAAGAAGCAGTGAAAATTGCAAAAGAAAACAGAGACAAAGGTAGAAAGATAAAAGATTGAGTCATGCAAGTAGCACATCAGGAACCCATCAAATGAACAACGGACAGACGAACAAATTTAGGGCTGACATATCTACATGTATGTCAGAAAATCACACTCTCTGGCACAAAAGCATGCAAAGGGAAAATATTAATAGGGAATCCACCTTTGATGTACTAACACATACAGAGAGACAGAGATCTTCCAATATACAAATTTTAACTTCACATCATTCTCCAGACGTAAAGAAAGGATTTGTAAAAGGAGAAGTGCTATGCTTCCTTGGCACAAATTTCATTACACTCCACATTTAACAAGAAATACAAATTTTCAAAATACGCTGAAGATTAGAGGAAACCTAGATGAATTTTGGTGAAACACATCTCTATACTTGATGTAACTGTCAAATGAGAATTTTTAAAATATGCTGAAATACCCAGACATTTTGACTGGTTCTCTCTTACATTCTATTTAACAAATAGATTCCAAGTTGCCATGCATCTGTTCAGTAATAGATCACAGATGACGTCAAAATGTGGTAAGAACAAAAAAGTGGCTCACGAGGCGCAGCCAAGTGTGTCACCGATGTTCCTACCACATTTTGACATCCTCTGTGATCTATTACTGAACAGACGTATGGCAACTTGGAATCAATTTGTTTCATATAATAAAGAATTAAAATACACAGAAAAAAAGTTTTTAACAATGACGTCATTCAGACGTCTGTCCTCTTATAGATCATAAGTGAGAACCAATCAGAATGTGTGAATAACTGAGCTTATTATATAATGGAGGATAGATGGCATCACCATTAACCTTTAACACCCAAATATTAGAAATATGCATATTCTCTGTACTGTTCTCTATGCATTGCCTTTGGTGCTGACGAGGAGAATTTGTTCAACAATCAAGAGCTCCTTAAGTTGATTATCATTTTCTCTATTCTTGTGACCTAAATGTTTGATTCAGGGATGATAATGTTGGGAGAAATTGGATGCTGGTCACTCTTTGGGGGTCAAAGGGTTAACAAAATATTCCTTTGTTATCATATAGATTTACTTGTTTCTTTTGGTCTGTAAAGTAATAGATTACAGTAGACACCAAAATGTGATACAAACATTAGTGACACTCTCTATGGCACCTCGTGTCGGACTAGTTGACGACTTCTCTATCAACATTGTGAGATGCATAATGCAAATTATAATTTTTCAAGTCGAACTTTTCTGATACAAATTGTACAATACGTACAGCTGTGCCATACGATTTCAGTAAGACTTAGCAATGTTACTCTTGTTTAGTGAAGAGGTTCCACCCCTCTCCAGTTCAGCGATAAGCTTCAAACATCCTTAAAGTTTTATTAAAATCCTTACCGCTTGTGAATAACGAACTCGTGGCGGGGACTCCGAGAATGTCTCTAACTGCACATCCTGGTCACAACTGGCTTTTGACAGCGAAGGTTGATCACCAAACGTTACATCCAAAAATTTCCCATATCCTTCCCAATTCTGGCAGGAATAGTCAATCAAAGATGAATGGACAAACGAAAACCCCCAAAGCAAAATTGTCAACGCGACACGTTGATATCGCCCGTACAACGCCATCTTACCTGTTATCACGTGACCAAAACAACACTCAGCTCCTGAGTATTCCCTCCTGGTGTACGATGACCTGCTTTCTGTACTCAGACTTCCTCTTTCTCTGCGAGCCTGTACTGCTGACTAATATGACGTCAAAACTGACTTCGCATCCTCCACTATTTACGTGATAAAGCAACTACGAAATTTCTGATACGTGATTTGAATTATTTTATGATCCGATAGTAAACGTTGAAGTTGCGTGTTTCAGTTTGCGTTTTCCTAAGTTACGTGCCTTCCTGAACAAGTTATTCTAATTTTAACTCTTACCGAGCATTCAACTTGTACATTTAATTAAAAGAATATATTTATATTTTTCAATTAGGCTGTACAGGAAGCTTAAACCACTAACTTTCTCGCTTTCCACCAGCAGAAGATCAAACCTGAATCTCTCTTTGGCCACAAACACTGGCAAAAATCTGTATACTTTTGTCTACACTGTACCCAGCTAAAAAATTAAATCCTTGTGCTGTCTGTCTTTTCAATAATAAATCTTGTCGAAATATCTCCCATTCGTTTAACCTGAAGCTTTTAAATATTCTGCTTCACTTGTCTAAGCCTTGATCTGATAATACAAAACCTTAGGCTTGAAAAGCGTCAAATGCCTCCTAGTCATATAGTCACTATCCAACTTTGAGTCTCAAGATGATATGGCTTTCTTTAGGTGCTTTATGGAAGGTCCTTGGCATCTAAAGGATGAGAACAATAATGGAAAAAATTTGAATGCTATCGTTTAGACTACATCGCGCCAAATGAAATACAGTAGGTTTGTGACCTGTCACCCTATCTTTTTATGATAAATCTTGTAGAAACGTTTTCGATCCAGTTAAATAAAGCGTCTTTAATATTCTGGCTCACTTGACAGAGGTAACGCTTAATCCAACTCAAATTTAGGCCCAAATAAGAAAGTTGCATGCTAAGGAAGATAATAGGAAGCATTATATCTCGTCCTACCCTTAAGAATTGCTGATTTGGCAAGTCTGTGGTGTTCCTAAATAGTTTTAATGTTCCATTTTTTTCAACTTTTATTCTAATATTTTGTCAGTAGAATTATGTTTCATTAACTGAGCTGATAATGTCAATTGGCAAACATTAAGATATTCTAAAGCTGTCGTTTTGAGTGTTAGTCGTTCGGGTGGGGAGGCATACACTGTTGCTTCGAGAAAGGGGGTAAATTTCTAAAGAAACTGTAGTGCTGCGTGGGTGGGAGAGTATAACAAGGTGATTTAGTATTATCAACTGAGTTAATTACGTAAATCGGCCACTGTAAAGAGTTTAAAAGCTGACGTTTCGAGCGTAAGTCCTTCGTCAGAGCGTTCACCCTTCGTCAATCGCTCTGATGAAGGACCAACGCTCGAAACGTGAGCTTTTAAACCCTTTACGATGGCCAATTTACGTAATTAACTCAGTTGATGATGCTAAATTACCCTGTTTCGAGTAAGGTTGTCGGAAGAAAGGGAAAGTTGCACGCGACAATATCGAAAGGTAATCCGGTTATCTGATGACCGATGACATATCATAAGTGAAATAAATGAATAAATTCATCAAACCAGCGATGCCTCGTCCTTACAGTGACGTTTTCCCAGATTTCCCTGAAATCCTGTCGTCAAGGAACGTGACAAGAAAACTACCCACAATACCTTTCGGGGTTGTCAAGTGCGCTTTACTCCCTTTTTTTTTTTTTTTTTTTTTTTTTGAAAGCCTTTCTCGAAACGGCTGTATGTGGGGATTATATACAGCAAAATGGAGCTTCGCTATTGGTGGGAACATGAAATGGTTCTCAGAAAGTTTTCAGGCTCAAATGTGTAGATCACACGAAAATTAAGAATTATTCTTTGTTCGGAACACGTTCATAGCCACAGGGGTTTTCTTTGTAATCGTCAATAGAGAACTTGCAGCGCTCGTCAACCTCTATTATGTCATTTCTGTCATCAAAGGGAAGCCACTGTTCAAATACAAACAGGTAGTATCTGTGTGGACCAGATCTTAAAGGTAAAAAAGGTGGTTGGTGATCTGACAAAGTGATAAACGATGATTTTCAAAAAGATCACACTTATTCACAATCATTGTTTTTTCCTTTTAATTTTTTGTGGCTACTGCATTCTGGGAAAGCGTAGCCATTACGTCATCGCCCTGTAAGTGCGCGCGTAAGTTAACTTTTCCGCAAGAAGCCCAGCTGAATACTCGCCTCAAGTTCGTGAGGCACGCCTTTCTTTTGTGGAACAGGGTACTCATTAATATTTTGCCGCGTACTTAAAATGTTGGGAGTTTCCGTGTCTTTCGACCCGTTACCCCCCTCCCCCCGTTAACCCTTAAGCGTGATGAGCATCTAATTTCTCCTAACAGTATCATCCGCAATCAAACACGAAAGTGAAGAGAATAAAGGGAATGATGGTAAACCCTAGGAGCTCTTGATGTCAGACAAATTCTCCTTGTAAATACCGTTAGAAATATACAATATGGAGAACTTGCATACTGATGCAAAGGTGTAAAAGGCTAAAGACAGAAAACTGTCCCCATATCTGGCCTATTGTTCTCGCACGCATCTTCCCAACAACTGCATCGCACCAATTTAACTTTTAAACTGCCAAGAAAACGACGCAAGCTGAAAATTGAAATCGACGAAGTTGCAGATATGAAATGAATTTATTTCACCTTGATTGTACTTTTCATAAAAAAAAATGTTTGGCACACTTCCACAAGTATCTCGAAAGTGGAATAAATACAGAAAAAACCAGTCACCATTCTTCACACCATAGAAAGTACAGATAATAGAGAGGAGTTCAAAGTATATTTGAGGACGAAGAATGACCATGTTTGCCTTCGTATAACACTTTACGTCACATTTTTTAACTTGGCAAGTCCTTGCACGATGCTTAGTCGACACGGTTCAAACGGCGCCATGCTCAAAAGTTGTTATACAGCGAACTTCTCAGGCCTCTAGATTCTAACTGAATTCTGCAAAGAGCCATATTACCCCCATTGGTTCTTGGTTAATTATAAGTAACAAAAACCAACCACATCTGTTTCGGCACAAGATCGGCGCGCCGTTTAAAGCGAGCCTTCCCGTTGAGTCAAAATTCGTTTGCACGATGTAGAAGAAAGTCATTCTTCAACGTGCAAGCTTCTCTAATCGACAGGGGACTGTATAAGCCCAGTTAATTTAGCCCATTACCTCCCAAGATCTGATTCTCCCCTCAAGCTGCTAAACATTACCTTATCAAGAAAGATATGAGAATTTGGTGTAAGATCAAGATAACAACTTCTACCTGATAGGTTGGGTATTCTCATCACCCGTTTGTTCGATAGTCTACAGACATTATAGGGAGAAGTTACATGTCAATCTCTTGTGGGAGTTAAACGGCTGAGTCAATTGAGGAAGCAAAACTGCACCCATCTCTTGGAATAAGGAATTACTACTCTACGATGGAGGTTCATCATCCAGGAAAAAACGGTGAATTGCAGCTGCAAAAAAGGCTTTGTCGGTTTTGGGACAGAGTTTTAAAGTTCACCGTTAGAAATCGCTTGTATGAAAAGATGTAAGTATTAATGCAAGTTGCCCTACTTTCACTCTTTTATACAACATATCCCAACAAACTACGCATCGCTGTTTTGATTGCTATTGATGTTATAGTCAATAGAAAATATCACAAGCGTTCAAACCACTCGACAAATGTTCTATCGATTTGTTTTGAACAAGCAAACTTTGACACTGAACTGGGCGCCTCTCGATTGAGTGTCGTGAAACTAAACCTAAGCGGTTCCAGAGGCCAGCGAACACTAAGGAGAATACCTGAAACAACGAAATCACGGAAACATCATCGTAATCACACGTGATTAAGTCGTGATTGGATGTAGTTTTGCATCTGACTGGTTGAGGGGCGGTTTATTTAGACCAATCACAATAAGGCAACCCAGGATTACTTTTGGTACTCAATTGAAAATCGCTCTCGATCGGTTCCACTCGCAAGGAGTTTATGTTCCACAATGTGCATTTTGTCTCCCAACTGCGTTCCCAAACTCACAACGATTTGTCCTGTGCGTCGTGTAGGTTCAAAATATTAGTAATTGGGAGCAGCTCTCCCTTCTCATCTCGGTACTTTTCTTCAAACTTTCTTATGTCGCTACCGCACTCGTATTTAAAAATATCCACAATCTTATTCCAGCGCGAGATCTTGCTCCTCTGGCTGGCTTTCTGAGCCGGAGACCACTGGCACAGCGGGGGCATATCTCCCAGGCCGTTCTCCCACAGATAAATTACGTCCAGCGCATTCACCTTCTTCGGTAGAATAAAATCCGAACCCTTTTTCGTAGAAGTTCCGTCACCTTCTAGGATTTCTGAGTCACTACCTATTACTTTATCGTGTTCTTGGTCTTGTAACTCAACGTTCTGTCCGCCAACCTCGTCCTTTGGTACCATGCCAGAATTATTCAGAGCGGACGCAAAATGTTTTGGCAAGTACGATGGAGGCTCGTTTTCTAAATCGTATTTAGACAAAATTGCGGAAATGGGCAATAGTTCACCTTTGGCGTTGCTAAATCTTTCTTCGAACTTTTCCCAACTTCCGCCACAATCCTTTCGAAAGATGTCCACGATTTTCTTCCAGCGAAAGAGTTTTGTTTCATGTCCTACTTTGTGGATTTTCGGCCATTTATTAACGGGCGGAAAAAGTTCGCAGCCTTCCTCCCATAGCTGCACTACATCCTTGGCAGTCACTTTACGCGGGAGTTGATAAATCTCACTCTCAGTCCCTTCTCCAGTGTTCTGACCGGGAGGCGCAACGGCAAAAGGACTGGACAGGCTTGACGGTGACTCCCAGGCATCAAACATGGCAACAATCGTGGTGACGGGATATAGCTCGCCGCGCTCGTCCGAGAATTTTGACTCAAACAAACTCAAGTCTCCTTTGCAGTGATATTTGTATATGTCATATATTTTAGTCCAGCGCGAAAACTTGCTGCGCTGTCCTGCCTTCTGTGCGGGCGTCCACTTGTGGAGAGGCGGTAGATCACCGTACCCAGTCTCCCACAGCTTGATAATATCCTTGGCAGTGACTTTGCGAGGTAAAATATGACTGCTACCTTCGCCGGGGCTCAAGCTTTCCAACTTAACGCCACTCGCGCCATTAGATGGGGCAGCACTGGGTGACATTTCTCCGCTTTCAGTTTCATCTTGTTCATCAACTGATGTACTTAATCTGCTTCGGGCTTCGGGGATGTCAAAAATAGGCCCTGTAGTTGCGTTTTCCGCATCGTACTTTGCAATGATCGATGAAATGGCCAGAAGATGCCCGCGGTCATTTGAATACTTAGCATAGAAGGTGTCCCAGTTCCTGTTGCAGTCCTTATTAAAGATTTCAGCAATTTTACGCCATCGGAATATTTTAGTCTCTTGACCGATTTTCTGAGCGCGTGACCACTGACAAACCGGAGGGAACTCCTCACAACCTTCCTCCCAGAGGCGCACAATATCATTTGGCGTTACCTTCCTCGGGAGAAAGTAACGTACTTCAGCTGACGGTTGTGCCATGCTGTTGTCCTCTCCTACTTTCGTAGGTTCTCTGTTGACATCAGTACCTTCGTAATCTTCTAGTTCGGAATCTACAGATTTCCGTATCTCCTTCTTGAAGTCTTCATCCACATCTTGGGCATCAACCTTCTCTTTGCTAAAAGCCGCCGCTCCCTCGTGGTCGGAATTGTTTTTACCAAGAAAGGCCGGAGTCTGCTGAGTTTCGTACAACGACAGGATGGTTGTCACCGGCAGAATTTCTCCTTTGTTGTCCGAGAAACTTTCTTCGAATTTCTTCATATCACCATGATAATGAAGCTTGAAGATATCAACGAGCTTCTTCCACCGAGATATCTTGCTCTGTTGCTTTAGTTTTTGTGTGGGAGTCCAATCTTTCAGAGGGGGGAACTCCTCACAGCCATGCTCCCAAAGGTTGAGTACTTCCTTCGCCGACACCCTCCTTGGAAGCTCATAGCTGCGCAGACCGCTCCTGTAAAGCTGTTGTGAGTTGGAGAATAAAGTCTTTTCACTTACAAAAGGAACGTTGGGTAACGGAGGTGCTTCTGGAGTCTCTGTCTTTGCAGTGGTATCGGCCAAGGTTTCCTGAGGAGTGGCCGGTGCCAACCGTTGGATGAATGGTCCCCCGCTTGCAAGTAGATGGTTTTGGGCTTCCACGAGGTCAGACAGCTTCTTGTATGATTCCTCCAAGGCGAGATTTCGGTTTTGAAGGACCTTGACCTGAAACGATGGAAAATAACAATGAAAGAGACTACAAGAACGCGCTTTAAGAGAAATTTACAATTGTAGGACGGGCACTCACGAAGATCTTCTACGCAGTGTAAACTTGCCTTCTCTCTACAATAGGAGGCTTCAAGAGATTGTAATTTCAATGTACAAAGTTAAGTTTTGGCCCCTGACTACACAGGTACTCTGGCAATTTTGCTTTTGTGACAGAAAGAATATTTGTGGAAACCTCTTTCCCCCCTTTTTTCTTTTGCTGCAATCAGTAAAAATAATTTAAATTTATAGGTCCTGATACAATCGGATAACACTGCAGATCAAATAAAATAAAGCTGTGGATTGTATTAGTTGGTGCTGCAACATCCCATCAAGAAAAAGTAAGGACAGGCAATGAGGTGGCTGGTTATTGAACTTTCAGTTATGTGAGAAAGCTCCAGATGAATGGTCCAATGAACTGAGATAACATTCAGCATGGGTATTCTTCAGATGAACTGTGGCTAACAGATGCCTTGACAATGGGTTAAGCATTTGGAAGAAAAGAATACTTGAACAGTGACCCACATTTTTCTTTGACAAACCTCTGCCAGTATAACCAAATTGTTTGATCAAATTGGTAAATTGTATGACAAAAACAAAGGAACTTTTCAATAATTCAAAACCAAAGGGGAACTCAAAAAATTTTTCTGGCTACAAAATGTTCCAAATTAGACTTTGCTTTACTTTTTTTAACTCCTTACCTGCTGTTCAAGTTCTTCAAGTTTCTTTTGAAACTGCAGGTGGATCTGTTCAGTGGTCACTTCCTGAGGAGGTGTTACATTGGGTGTTGGCATCAAACCAAGAGCCATCTGTGGCATTGGCACAGGACTACCAGCATCAGAGGCTACTTCAACATCATCTAATGGGTCTGAAATCAGACAAAACATAACTTAAAAGTTTGTCTCAAAGTGATATGATGCAAAATGATACTATGGTTTACTACTATCACACACTTGCTGTAGACACTAGTAATCAGGGGTTTCAAAGTGTTTTCATGTAGGCATCAGACTCACCAAAAGTAGGTGATTATGAAAAGTTCCTTGAGGGCCAAAAGGTATTTATTTTGACCAGAGTAAGCAGTGACATATTATCAGGTAGCCAACAGGATTACGACAGTCAACAGTTTTTTTTAAATCCCTGAACAATCGTAATGAAATAGTTTATGAAAAGATCAAAAGACTAGGAGCCAGTCATTGGGATTGATCTGGTCACTTTTTAACTCTTTAACCCCCATGAGTGACCTAAACAGAATTTTTCCTTACAATATCAATACAATGTCAAGAAGGCAAGTGATGAGAATAAAGAAAAATATCAGTCAAGGGATTATAAGTTGATCCAATAACAAATTCTCCAAACTAACATCACAAGAACTGCATGGCAGAATGGCAGACAGTAAGGAGAATTACTAATGAGATCTTGGGAGTGAAAGGTTTAACAAGTTTGCACCCTAAACAATCCTCAATTTAGCTGTACTTTTTATCTGAACATTATTTTTGTGAAAAGTATCAAGAGGGCTGAAAGCTTATGGTGGAAGGAAATTTGTTTAATTAAATCAACCCTCTTATGGAGAAGGCCTCAGGCCCACTGATTATGTAAGACTGCTGTTTGGGATGGACCTTGTGTAAATAACCAACCCCAAATGTTTGACTGAGCCAATTTTATGCTGTGATTGTCATAATTACCACATCAAAAGGGTTGGGGAGTTGTTTACAAATTTGGGCCCCCATTTTCTCCACAGTCCCCTTACTATATTGCTTTTGTGAACTCAGTGCTTAGTAATTACTTATTTTGGGAAAATCATTCAGGTAGAGCCCCAAAAACAACTACAACAAGACTTGTTCCCAGATTACCTTCCAATGCCTCTCTTACTTCACTGCTTGGATCCTCCAGGGTTAACTGCTGATAGACAGGTTCTGTTGGTGGATGAATAAGATCTTGTTCAGGTACTGCATCCGCAAGCCTGAAAGGATTCTCTTCTGGTAGCTCAGAAAAGATCTGCACAGCCATGGCATCAATATCGGGCTTGATCTCATCAGTGATGAATTTGACCCCTGAATCCAGGTCACCTTTTGTAATTTTTCTGCTTTCTTCATTCTGCTCAAGTTTTCTGAAAAACCAGAAAAGTGCGTTACAAAACACAGACATTCATAGACTGTCCTAGGCCTTCACTTAGTTAATCAGAGCAAAACAGTAAATAGCACAATAGTAAAAATTGTGTGTGATCCAAAATTCCTTCTTTTAAACAGTCCAACCCAAGCCTTCCACTTTTTTTGCTCCACCACTACTGTCATGCCATTTACTATTTTGCTCTATTTTACTACTGGTAATTGAACATCTGGAACAGGCCATTCATTTGGTGATGGTGAAACAAAATCAAAAATCCTAGCAACTATTTTTGTCCTCTTGGTATTGAACATTTTTAAAGGTACTCATAAACTTCAACATGTCACTGTTAAGTCCTTTCACTCCCAGGATCAAGATATCAATTCTCTATATTATCGCTAAAGAATTTAATGTTAAATAGGTCGTTGCCCTTAAGATGAAATGCTTTGCTTCATTACCCTTTTGCTTCACAAGTATCCATAATGTAAGGAGCAATTCTTTTCTGAACACTCCTGAGGTGTTGTGGGGGTTAAATCTTTTTATGCCAATGTACACTCTGTATGTTCAGTGCATAGTTTGATTCTTTTCACATCAATTGTGAAATTATTTTAGGCTATTGACAAATTGACCAGTAATTGCCTAGATATGAAACTCAATTCTCTTCACGATACATACATTAAATGTATGGTAATCATACTGGGATCAAGACAGAAAAGGTCCAAAATTCTTCCCACTGATGAAAACAATGACACAACTTTGAAAGTAGACTAAAGTGCAATAAAATTATAAGCTACAGATTGCAATAATGCAAGAAAAAAACTTTCTTAGTCATTACCTTTTGAAACTTCTGTGTTCACTCGACACGATCAGAAAATCACTTTCATCCTTAAAAAAAAAGCACAAAAATATACAAAAAAGTACATAATAAAATCATAAAATCTGTATAACTACAATGGTCATGAAGATGGAGCAAAAAAAATCAAATTATTAATTTTCAAACAGCATTGGTATTAAATAGATGAAAAAATAGATAATGGCATTGACAAGGTGCTTTTCTCCAACTGATTTGAATTAGGAAAGTTGGTTTTTAAACATGCAATTTAGTGCTAACAACTGAGTTCAAAATGAAAATTGGCCAGCGTAAAGCGTTAAAAGAGTGATGTTTCAAGCATTAGTTTAGAGCGATTGGAGGAATTGTGGGTTGTGTGTGGGTTCATTCCAGAAAATGGAGCTACACTATTGGTGGGAATATAGTAACAATAAAACAAGAATAAATGAGTTGAATGAAAAGCCCTTGTTGATACTGTGGGGTTTAAGAGTGCCAATTTGGAAGATAAATTTTTGCTCTAAAGTTTTACAGCTTTCTCTACATGTAGGCAGTTTGGAAACCTGCAAAACTTTAGAACAAAAATTTATCTTCCAAATCAGAACTCTTAATCCACGGTATCAACAAGCACTTTTCATTCAACTAATTTATTCTTGTTTTCTCGTCACCATATTCCCACCAATAGCGTAGCTCCATTTTCTGGATTTAAACCCACACAGAACCCACAATTCCCCCAATTGCTCTGACAAAGGGCTAATGCTCGAAACATACCCATTTAACTCTTTATAGTGGCCAATTTACTTTTACCACTTTTACCGCACCACAGTTTCTTTAGAAACTCACCCCCTTTATTTTTAAACATGTAGATGGACATAAAACCTCGAGAGAAATGACAACTTAACCAGCACAACACTTCTTTTATGTACAGCAATGGTAAGGAACCATTCTCAGAGGACATTTCCGCCATAAACCTTGCAGTATTTGGAACAAGGCTCCCTTTCCTTAGCAACAACGAAAATGTCACGCAATATCAATTAAAAATTGAGTCACGCTAAACGCTTGCAAACTGTTACTATTCCGCTTGATTTACCTGATAAGGGACATAATCGAAAAATCAAGTCGCCTTTTAAGTTTTAATGCAGAAGCATCGGTTGTTCGATTAATTCAATAGTTCTTTCAGTGATTATTGGAAATCACAATACAGGAACTTTGGGTGATTCCTCAGAACCATGAGTTCTTCACGAAGGAGCTCGAAATAACTTGCAGAACGAAAGATCGAACTTTTATCAAACGTAACAGGAAGAGTTGTACTGTACTATGCACTTACCAGTCCCGATTCATGAATGTTATGTGCACCATCAGCTATCTTGGAAATTATTGAATGTAGATTCTCTTCTCTCCTTCCAAGGAAACAAATTTTAAACAGACTTAAAACACATGACCCACAAACAGCGAACAACAATCGAAAAATCAGGACTAATCGTATGAATTATGGTCCAAAGAAACGACTGATTACTTCTATGATCATTGCACAGATTACTTACTCTGAGCGAGCATCCTGGGAACTTTCCATTTTCTCGTTTTTAGTGAGAGAAGGAAGGAAAGGAAACCCCGCATGCATGCAAGTTGAAATGTGAGAATGAAAGAAAAGAAAGGGCGTTGTTAGCGTCCGTCAGTGGAGACCTGGGGTCGAGGCCACCTGTATCTTGAAAGCGAGGCTAACGTATCAAAGATGGCGGCCGATCGAGGTTGTAAAGTAGATGACACTTAAAGATTTATTTCCGAGCTCTGGACGTAGGAGCAAACTTGCACAAGATGTCTCTAGCAGCGGCAGATAAGCTGCTCAAAATTTTTGACGCGTTGAAAAATTTTAGAGAGGGCATTCCTGTGGTTGACCCAAATCCTTTGGCAAAGTAAGGATATCTCCATTGCTTAGATTACTTAGTTTATGCAGCGTTGCATCAATAGTTGACAAAAAGTGAGGCTCACTGGTTATCGAATGCTGACCTTAAATTTTAGATAAATTAAGCGACTAGTTAAACTTGGTTTACAGCCGTTGATCAAGTGATACCAACCTAAATGACAGGGCTGAGTATGAACCTCCCCCTTCAGTCCTTCTCTTAAAGTTTTATATTTTGCCTGTACCTCTGTTGATTTTCAGCCTTATCCAAGCGCTCATTTACCAAAAAATAATGCATTGGTACTTACAAGTCAGTACACAGCCACAGTGTAGCTGACCTAAGCTGAAAGCTCTTATGCAAAGATGCATGTATTACTGTTGTGTATTATTCTCAGGAGACTTCCTTGAAGTTAATGACTTTGGAACATTTTCGTGACTTAATTAAACATGTGGGATGATAATTAATGTAAGATAGAATTTACTGTTGTAAATACAGCTACAACTTATTAGAACTGACTTTACTGAAATTTTTCCCTTCTATTTAATGCTATATTAATCAGCGCTATAAATGATTGAGGGCATGGAATATATCTGTATCACCTTACTGAGCCAATGCCAAGGTTGAGGCTTTAAGTTGTTGTGAATGTAATAGAAAAAAAACAGTACCACAGGTAACAAACAATATTATTAATTTTTTCGTAGGAAGAAAGAAAGCCTTCTGTCTAAAAAAGAAAGAATATCATATCTGAACACCATTCCTGAACTAGTTTGCTCCTCAGGTATAAGGTTGGTATCAAAATGAGAATTATAGAATATTAGGCACTTTAAAATTTTTTATCTTCTATTTGTTCCTCGCTGGAATGAATTCATTTAAAATATAAATTACACCCCATGACTGGTTGTCTTGTATTTTACTTGAGAATACCTTCACTTGTACTTACTTTCACTACAGTGTTTAAGGGAGAAATCTCTGGAATTTACAGGAATTATTATATGCTGGTACAGTTGTTGCATGTATCTGTAACACCAGTTATTCATTTTGAAATTAAAAAATCCATGAGTTCTTGATGCTGTGCCATGTCGACATGTGGGATCACAAATGAATTAAAAAAGGGGAAGAATCCATGTTTTTCTTCTCTGAAAATGAATATTTTCATTTTCATTTTTGCTTGACAACTTCCTTGAAGTATCACTTGCATTAGATGTTCAGAATACTTTTGCTACCTGGTTTGAGTCATTTTGTTGTGATCTTTGAGAAAACTCTTATTGTTTTGAATTAGAAATAGTACTCCTTTGTCAGTTCATTGCAAAAAGAAATTTAATACAAATGAGATTAATGCACCTTTAATGTTCACTTGTTTTGACTGATTGCTCCATCAGAAGTTTGTCTGAATTTCCAAAGATCCTGGCTATCACTGTGGACTCTTTGTTAGTCAGCTGTGATGATCAGGAGTCAGATGTGCGCTTGGTTGCTGGTGAATCTCTCAACAAACTTATCAAGGTCAGTTGCTGCCTTATAGAGATGTTTAAATGGTTTCATTTCATTTCTTGATGAATTCTTCTTGCGTTTAGATTAGTTCTTGCATGCACCTATGATATGAAAGAAGACAGATATACAGTAGACATAATGAGAGTTAACAAGCTGTTTTAGCCTACAGTTCTTGTCTAGAGGTTTACATTAGTTACATACATACTATATATATATAGTTAAGTGTACTATAAGGATGTAATGAAGAGGCCAACTCTGGAGTGTTCTGGACGAGTTTAATGCACAACGTTTTGGCTGTTCAGCCTTCTTCAGGTTAAAAATTAAAAACTAAAAAGCTATTTACAAAGATTGTGACTTATATACAAAACAGAAATTTTAAGATTGAGGTTACATAATACAACAAAGGTCTAAATTACAAACTGAGAAGGGTTAAACAATGAAAGGCAAATAAAGAACTATGGGTGGCATGTGAATACAAATAAGGTGAATACAAATAAGTGACAAAAATTAGAGAGAAAAAAGAATCTAACTTAATTATTAGTGTTTACTCTGGAGCAACAAGCTCACCATTGAAGGCCTCTGAATGAATGTAATCTGGTAAAAATCATAACAGGATCCTAGGAAAGGGCCATTGAACCACAGTAATAATTTCCCCTCCAAGGCCCCTTTTTTTAACAACCGATGACAAACATTGTATCCTGTGGATCCTCTTACTGGGAGTTCATCGTTAGGTATACCAATTCTACACTGCTTATATATATATAAATGTGGGGGTAGAGTCTACCTTGGCATAAAGTGCTCAATACTGTGGTAGCAGAGCTGAGTATATATAAGTGAAAGAATCAAAGAGGACGCATCGATTCTCTGTTACTATGAGTTTCACGCCTAAGTGCTCGTCAGACAGAACTTTTTGAAAAAGTTCTGACAAGCGCTTAGGCGCAAAACTCAGAGTAACAGAGAATTGATGCAACCTCTTTAATTCTTTCACTTATATATATATATATGTGTGTGTGTGTGTGTATTTTTTTTTAATGTCTTTATTTATTTAACTAGGCTGGGTCAGTTCAGTGAGAGCTGGTTTGAATGGGGGCCTGCAAAAACAATATAAATATGAAAAGATATATACAGAAATATAAAATACAAAATGAGGCTAAAGCACAAATTACAAGATACACATACAATATACAAGACATTGAAAAGCATATCACAAGAATTTCACCAATAAAGTTTGAAAAGCTTGATAAATTTAGGGAGAAACATTATATTCCTTAATTTACCAGGTAGTCAAGAGTATTCCATACCTTTGTGCCTTTGTAAAGGAAAGAACCTTGATATTTAGATGTTTAAGCAAGGGGCCATTGCAAAACATCTCTATGTCTGGTATTGAAGGAATGATATCAGGGGTAAAAAAATAAATTCATCCAAAAGATCATGGAGGCATTGTAAACAAACTCATTTATTACTAATCATTACATTAATACAAGTCAGTATAGCTGGGAGTTTCACTACTAACCCTTAGTTTGCACATTCTCCATAACATTTTCTTTATGTTACCTATGATACTGATAAGGGAAAGCTTCTATTGTTGGTGATCATTTCCTTTACTCTCTTGAACTTGATGTTTTGTTCAGCAGGGACACTGTAAGGAGGGATTAGATTCTAATCAGAAGTGATGTTTTCCCTCCCAACAGGGATTGATGGACTCTTTCATGGGACGGATACATGTAGAGCTTTACAAGAAAATAAAAGAGGTTTAGAATTCTGTAAATTTTGTTATAATAGTCATAATAGCTATTTTGTTTTACAATGTACATTGTGGGTGTAGATGATTGTTTTTTTTTCTCTTCTCATCATTGTATTCATTTGTTAGAATGGCTCTGCTAGAAGTCTGAGAGCTGCTTTATCTAGATTTGGAGACTTGTGCCATTTGATTAGGCCACAGAAATGCCGGTAGGTGTGTTTTAGTATTCACCAATACTATATTGTCAAAAATAATTTATTGCTTGTATTAGTATGGTTTTTATCTCAGCTAGGGTATCCTCATATACCTTTCAGAATTATTAGGCAAACTCTTTGAGTATTGTGCTCAAAGTCTTGTTAGCAAATTCAAGATGTTACAGTTACGGGTTGGTTTAGCTTCATACTATAAATAGTAACTTAGGGAGTGATTTTTAAACCTTAAGTGGCACAGGATTTGTATGTGTTGTGGATAACCTTGAAATTTATAGAAGTCTTCAATGTTGGATTCCATGCAGACCTGTTAAGTTCTGGACACTGAAAATGGGTTATAGAAAAGCAAGGAAATTAAAGAAATTTTTTTTGTTTTGAGAAACAAAGAGAAAAATACGGTACCTACATTACATTATTGTTCCCAGAGTATTTTGGTTGCTGCCTGTAAAACAAAGGTTGCAGAAAACACCTGAAAGGCCTGGGAAAGGTTGTGGAAATAACTAGTGGAATTTTGTGGTGTTGAATGAGTATGCATGCTGTGGCACCATTAACTTAAGGGAATTTTTTATCAAGATTTCATTAGCGTCCAGAGTGTAGTGTGGCCTAGCTAGTGAAAAAATTTTGGAATCATTTTGTTGTGTCTTTGGGGGTACATGTTCAATTGCATTGAAAGTTGCTCTTTCTACAGTGTATGAGTCTCTGCAAATTTGAGTGGCAAGGATTGGCTAATACAATCCAGCTGCTGAAAATCCCCCATGATTTTGATCATTTTTTAAAATGCATTTTTTTCTTTCAGGCCATTTATTGCAAACTTGTTGCCATGCATAGCTCGTGTAAGCATACGCACTGAGGAGACAATCCAGGTAAAAAAGTAGGAGAAACTCTTTTGAGGTGAAAATATATAAAGGCTTTGGGTTCCATATCACTCTACTTAGACCTGGTTAACTGATTTTCTTTTATCTCTAGGAAATACTTGCCATTGTCATGCAGAAGATAATGAGTGTTCTGGGAAGTTTTACAGGTGATAAGGAGGTTAAGGTTAGTTTTTCCTTATTACTTGCCTGTAGCATATTCATGTGATTCATTATAAAGAGGTGAAAAAATTATTTTGATCACTTTCAAGATCTTGAAGGTGGCTCTTTATAAACATTAATTTTAGTAATTTTTTTATCAACAGCAATTACTGAAAACATTTTTGCCAAACTTGCAATCCTCATCAGCAACAACCAGACGAACTGCTGCAAGTGGCCTTGTTGTTATCTGTCAATATTCACGTAAACCAAGTTTCTTTTATGAGTGGCTCCTGAACATTTTGTTAGGTGAGTTACTTTCTCTATACTCTATTGGTTAAAATGTTAAGCCAATATGCTGTGAGCTGAAGGGAAGAATTAAATAACCATACTAAGAAAAACATTAAGCAAGAAAATATAGGGCAAAATAAAGATTGTTACGCGTTAAAGGGCCAAGAAAGAGGTGATTTTTGGCCAATAATTCATAACTAAAGACACTCTCGTCCATGTTGCATCATACTACACTGTTAATTTAAAACAAAGAAGGCCAAATACTGTATCTTCCCACTTCTTTCATGGCTATTTTGTTAGCACAATAAACCTTGTAGCCTGGATTGCAAGAAAATGTGAATGTCTGAAAATGGTACCTTAAGTTTATGGGCCCACAGCAGTGTTTTAGAACTTAAATCTAAGGAACTTTAGATTGTACATGTAGTTCAAGAACCAGTCAATTCTTTATAGTTTTCTCACCTGGTATTTTTTAATTTGAATCTCATGACCATCAACATCTCTTTATTGGAAAGTAAACACATTGCATACAAAAACCAGCTTTTCAGTGAAGTGTGATTTTTAAAGTGAAGCATGGAGTCCCAGCCACAACTTTGGGAGAGTACTGTTCTATTAAAATAACACTGAAAACCTGACTTTTGTCCTGTTCACACTTTTAATTAAGGTTTGGTGTTACCATTCCATGAAGACAAAGATTCAACTGTCTATCTTGGAGTGCTGATGTGTTTACGACACATGATTCCAAACTTGGATTGCTCTTTCTCATTTGATCATCAAATGAAAGGTTTGCGAGGCAGCTTTGGTTCTCATTGCTCATACTCTGCAGATGGAACACTTGGTGCTGAACAGATTCAGAACAATCAGCTTTTACAGGTGCACATTTGTCTAATGCTTTTATATTCTCAAAAGTTTTGTGTAATCTACAGCACTGATGAAGGCATGGCTTTTTTAGACAGGAGAGATTTAAAGTGGCTGTCTTGTGTTTCAACTATCTTTTTGCATAATTTTAAGTACACTTTACAGCAGGATAGGGAATTGGAAACAAAGAAAAATTAGATTTAAACCCTCTCACTGCACATGGTTGTAAGCAAATATTTTTGAAATTAGTTTCAAACAAATTTGTGAAACTACAGTACAAGTAGTATAACATAATTACAATATCATGAAATATTTCACAGCTACCATAGGAAATTTTCTAGTTGTAGTACATGTGAGCAATTCAAAGGTTAAATGACTGGGCTTTCCTTTTAACAAAGAGGTAGCTAGAAGCTGTTGATTCTTAAATTACTTTTCCATAATTTAAAACGTTTTCTTCAGGGTCCTTTTTTGTAATCTGTCTACTAGCAAAAGTTAAGTGACATTTGGTAAAGGGGATCTGTTATTCACAAATAATCATCTCACTAAATTGCTCAAAGCTGGAAGCTCAGTCTTCCACTAGATTTTAATTTGTTATTGCTTTTATAAGGTTTATGAAGTGATCATGTACTGCACAAAGCATTCAAATCATAACGTGGTGACAGCCTCGCTCGAAACATTGCTGCAGCTTCTGCGTGCCCCACCTCCTGCTCTTCTGTCGATTCTTCTATCAGCTGAAGGAATTACACCAAGTGCCAACTCTGATGCATCAAAGCAAGGTAACTTTACAATGTCTGCTGGAGGTCCACCTGCAAGTAATGTGTAGAATACCATAAATGAAATACAGAATTCCCTTGAATAAGCACCCAGGTGCCTAAAAGGCCAAGAGCGCTTACTGGAAGTAGGGTGCTTAATCCAGAGGGGTGCTTATTATAATTTGTTCTGATTCCACCGTAGTTGAAGGTTGAAAAGTTATACAAGTTATTATTTTGGTAAGTGAGAGAGGAGGGGGGGAGGCTTTCTTTGAGAGGGTGCTTGTTTGATTTTATGGCCTAGGGATGGGGACTTGTCTAGGGGAGGGCGCTTATTAGAATTTGGATGCCTATTTGGGAAAGTGCTGTAATTCTTGTTTAGAAGACTACCCTCTTACTTCATAACTTTCACAATATTCTGCTTATCATGTTACAGTATCATGAAGTTAACTGGTTTAAATGTGAAAATAGGAGAGAGGCAATCATTAGTTCTTAAAGGCTTGAATCTATGGAACAACTTGAAGGGTGTGAATTGGCAACCTTTAAAAACCATGTATGGTAGAATGATGTGATAGAGAAATCTACTTGCAACAAGGTCTTTTAAATATGCCCTAGAAGAGAGAGAGAGAGAGAGAGTACAGTTATTGTATTGATTATAAACTTTAAGAATATTGGGAAAGGGAGAATGTGGGAGATTGTATTTAAATGAGAGAAAATTCTTATTTATACATGTTTGAATGGTATTCAATGGTGCTTTTGTCTTGCCTCACTTGCCTCTCTTGCCTCACTTTCTTACTATCCAAGACTTGGAGTTTCTGGAAGAAACACCCTCTGAAGGTGACCCAACAATGAGTGAACTAGAAACAGCTTCCATTGCTGAAAGCACTGCTAGTACTGTAGATACTGGGGTTGGCAGCTCCATTGCAACGGATTTTGACACAGAGCAAACATCAGTTGATGAAATGCTGAGGTCAGCAGAGCTGGATCGCCTGCGTCTCCACGGTGGTTCTGCTGGAGACAATGATCAAACCAGAGAGGAAGCAGAAGAAGGAATTGATGTCTTTGATTCCACAATGAGTGAGGTGAAGACAGAAAATAGAAGAACTGCCAGGTCTTTATCAGACCCTGGTTATGCTGCTGAAACAGATAACAATGCATCCATTGATGCAACTCAGAATGAGACTCAAGTATCACATGGAACATTTGATTATGTTGCCCACCGAGACAGTGATGGCTTGGAGTTAACCACCTCTGAGGATGACACCATTAGGACAGAGTCAGTATCAACACAGGAAGTAAGACTGCTTGTGGAGAGAAGTTTTCAGATAGATGCAGTGGCCTGCAAAGGGGTGCCTCTTGTACACTGTGTCCGCCTAATGAGCTCATTTCTTTTGTCTGGAAACCCTGGTGAGATGCTGTCAGACTCTTGTGTGCGTGTGAGTGTTAAATCATTGGCCCTTTCTTGCATCGCTCAAGCTGTTAAGCTCTACCCTGAAGCTTTCTTAGTAAGAATATTACCTGAGTTATCTGAGGATTCAGATGGTGAAGAATTTCATCAATCCAGTCCTCAGCTTGTTAGAGATATTCTTCTCTTTAGTGGACATGGAGATCCACAACTGCGAGGAAGTCTGGCCACTGTGATTGGAAATGTTGTAAGGACAGGACTGAAGAAAGGAAGGTTAGTAGATCAAAGCTGAGTACAGGAATTTATCAATTTGGTGATGGTTATCAAAAGAATTGTACAGTTTGCTGACTTGCTTAGGAGGAAGCTGGAAGTGATGATCAAAGTTGAGCAGATGCATGCACAATACATGTACATTTCACACATAATTTCCACAGTGAAGTATCTTTTAAACTGCTTTAACTTGTATCATGTTGATTAACCTTTCCTAATTTTTCATTAAATTTCAGGCTTGATTTTGACACTTGGTGCATAGACAACTGTCAAGAAATGGAGACAGGTATCAAATTGTTTGTCAATATGGTGTTTTTATAAACAATGTGTTTGCATTAAAAATTATTGTGTCTTTTCATGCCCTGGTTAACCAGCATGTAGATACAAACTTTATTTACACTTAATAAGGCTTCTTTTCTAGGAAAATTTAAAAAGGGAAAAAAAAACAAAAGCAAAAGTTACTCAAGACCCATCTAACAACTAATTGTTGATTAGTCTTTGGCTGCCTTTCTGTTGTTTGATGATTATCTGTTGTTTGATTGTCACTTTTCAAGTTCTGGCAAAGTTACTGACTAGCTTTTGTCAATAGTCAGCACATCATGCACTGGAAGTTGCTCATGTTTGGGTGGCATGTTTTTGAATTAGGTGTCATTGTTACTGTATTGCTACATTTCTAATGAATTTTTTAAAACTTGATTGACCACTGAGTTTTAGAAAAGTCGATGTTTTTTGTTGCTTGTTGGTCAGCAGCCTGTTGATCTGTAACTGGTAATAATTTTTGGGAAATTTACTTGAAGAAGAGAATATACAACTGCATGCCTATAGTTTGCTGTATTTAGGAGAACTGATCTTCAACTAGAGCTAGTCTTAAGTGCCAGAGACATCCTTACCCCAATCCCTTATGTTCTGAGAGTCAGGCCCAGTTCAGATGTTGTGCTTCTACCATGTCAAACTTAAGTGCAATTAGGTTTGACTATAGCACAGTGGAAGCATGATTCTGATTCAGATGTACAGCCAATGTTGAGTGAAACTCAGCATTTACTGAAGCACCCTAAGCACATACTCTGTAAAGGAGAATTATTTTTGTGACTTCCCCAAGGTAACGCAATCCTGCCAAAACACATTAGCTTAATTTATGAATTTTGTGTGGCACAGCAGGGGTATAACACCTGAATCACTGTCATGCCAGAGTTGTGTAGCATGGCAGAGCTTGTCAAACTTAATTGCTGTGCTGAACTTAATTAAAAAGTTTGATTCAGATGGCGTGCTTTTGTCAAACTTAATTCCTAAATTAAGTTTAGCATGGCAGAAGCACAGTGTCTGAACTGGGCCTCACTGTTGCCTGGGTGATGCCAAAGGGGATTTGACTGAGGAGATGGCTGAATTCAGGCTAAACTAGGGTGTAAAAAAGTCTGTCAACTGGCTGATGATGACTTCATTTCAGTGGAGCAAGTACAAAAGTTTCACCAATCATGTTCTTCTTGTGAGAAACTCATCTTACCAAAGTTTCTTTTCAGAGCTGGATAACATGTAATTTCATTTTGATTTATCACAAGTTTACCTCTCTCACAGTTCCATTTGGACTGGAAGATCTAATCTCAGTGTTGAAGTCTATCCTTCAAGATGAGTCTCCTGTTGCTATCAGACAAGCATGTGTTTCTCTAAAGGTATAGCATATGCAAGTCAGAGAAATTCTTGTAATTCAAGTTAAACCCAATGAATTATTTGGGGTCAACCAAAGTTGATTTCTTTGCCAATAATACAAAACGATTGAAAACAAAAGAATTAAAGTTTGTGACATGTTTGGTCCAATAACAAGAAAGCAAACATTTGTAACACCTCAACTCTTCAACTTAATGTGCTCTTAAGTTTACATTTCCTTTCTCATACATGACTTGTTTTTCTTAGAGCTGCCTCTTTTTGCTGTGCTCTAGTAAACACTCCAAGGTTGCTTTGGACCTGTTGAACACCATTTCAACTCTAAAAGATAACTCTTACTGGCTAGTAAAGGTTTGTATAGAAAAGTTGTTACATTTATAATCCAGTAACAGTGTTTTTTTTTTCCAAACCACAGATACTACTTTCTCTTGAATTTTTATTAAACTACAAGAGAGAAGGTTTTCCTGAGTTATAACTTTAGTTTGAATCGAGAGTGAAATATCTTCTGATGTAGTGTAAATCATAGTTGTAGTGGCAGACATATCTTTGTGCTGTGATGCACAAAATATTGAAAAATTGCTTGCATTACCGCCATGTTTTTGGTTTTTGGTTTTTGGTTTTTTTTAAAAGCTTTATTGGGTATGACTGATATTAATGATACTAATTCAATTTCATAATACAATTTACAATATAAATCAAAAGTACAAGATATAACAAGAACAATCATTGACAGAGCAAAGCAGAAAAAAGTAACTCATCATAATTTATGGAAACAGTCAAAAGCCATGATTTTTTTGTTCTCAAAAGCCTGCAAATTTAAAAGAAACAAGTTTGGTTGGAGTGTCGTATAGTAACTACTTGCTAACCTTAGTTGCATGAGCTGCACTGAATATTGACCCTGTGCAAGAATATTGTCCCTGTTGGGCTTGGTTAGTGAGGAGTTACTCTCACATGGATTCTCCATCTACATCCTCCATTCAAAAACAAAAAACAAAACAAAAAAAACGAATTAAAATAAAGATGAAAAAAAATGAGGAGGTGCACATTCATGCAATGTGAATTGATGTTAAACTTTCTTCACCTCGTGGAAAAAAAATCTAACCATACCTTTACAAATCTAAATACAGGTTGAATTATTGGAAATACTAGGGGAAGTGGACTTCAGGTGAGATTTTACAAAGCCAATTGATTTCATATTGCATTTCTTTGAGGTGAACTAAACACTTATTGGTCAACTGCAAGAAGTGATATTAAAATGCTTCTGTGTATAAAGAGTAAACTTTTTTAATTATTATTTTCAGGCTTTTAGGTCTTCTAAAACTTAAATTTGAACACCTCCAGGAGTCAGGGATGCATAAATTGTTTGTAAGTTTTGGTTCACAAAATGCAGAAGATAAACTTGTATTTAAGACTTTTTATACAATATTTGTCAGTGCACTAGACCCCCTATAATCCTCCACTCGTCTCAATGGTTGTACTGGTTTTGTTTTGGTCATATTGGTCATTTTGTTTTGAAGGTTATAGTCAATTTGTTCAGGTAATTTCATTTTGGTCGTTCAGTCATTTTGTTTTGGTTGTTTTGGTTGTTTTGCTTATAGGGTAACATGCATTGACATGCATTGGCCCAGTGGTCAGCATTGTGTTGCATTCAAGGGCAAGTTTTTTTACTCTCAAATTGTGTCTCTCTCCCAAATGTGTGACTGACCACAATACCAAGACCACACCTGGCAAATTGCAAGTTAACCCAGTAAAGGACTAACATCTTACTTAAAAGGAGCAGCAATCATTTCAAATGCATCATGCATCTGAAAAAAGCAAGTTCTTTTCATGTCTTCCAGTGCAAAACCAGCTCAAGGTCCTCTGTTTTTCAATAAGCTCAACCTAGCCAACCCATTCAAAATTCATCAAAACTGATGATCATTTGAAAACAATTTGAAGAAATACCCCCTCTTTTCTTTTAGATTCTACTTTCTTGTGATTTCTTTTTTTCCCACTAAATAATTATCTCCTTTTTTCTGTGAAATAGACTGATTTTCTTCTTTTTGTTGTTTGTTGTTTTTGATCAATAGAAAACTAATTTGCAAGAGGATTTGATTAATAATGTTATTCTACACTTGCTGGAGGATGAGGACATTCGAGTGAGGCAAGCAGCTGCTAAGTGTGTTGTCAGGTATGTTGTGTTATGAGAGCAACAGGGAAAAAAACTGCCTGTTGAGTTCCACATTCAGAATGCCATAAAATTAAACAGGATAACTGTGTGTATCAAAGGAAAAATTGAAATTCTGGATGGGAAACATCCTTCTTCCACCATTTAATTATGTAACAATCCAGGCTATGTTGAGAATGCTAAACAGGTGCAGTTGGTAAAGAGGGGCAATACAAATTACCTCATAACCAGAGAGGAGAAATTTGGTATCTTAGTGGTTGGCTAGAATTTGAAATCAATCTTTTGGAGTACTGTAAGAATGGAGGGGAGCTTGTCTCTTAGGAAAAAATTCTTGTTGGGCTAGTTTCTTAGCTTACATTTGGTTAACTTAAAAATGATTAAAGCTCTTCATTTAGAATAAATTTTTTGGAATAATGATCTCAACAAATTAAGTAATATCATAACAGTGGGCAGTGATAAGATCTACAGCATTAGTTCAATGAGATGAAACCAGTGAGAAAAACTTCTGGGGATTCAGTGTAACTTTTATACTCCTACTTAATCTGATGAAAAGTAATTATTCTTATGATACTTGTTCTTCCCTGCCCAGCATAGTTCCAAGACTCTTTCACTCACTGAACAGTGACAAGCAAGCTTTAGTTGTATCTGCTGCACAGAGCCAAATCAGTGAGTCTTCGCAGGCTTTCATTTAATTTTTTTTTTTTTTACTTAAGTGACTCTACACCCTTAAATGGTATTTTTTTAGGGGTACTTTATACAGAAAGATTCATTCACTTTGCAAAAATTGCAATTTAAAATGATTTCTAGTTTTTTAAAGTTTATTCTTCTATGGTGTAAATGTAATTGAAACTAAGAAACAACAAATCAAGCCAGCTAATTTATTTCATTTGAGATTGCAACTTTTTATCAGGGTTCTCGCAGTATTGTGACCAAAAGTCATAAACTGGTTGCCAGAAATAAAAATTAAGTTGCCAGAAACCAGAAAAGGGAAAAAGAAAACTAAAATGTACATGATGTGCAATATTACGTGATGCTGGTGTACTGAATTACAATATGGAAAAAGCTGGGTGACAGTTGGTAAACATTGCTGGATAGTTAAACCAAATTCAATATGTTAAACCAAAAATAGATAATTGTATTAATACCTGTTACACTTACATCTCTGTTATATTCCAGGCAGTCTCTTTATTCAAGAGTCTCACTGTAAGGCTTTCACCCACTCAGTTGTTGATGCTAACCTTTCAAGAATTGTGACACTTGTTGGTAACAAGCTGAATCATTCAACATCAAGAACCTGTTTGGTATACTGAATTACCAATATTATCATCATCATCATCATTATTATTAGTACTATTATCAGTATTATTATTAATGTGTATGGACTGTATTATTTTCTTTACAAGAGACTATCAAAGTGTATCAACCTGATATTTTAAATGTAATGACATGCATTTAGCTGGTGGAGAGCCCCAAAAAATTCCTCAAATATGTACCTCATACTCTTCCTATAAAAAGCTTACTCACTAGATATAACTTTGAAAGGTGTTAGTGGCCTCCCTGAAATGTTGGTGTAACTGTGATCTACTGTACTTTAAGCTTGGTTTCAAAACAAATCCAACCTAAGAATCTATGTTTAATTGTTGACAAAATAAAGAGTTTTATACTGTCCTTTCTTGCATAACTATTGATTGGATAAGGCAACAGTTTCAACCTATTGCCATGTGGCTCTCTTGGGAGTGGAAGCATAGGGATGCAATGGGGAGATTATCTTTTATTAGTTCCATAACATGAAAGTGTTTAGGTGAGTAAGTTGCTACTAACAACTTACATCAGTTTCTTCTCTCAATCTTTGTCTCAACAGCTTGGATGTATTCATGTTTTGTCATTACTGGTTGAGACGTTCCCTGTTGCAAGTTATCCTGAAGCATATGGGTGTAGTGTGTCAATTTCATGTCGAAGTCCCCTGCCCGCCCACCCTATAGGGCCATTTAGTGCACCCTCCAGACCTTCAAGTCCAAGTGCTTCTTGTGCAGGGGGAGGAGGGCCTTTGTCTATTGTGATGGGCAGTATGATGTCTTCATGGCTTGCTTATGATCTCTTTGCACATCAGCAGTTGTTGCAAGTAAGTATTGTAGTCATTATTATTCACTATTAGTGCTCCAACAAGCCTCCCTCTTTAATATCAGCATCTTTGTTTGCCTTCTGTCTAAAATTATAATGTGCTCTAATTGTGTGTTTCAAACTGCCCCTGAAATGGTTAAAATACTTCATTCCCACCCAAACACATTTGTTGAGACACTTACTGCCTCTCTTGCCCCTTTCAATGTTGGTTTGTAAGATGGCATAGACACGATTGCTATTGACAACATCATAGGGTATCTGGAAAAGTGTGCCAACTATTTTCAATATATGTCTGGGAGTGTAGGTAACATTTCCATACAAATATAATGGATGAGTTTCTGTGATAGTTATTATTTGTTGGTTTTTTAACTGTGAAATTTATACCACATTTGGTATTCTTTAAAACTAAGCAACCTTTTAGGAGAAATAATTCTTGACTTACACTTCGGGACTTATTGTAGGTCTTACAGTGTGGCAGTTTTTAGAAGTATGCTTGTAGACCAGTTTAGACCACTCACTAGACTTAAGCACACTCATGGGTAATAGTAAAAAAAAGAGATGTTCATGGAAAATAAGCATGCTGTGTTATTTCACTTAGATTGCAGGGAACATCTTGTTTGGTGCTGGATGTAGTGGAGTTCATGTTACACTCAAGATGCACTCTGAGAGAGGACCCTCAGATGAGCCTATCAGTTCTGCTGAACATTGGAGTGTGTTTACTGATAGTACATTAGCTCCTCAGGCAGAAAAGCTTGTACTTCATATGGCCAGGTACAGATACATTAAAACCTTATTTCAAAAACTCTACTTGTGGGTTGTTTAGGAAAGACTACAATTAATTAAGAGTCTTATGTGTTACCTATCTTGTTCAGTTGTGGATAAAACCTCTGCTAGGAGGATAGCTTTTGTGAAGTGCATTCTGGTTACAATCACAACTGTGCTTAGTGACCTTATGGTTAAGGGTCTCAGAACATTATTCACACTCTTAGGCAAAAAAAAATTGGTCATAAGTTATGGAGATCAATTGTATAATTATATTTGCATATTGATATCAGACTTAGTAACCAATCAACTCTCAGAGGCATTATAAATGTAATTTATCACAGTTTATCTAGATATCAGCTGCAGTGTGTTATATTGATATAGCAACCCATTCTCTCAACTTATTAACCAGGAATTTTTTTGGCTGCCAAAGGGAAGAATTTCTGAGACGTATAATCTTGGAAATTGGTGGGTTGAGGAGAGTTAAAATTTGATACCAGCAGGAAATATGAACTATACTACTATGTTACACTAACATCTGATTGAAAGTGGTGGATTGAGCTACAGAATTATCCTAGACTGTAGAAAACAAGGAAGCTATTAAAATGGGACTTCCAGATTTTAATTCTTGTTTATAATATGTTAGAGTTTGTCCCCTCAATTGTGTTCTTTTTCATGGATTAGCAACATTTTCATTTTTAGGTTATTGAACATTTTTACCCATGTTGTTGAGCATACTACCCCAGGTGCTCACTCCTTTAAGGTATTGCTGTAAAAATAAACTTTAGAATGTAAATGGTGTCCATGTCAAATGAGTAATATTTTGAAATGTTGTATTGATAGATGTAAGTCTTGCAAAACATGCCTATGATCACTAGGCCCTAATCTCTACCTCTCTATTGATGAATTAAGGCAGGTGGTATCTGACTGAGTGGTCCTTGACTCACGTATTGCATCCAGTGATCCAAATGGTTGCTTTAAAAAATGGTTCAATTAAGACATGTTGTTCATTTATGTAAAGTGCAGTTTTATTGCATGGTGCAATATTTTGAATTGGGATTTGAAATTTTTAGACAATACCCCTAATCTACCCACCTCTTGCATTCAAAACAAGAAAAGTGGTAAATGCCATAAATAGAAGGTTGTGATTCTTTATCATCATGAAGAACAGCTTTTTGGTTATGAGGTGTGAATTTTGATTGTGATTTTTCGACTGTCTATGGCTGGTATAGAAAACCAACCAATTACAATGGAGTATTACACTTCATTAGGTGGCTTATGACTGTCAATCTGACAGCCTAATGAGGACTATTTGTGTAGACCTAAAGCCAAACTAGCTACATCTTGATACAAATAAGGAGAGTTGATTACTATGAGCAATAATTTCCATAACCCTTGTGCAGCATTTGGTTCCATTTTTTGTTTAATTTTGTTCCACGTCAGATTCCATTCCCAGGGCAAAACAAGGACAAGCAACAGTCAGGTGCCATTCCTGGTGTGGCTGCTCCCCACACCCCTCCTTCAGCTTCAGCTGTCTCTAGTTCTGCATCAACTGTTCCCAAAAGACTGTTGACCAAGACTAAGCGGGCTCTCTCAGAAGCTGATTTACACCAAGCCTCCTCAGATAAACCACTGTCACCCTCTAAGACCCAAGGGGGAGTGGGGCAGTCTGGTGAATCTGAGCAAAGCACTCAAAACCCCCCTCCCAAGAGCAGCATTGGAACATTTCATCATATACCTCACTATATGAAGTTATATGAGATCATCAAGGGAGCCTATGCTAACAACCAGGTAGTGGTCAAATATTTTGAATATATTTTTTTCTATTCTAATAATGCAATTTTGCTTTTATTAAGAATAAAACTTATAAGAATAAGTAACCACAGGTAAATACATGATGTGCAAGACTTTCAGCTGCAGCAAAAAAAAACAACAACAACAACAAAAGCAATGCACAAAATAGAGAAGTGACAAATCCTTGAAAATATGCATCAAATCAGTTTGTTTTTAATTTCTCTAAATGGACAGATAATATTTGCTATTTTGCTTTGTTGCCATGTAGCTTTGCAGGTTCCTGTCAATTAACCCCCTCACTCCTTAGATGTCATTAATAATTCTCCTTGCTGTCTATATACAATTGTTACTTGGTTAATTCAGAGAATTTGAAAGTGGATCAACTTATAATCTCCTCATGATATATTTCTTTACTCTCATACCTTACCTGCTTGATACTGTATAGATATCGTTAGGAGAAATTCTGTCTTGGTCACTCATGGGAGTCAAAGGATTAATAGAGCTGAAAGGAACAAATGACTAAGGAACACCTTTTATGTTGTGAACGATATTTTTTTGGGTGTATTTTTTAACACAAACTTGACTTACATATTTACTTTCAGAGACACATGACTCATCTTGCATAGAAAAAGTTACATTTTAGGTTGCTTACAAGACCCAACTTTTATGAACTTGGACAGCATGAATTTGAAAGAAATAGACAGCGGGAACGAAGATGATTTCCCTTTCATGAACAATCTGTATTAGATAATTACTTAGATATAGGTAGAGTAGTGATCACATCTATTCATCCTACTTTGAAAATTTGGATGTTGAGGTAGATTGTATGTTATTGATATGATGCTTCAATTTTCTCCAGATGTTATATAAATCATTGCAGCCTGTTTTGTTCAACACAAGTTTGTGATTTTGAACAGGTTTCTCTGCTGGCTCCAGATCAAGACAAGTTTTGTCAGTTCCTATCAGCAACCTTACATTCTTTGTCTTTACTCCTTGAAGTTACTGCATTTGCTGACATTGGAAAGGTGTGAACAACTTATATATATATCATGGTGCAACCTTGTGTGTCTATTCAGAGATTGATAACAAGGGTAATACACGCTTTTATACATGTTTTTCAGCATGTTGAAGAAATACTTGGCTATTTGCAAGTTTGTGTGAAAGTGGAGGCCACAAAGACTTTATTGTGTGTTCAGCAGGTATTAATCAATATGCTACATCACATTTTCAGTTACATGAATGGTCAAGTGTTTTCATCCTGGAGGTTTCGCCCCAGTAAAAGTCTACCCTCGCCAGATCGCCCCCATCACGACGAGTTTGCCCCATCAATTATAACGTGTTCGCCAGCACCTTTTCCAGTTTGCCCCCAAATCTATAACTCGTTTTCCCACAGTAGAACATGTTCCTTTATTCGAAGAGAGAAATAATGACGGTCTTAGTAAAGATCCTGATAATGTAAAAAAAAGAAAACCCCGGACTAGTCATAAAAGGAAAGAGTTGGGGGAGGGGGGCGAGGTGGTGATATAAGTGGGGTTGAACTTAATGTATTTCATAGCGCAAAGTCATCGATTTGGGAGTAAACTGGTAATGGGTGAACTTCCAATGGGGCGAAGCCTCCAGATACTTTGTGTAGCGTGAGTTGTTGGATTTGAAACTTGGAGGTCTCAGGTTCAAAGTCTACGCTCTGCCATTTAAGTGAATTTATTTCTTGGTCGTTTTAAGTTTGAATCCTTTGCTCTACTTGGCAAATTGTCAACTTGTTTAGCCCCTGCGTGTTTTCGTGTTAATTGTTGAGGAATACCTAATAAGCACAGGGGTGCTAAGTACAGACAGGAGCCTAATGGGCTCCTGGTACAGATGATAAATTATTACAAATAATAAAGTTATGTTATTTATGTTACAGTGAATATACTATGTGTTGCAGTGCTTTGCTTTCAAGAGATCCTTCCTAACAACATTACAGATATTGGAAATTGTCCATCACTGCTTAAAATCATTTTATTTTAAAGCTTTTGCGTGCAATGTTTGGTATCAACGCTTTGAGCCAACCAGAGCTGATCCAGAACTTGACAGTTCCTCCCTGTTTGGCTACTAGTCTCGTGACAGTACCACGACAAGCTGAGATGCTTCCCGTGGATAAAAGCTTTTACCACTTTTGCTTTGTGTATCCATTGGTGCTCGTTACGCATTCCCTCCAGAAGTTGAAACATAAGGAAGAAATAAAAGAAAAAGGAAAGGAAGCAGAAGAGTTGGGGTATGGTGCTTACTTCTGTGATTTCTTAACGTGATTCTTTTCCCATAAAAGCAAAAGACTACAAGCGGTACCTCCTTTTCAGTGAAGTCCGTCGCTCGAGAAAAATAAAATCAGTGAGAAAGAATTGATGCTACGCGCCGTGGGGGGGCTCTGGAGGTGAGGCGCTCGAGTGAAGCCTATTTTTGGAGCGCCACAGTCCCAGAGTTCCCTGCGGCGCGCTAACATCAATTTTTTTTCCAATGATATTTTTGACGCGCGCGACAGACTTTGCCGAAAAGGAGGGACTGCCCGTTGTCTATAAAAGCACTAGTTTGTTCATCAGTAGGGCTGCGTTTTAACCTTTTTGTCTCAGAACGGAATACGAAAGCCAATCATCTGATGTGTTGACGCTAAATTTATAAGTTGGTTGGTCGTGTAGATTTTCTTTACATGACCGAATAAAGTACCCTTGATGATAAGTTTTCTCAATCCTCTGTAACTGTTCACTGGACAGAGTCTAAAGATTTTCAGGAATATTTGAGTAAACACCACTTTGAGAGGCAAAGAGTTACCAATGTTTTATAACAACTGTTAACATCTTTATCGTTCGCGTCTCGATGTTACCGCCATCATTTTTACTTTTACTGTTATCGTTGATGTTGTTATGTTAGTTATTGGTAGTAACTTTTTTTAACGCAGCCTTGAAGTTTTTTTTTACTATGTTGATTTTGTCTTTTATGAATCATTGTTCATTTTTCCTCAGAGGAATTGGTGTTTTCATTAAAAAGCTCCGAAATAAGGCTGCCTCGTCTATTCGGCCACCTGTAAAACTGGACAAGGTATGAGAGGCTGCGTTACCCGTTCATTATCTCCTCTAATAGATAGTCTCGACTTTTTGCCATTCCAGGTTTACAATGTTCTTACAATAGACTGAAAGTTTTTCCCTGGCTAGAAACCCTCTCCTAGTTGCTGAGAAAGTAGGTTATGTCGCCCCTCGGCCATGTCGCTTAAGTCACTTCGTTCCCAAGCTGAGTGGTCTCGCCCTCAATTGCAGTCACATCGCTCCCAAGAACGATTAACGTGCATTGAGTTTGAGTTAGGCCAACCATTTATACCCCTTAGTTCTTTTAGGTCAAACAATGACATAAGGAGTCTAATTTTTGGGGTGATGTAATTACACTTAGGGGCGAGGTCACACAGCTAGAGGGGAGACTTTGCATTGGGCGACTTGGTAAGGGGCAAAGTGATCTGTTTCCGCAGAGGAAACTTAATTTAGGGATTTTAGTTAATAACGTAATGAGATGACAAGTTTGAAAAATGTCCTTTATAAATCTTTTGATCTTTTTTTCTAGCAATCACCCATCCATTCATACATCCGCTGGTTTGAACCGCTCGTAATCCGTGCCTTGAAGGAATACACAATGTCCAGTAAAGTGATCTTGCAGCAGCAAGTCCTAAGCCTCTTAGCTCAGCTCATAAAACTTAGAGTGAATTATTCTCTACTGGACGCTGATCAGGTGAGAGCCCCGAACAAAATTTTTTACTACACAAGAAGATTAAAGCGATTTCTATAGGATTATGTTTTCACTTGTTGTCAAGTGCTTTATCCAAGGTAACATTTCTTGCTAAATGCATGAGCTACGAAAATGTGTCAGAAGACTTTGCTGCAGTTGAATTTTTTCTTATTCCATCTCGATTTCCTGCTTAACTCCACTGGAGCACTTTTCGATAGTAAGCAGCTTTGGGAATTTCTGTATTAAGGTTTTCGGGAATAAATGGGTGCGATTTTGTTTACGCAGGTATTCATCAGCTTTGTTCAGAAACAATTTGAATACATTGATGCAGGCCAAATAAAGTGAGTTTTTTGTTTATATAAAACATACAGCAGCATTGACTCTAAAACTGTTACGGATAACTGATCCAAAAAACATTTAACACAGGTCGTTTGTTTCTGAAGAAGCGTTTTCAAATTGAGAGTCGTCAAACCAAAACCAAAGTAATCTGGAATCTTTTTAACCCTTAAACTCCCGCGATCTGATCATTAATTCTCCCCGCCAGCTTTAACACACTCCCTTGTTGAACAGTTATAAGAATTTGGTTTTAGATCAAGGTAACAACTGCGTGATAAGTTTGAGAATTCTCATCATCTGTTTGCTGGGTAGTGTGTGGATATCACAGGAAGAAGTTACCTGTGAAACACTTCCGGGAGTGAAAAGGTTAAACACTCGATTGAAAAGTATTTAAGAAAGATTGTCATGCTCTGCATTATCGTTTTAACCCTTTGACTCACGGGTGTGATCAATATATAAATTCTCCTTACAGTGTTAATATACTAATAAGTAGACAGGTCGTGAGAATTAGAAAAATTGACAAGAAGATTATATCTTAATGTAATGAAAATTTTTAGGAATGACGCAGAGACTGAGAAATATATGATAAACAGCGTGGAGAACTGATTAACTTTCATTGATGTCGAATTTGCTCTTTGCTTTTTCATAATCAAACCTATTGATTTCAATACTCTGTACTGAATTTCTTAACAGATCCTGCGACACTTTCCTTCCACACATCTTCCAGTTTCTTGTGTTACTGTCCTATGAGTGCTTTCAACCAAAGTTTAATCAAGCGAAAGCAATTGTGGGAATGCCAAGAATTATCCAGCTTTGTGATGGTATCATGGCGGGAGGACAGCCAGCCCAAACTCACGGTACGCACCACCCCAGTGCTTATGCTCTTCTTACAATATTACGCCAGTAAAAAGTGGTTCTTATTTCGTTTTGGTCGGTTTACTATTCTTCAGTGAGTTGTTGCCGCTATATTTTACTGACCTGCACAGAAGTTTATAGGGGGCCAATTATTTACTTACGTAACACTGTTTCAACAGAAATAATTGACTTACATTGTTATCAGGAACATAATGAGATCCTGTCTAGCCTGATTTTACCCTAGACATACGTTGCTTGAGAACCATTTCAGCTTGTTGGCGAAAATCTTGTGTTGTTATTTTCGGGATCTTACTTTTCGTGATAATTTTTTTTTCAGCCATTCCAGCTTTACAACCAATAATCCATGACTTGTTTGTACTGAGAACTGCTAGTGGTAGTGAAATCGGAGGAGATCTGGAAACCCAAAGAGAAGTTGTCGTCTCAATGCTGCTTCGTTTGGTGCACTATCCCGAGGTAGGATGGAATGTCAGTTGGTTGGTGAGACGATCAGATAGTAAGAATTTAGATCAGGCATTTGGTTGGTTAGTTTGTAGATAATTAAGCCAATTTCTGTCTTTCCGCTGCCCATTCAGTGATTCAGACCACTGCTTAGTTACTGTGACTTTCTGGAGGTCAATTAGTTGGCCAGCCAATCAGTTGGTCAATATTTCACTCAGTCAATCAGCCAATAGGTCAGTCAGCAAATCAGCTGATAGGTTGGTCAGTCAGTCAATCAGCCAATAGGTCAGTCAGTCAATCGGTCAGTAAGTCAGTCAGTCAGTTAGTCAGTCAATCATTCAGTTAGTCAGTCAGTCTGTCAATCAGTCAGTCGGTCACTTAATTGCTTTTGTCAGAAAGACAGGAGACTGATCTTCAATTATTTGGCCTGCCAATCAGTTGGTCAATCTGTTACTTAGTCACTCAGGCAGTCAGCCAGCTAGTCAGTCAGGCAGTCAGTCAGTCAGTCACAATTGCTTTTGTCAGTTAGACAGGTGACTGATCTTCCAGTGAACTAGGACATTTAAGAAGTATCGTCTGGTAAAAAGGAGCTAAAACTCAAAGTGGCTTAAAATGTTATTTTACTTACAGGTGCTAGAAATGCTGGTTACAGTTTTGAACTGCTACCAGCGAGATGAAGTCAAATGGAAGGACCTATCGGGACAAATCATAGACCTGCTCCTTCCTCTTCTGGCAAACCAGAAGGTAGAATTGTTAGTTCAAATTGACAATTAGTTTGTGAAACAATGAAGTTTATGACTTCATTTTTCACCTCAACTTGTCTCAATCAAACAAATAAGCGTTTAGGATGAAAAAATTGCTAAATTTCTGAGTGATTATTACTCTGTTCTTATCAATACAGGTCCACGTTGAATCAGAGTATGGTATTGAGATGTTACAAGCTGTGTTCGCCGCTGTTGCCCCTGGGTCATTATGGCCAGTAGATGTGCTCTTGAGGGTTTTGTTTTCCAGCTTTGATCAGGTGTGAAACTGTTTTACAAATTGTGTTATGTACGTGACGCTACCGATGTTGCTTATCCTAGCAGTATACAGGGTGCTTGTTACCATCGAGTTCTTTGTGGATCAGTGGAAGAACATCGGACCACAAAACTAAAGGCAGTTCTAAGGTTTAGATCGTCGCGGGTCAATCAGATTTCTTTTTCTTTGTTACAAATCGGAAATCAACTTTCTGTATTTGTCGGCTGCACCAGAAATTTACCTTCTTTCTTAATTTGTTTCCTAAAGTTAAACTTAGAGCGAATTTTTTGCTGATTTAAGTAAAAAGAGTCTTTTTTTCCTTGCTCAGAGAGACATAATTTTTCTGCTGCACCGCTAACTAGATTGCAGTATTAATAGCAAATCAGCCTCTCAACAGTTTTTATTTTTCATCTCTCGCTGAACTCTCCTTTTCCAATTTTAGTTATTAGCTATTTTTCCCTCTTGAATACTTCTTTCTTAACACAGTCAGATGCATTCAAGCGTTGGTTAGCTACAATACTTGTGGTATTACAAACTCTCATGGCACAAGTAACAGAAGACATCCTTCTGTCGAGAATTGACCAATCGGGATTTCGACCTAGATGTGTCAACATGATGGACAAACCTTTGCTACCCATTGAAGTGAGTATGAGAGTCGGCGAGTTGTGAAGAAAATACGTGGAAGAGGAGGGGAAGTAGTTATGCGATCCCATCATTCTTCACTCCTTTTCTCTGATTCCCATAAGATTGCAGTGATCGTAAGTATCACAAGAAAATCGGCCGTGAGATTTTAAGAGAACTGGGGCACGCTGGAGTTCTGAACATGTACACTAACCTTTCTCTATCAGCTTATCCTATGGGACGTTCCTATGAGGTCCCTTCTTTAGAAAATTCTTCCTTTGACACCAATCCACAAGCTTCTTCAAATAGCATTTTGAAAGGGTCATGTCGCTTTCCTGTCTCCCTCTCCGTCTCTCTCCTTCTATTTTCCCATTTACCCATTCTATATGGCAATTTTTCCAATGAGGTTCTTGTTTATCTTAAAATGTGTTCATTTTGTGTTGTTTTGTTTTTCATTTTTACAGGTTTTCGTAAAGTTCCTCTTTTACGTTGTTGAAACAAGTGCCAACCATGTTAACATGGCAACAAGAAACTCCTTAGTAAACTTGAGATCACCAAGCGAAGAAGCCTTCTTATTGAAACTGTTTGGCAGCTTGCTTTCATGTGTTACACATCTGTTAAAATCAGGTTTGTAACAATAGCTGAAGCGAAATGCATTATGAAGAGAACGCTTCTCTAGCTTACCATAGGATCTTTTTCCCATTTGTGCAAGACAAGCGCAAGCACGAGCACAGGCAACTTTTCTTCGAGCGTGTTCTTGTGTGTGTGAGTTATGGAGAAGTATTCTTGTCTCAAACGGCGTGGGAGTTAGCTTGCATTAATCCCTTGACCCCTTAGAGTGACTAGCATCTAATTTCTCCTTACAATATCACCTCAGAATCACATATAAAGGTTACGAGAATAAAGAAATGATCACCAAATGAAGAAGCTCTTGATTGTTGAACAAACTCTTCTTGTCAACACCTTTGAATATGTACAGAGAACAGTATGGAGAATATGCATAGTGATGTTAGAGCAGAAAGGATCAAGGACACCACTGAGTAATTTGATATTGCCCTGGACCACTCTTTCTGTCATTGCATCTCTGTTTGTGCTTTCAATACCGTACCACAAATGATAATTTTATCATGACAAGTAAAATTTCTCTGTTGATGTTGTTAGCAAACTTCAAGAAAGTGTCCCAGTTAGCATCTTCGTCACCCATCATCCATCCAACTGTGGACTTAGTCAATGAAAATTTGTCTCATCTTGTGGACACCCACCCAGTTCTGGTTCTACAGTGGTGTCATGTGTTGAGACAACTGAAGTACACGGACACACAGTTCTGGTTTGGGTTCCTTGACACAGGACTACGTTTGAGCACTGGTAGGAAAAGCAGAAAATTGCACTGTTTTTCTCCCAGCACCAGCTAAGAGACTCCTTTGAATGTTTGTTTGCCTTTAACTGATTGACACAGATCCATGGTCCTAGTTAAAAATTTTACAGAAGCATCCAAAACCAATTGTAGCTCTTTCAGAGTAAGGATAGACGATGTCTTATTTTCTTATATTTTCTACAACAGCAACAACAACAACAACAACAATAATAATAATAATTATAATAATAATAATGATATGTATTATATTTTATCTTCTCAGGAGTAAGAGTTCACGTACAAGTATCTCGATTCTTGTTAATTCTTTTTCTTTTTTTCGGTAGCCTCTGGTAGCAATATTGAACTGGAGGGCCCGACGTTGAATAAAGATGTGACTCGATCGGGAGTGATACTGATCTACTGTGACCTGCTTATAACACAGCACATGGTATGTTTACTCTGATGAATAACTGGGATGCGTTTTATTACAGAATGGCATAAATGTGAGTTACCTTATTCTGTGGAGATTTTTCACATAAAGCGCGAGAGAAAAATAGTTAGTCTTCCCTGAAAAATGTGGCGTAATTTTTTCAAGTTTATTTTTGCAGTCCATACTGTTTTGTCAATCTGGACACATGTAACTTTCCTCGTTCTTGGTGTTTGATTAATCTTTTGTTTTTGCTCTATTTTCGAAACGTCTCGGGGAAGCTGTTTTAGCGCCAGTAACCTTCAATAAGTAGCTGGCTACAAAATGTAAATTAAGCCAGATTTAACTCGGTGACGTGTAACCCTGGTTTAGGATTGAAAGGAAAGTAAACAGCAAGAGAATGTGAAACAGAATTAATCCTGCTTAAACAAGATCTCTTTTTCATGCACACCAGGAGCAGGGATCATTGGATCAGTCTCAGGTCGGGACCTTGCTAAGGATGTCCCTAGAGGACCTTGTACAGATGACAGATGAACCACCCATACAGGGGTTTCTAAGGTAAGCCGTCTTTGTTTTTGAAAATCTTTTTTGATATTCATGCATTATTGTCTCCTTCAGGAAGTACCGTATATAGAGGAAAGCTCGTTGAATGTGTGAATTGACTTTTAGTAATGTATACGGGTGAGTGAAAACATCTCCTTTTGTCATAGGAAGTTGAAAATTTTGACTTTGGGGACAGAAACTGCACTCTGTGGGGAAATTCTAACTATATTACCAAGAAACAATTGCCAATTTTGACAATCGTCAGTTGATAGGCCACTACACTCTGTAATTAAATGACACTCCTTATTTGCCCAGCCGATTGTACTCAAAGACTCCTTGTTCTGTTGTTAAATCTCAGCATTCTGTACAGTACTCACGAAGGAAGCAAGCTTCTGTTAGACTCATTTAGTTCCTCAAGAGCTCTACATGAAACAGTAAAACGGGTAGGCGTTTGATTATTATTAAAGGTTGTGTGATAATTCTTAAAACCTTGGAGGTTCAGCACTCTTAGTTAAATAGAGCGCTTTTCGAATGAGTGTCGTTAAACCAGTTATCACAACTGCCGATCAGAACTAAGAAAAGCATCGCAACGAGTCCTTGAGACTTAAAGTAAAAACAAGCCACTACCTAAAGCGCGATAAAATGTGAATAACTTAGCCGTGATTAGTTTTAGCTTTGCATCTCATTGGTTGAGAGATTGGCGGAAGTTTTCCACAGCATTTACAGAGTGTAGTAAAGCAAGATCAATGCAGTCCAAATTTGCTTTCAAATCACACCCAAGTGTCATTTGTGATAATATGAAAAGTTGAGCGCAAACCCAGGATATGTCATATTCATGAAAACTCAATAATAAGGCACTCTTGATAAATAATTCACTCGACTTTAACCGGATTCATGGATTACCTGTCGCTCTTTGCTTTCTCCAGCCAAGTCTTGTGCGTGATTTAATGAACTGCCTGAAGGGAGTGCATCAGTCACAATCGGTTTACCTTATCAAGATACTGGCGGAGTATTTCCTCAACTCAACTCATCAGTCGGTTGCAAGAATGGCAGAACGTTTGATTTGCAAGAAGTTGGAGATATGTATCGATGGACAGAAAATGGTAAATCATGCTTTTTACTCTGTGCAGAGTTTGAAGACATTATGCTCTAAAGTGTTGGCATCTAAAAACATCTGAGCAACGAAAAACTCCTCTTACATTAAGTTAAAGTGCTCGCCCTTACAGTTAGCTTGCATTTAAAGTCTGTATACTACATTTAGCTTGTCTTTGTTTTTATTAGGCACCATCCCAGGAACTCGTAGAGGATGAATTAAGATCAGTTTGTCAGTTGATAGCGTCGAAGAAGGAAATAACTAGGTAATGATAAAAGAGAATTTCAAATTTCCCCTTTTATAGTTAGTAGAGTTGGCCATCGGAAATCCTCAAAGTCGCCAAACATTAATCCAAAAATTAAATTAGGATGAACATCATATAATTCTCGGAAAGTCTTTCCAATTGCAGCCACTTCTCGTGCTCTCCAATTTAAACTTTAAATTTTTAGTGTGCAGTTTTTAGTACTTAATCCTACGCTTAGACAGTTACCAAAAAACGCAGCAGTCACTTGGTATGGTTTGGGCTAGACCTTAGGTAATCTTAGTCTTTGAACAGAAGAAAAGCCTGGCAAAACCTCGAACAATCCAAAGCAGTTCGTCATATCGCTCTGACGAAGGGCTAACGCTCGAAACGTCAGCCTTTAAACTCTTTACGATGGCTAATTTACGTTCAAGTTTTCAACTCAGTTGTTCACACTAAATTACCTGTTAAACTCTCCCACCGACGCAGCATCACAGTTTCTTCAGAAACTTAACCCCTTTATCCTATAATGTTATCTTGTTTTTACCTTTTTAGAAATCAAACGTTGTTGTCGTTGGTAACTAAAATTCTCCCCTCAAGTTCACCTGTGGAAAGGGATATGCCTTGCAATGAAGATCTGGCTTCGTCTATGAAAAACTACACGATTGATCAGGTGACTGTGTAGAGGAGGCTTTTCTACGAAACGTTTTTGTTTAAATTTGCCATCGTTCTTTCACAAATACTGCAATCTGATTAAGTTTTGAACGACTAGTAGATTTTTAAGTATGAAAGCGGTCTTCGAAGTCATGAACACTACTTAAGCAGTAACGAAAATAAGGCCTAAAAAAAATGGAGGCCTCTACGGGATTTGAACCCACGACCACTGCAATACCGATGCAATGTTCTACCTTTTTTTACGCTTAAAAAATTAGACTTTGAGCTCAAGATTTCTATGCATAATAGCTGATTCGGGCTTCGCCCTCATCTAACTTTTAGTCATACATACTTTCGCAAGTTATATGTGAAATTTATGATATGATATATCTTAATACTTATTGCTTTGCTCCGAGCTTGGAGCGGTGTAACTCGTCTTGTGCAGCGCTGGAGCGGTGTTTTGTGGGAAACTTATTCAATCCGTCTCAACATTATCTTTTCAGGCTTGACTAAATATTTCAATTGCAATTTACCTGCCCCTTAACTTTCAAAATCTTGACATTAATTCTCTTCAATGATTGCCGCACATTTCTTTTAATGTTAGCTCTAAGAAGTTGGTTTTTGATCAAATGATATCCCTTGGTTGATAGTTTTCTTTATTATTATCACTTTTCTGCCTTACAAAGAAATGACATTTTTAGGAGAGATCAACCAACTCCTTTCAGTCGGTGTACTGGCGTAACTATCCAAGCGGATGGCACTCAAACAGTTCGAAAATCACTGACCACCTGCTCGAGCTCAACAAACTGTTCTTGCGCACATCTGCATTGGTTATTCCTTTTGTAAACCGACAGAAAGTACTGTTTACAGCCTAAAAAATCTGGTGCGTGAAAACTGATCTTCAATCTTTGTCTGTACTACAGGAATGGTTTTGCCGACTTGCTCAGCAATGCTGTTTTGCTGCTCGTCCAATGGACCAGAGGAACGGAGTCAACGTTAAACCTGAGGCGATTCAGATGCTCAGTGTTCTGAATGCAAAGGAAGTTTCTTTTGTCATAAATCACGAGGTGTGTGCTTAAAAACAGAGCCGGCGTTAATGTACAGGATGGTGTACAGTGAACGATCGGAATTTTGATTCAGCCGAAAAGTTTTGAAATAAAGTTTTCAACCGTTATGTAACTGACTTGCTAAGATATTTCCTTTCTTATTTCTTGTAGAACTTTGACATCTCTCTGCTTGAAGAATGTATATCACTTGGAATCGAAAGAACTCTTCTGTTGACCTCGAGAAGGCAGAACGGAGAGGTAATTTGTACTACTTGTAACTCTCGTGAAGCAAGAAACTAGCGACATAGCAGAGTGTTTTTTGTTGTTGGCATTGAATCTGAGTGCTTTTCGATTGAGTGTCACGAAAAGAAAACCCTAGTACTCGCCATGACCAATCAGAACTACTGTGAAATCACAGGGTGCCAATGAGAACGTAAATTAAAGGAAGGTAACGGCTTTAAGGGCGGGAAAACGCCAGTGACCAAGTCAGGATTAGTTTTGCACCTGATTGGTTGGTAGGTTGTGGGAGTCTTCCGAACAAATCACAGAGCAGTGTGAAGTAAAAGCGATGCAATACTGGGTTACATTCAACACTCAGTTGATAAAAGCGTAAATACCCTTAATCCTGCTTGAGGTTGTAATTGGTTTCTGCGACCTTCATTTGGTTACGGGAGGTCTGAAAATCTTAAAAAATTCAACAAACCAGCAACCAAGCTTCTTACTAGTTGAAATTCGTAACTACTGGTATGCCGTTTTGATCAGCGACGTTTGCCCCTAGTACGCTCCTGCGAAAAGAAGTAAACTGCGAACAAGCCAACACTTTTGCCTTTTGGTCTTAAAGAGTATTTGCCATTTTGTGTATTTCTCAGTAAAATCTATCGTGACCTAATTAACGTTTCTCTTTTCCTTTCCAGAACGTACCAAGTAATTTACTTAACAATGCAGAGCACTTTGAAAACCATGACGTCGATCAATTATTGCTTATTTCCAAACTCGCTTTATTTTCCAAAATTGAACAAGTTGCAAAGGATGTTATTACAACGAGAACGTTCAGAGGTAATACTAACATGACATTTTTTTATTTTATTGAGAGAACCTACTCATTAGAACGTGTGTATAGTAAATAGAGCAACAGTAGCACATTTAAGTCTCCCTTTAACGACCACTCTTAGTGCAGGAAAAGGTGGTCGCTTAAGGAAGCTTTTCGTTTAACTTTGGCTTCCAAGATCCTGATATCAAGTCTTCCTATTATCAGTCACACTTAAATTTTAATCTTAACTCCGAGAATCTGGTGTATGATAAAAAATGGCGGCAATGGATATTTTCATTTCTTCTGTTCACCTGCGTGAAAATGTGTTGATATTGTAAGGAGAAATTCCTTCTTGATTATTCCTTGAAGTGAAAAGGATAAAGGAATGTGAAGGTAATAAGCCAAATATTGCTTGGGTCGTCTTGTTATTACCATGATGGGAAAAAAGTATTCTCAATCAGGTGATATTCTAGAGAGTGCTACTCGCCTGGTCGTGATTGAAGTTTTTCTCTACAAAGTCTTTAAAAATATTGTAGCTTAATTCAGACTTTGAAATCATCGAGGAAGCATTTTGCAACTGTGTCGTCTTCGTTTATTACCACAGATAATGAAAATTCAACAAAGCTGCAGTGTTTCCAGTTGGCTTCTGATCGTCTGTCAGCTCTCTGCAATGATGCTGATTGGTGCAAAAAGGTCACGTCCCTTGCAAGGGCTCTTGTGGCCTTAGCTGGTGCAATTCCGACTCTTCCTAAGCATTGTAAAATCCCCGAATCTGGCCAAGAAGCGCTTTTTCAGTTTGTTTTCGTTCCATTGGCGGTAAGTGACAATGTTAATAAAATTATTGGATTTATGTTTAGGAGGGGAAAGAGGGGATAGGGTTGTCATTGTGTTGTGTCCTTGGGTGGGACTGCGAACTCTGACGTTTCCTTTCTCCGCCTGGGTGTATAACTGGGTACCTGCGAAATACCTCGGGTTAACCTTGCGATGGACGAGCATCCCGTTTGGAGGGGAGGGGAGGAGGATAGAAGTTCTTCTTATCACTTTTTGTTATTGATGCCAAAATAAGTTGTGGCTGGAAGACCTTTCTGGCTGGTAAGCTGACCTACCTTTTTCCTTCATATGTACGGATGATTATGGTTGTGCCATAGCTTATCATGCCTCTAGTCTTGAAACATGACGATAATGTGGTTCATATAGCAAAAAGATACTGATGATTTGAAATACCTTGAAACTTCAAAGGTGTTGATGTTACGATTTTGGATTCTCTTGTCCAATCTCTTTTTTCAGATGGTGCATTGTTCCCTTGTAAATGGTAAACGTCCATGTTCCGTTGAACTGAAGTCTAATCTTGAATGTCTGGCTAAGGTAATCCAGTTTCTACTAAATGGTATAATGTTTTTGTAACTTAGTTTGAATCTTGACATTACTCATTAAAACAGTTTTCGATACTTCGTGTTACTTTTAGAGAAGAACTTAATATTTCTCCTTTAAAACAAATAATAAGCTTGTACCATAGGCGTAATTTTTAGTGAGCTATTTTCACTTCAGGATGTCTTTTATGAACAAACCTTTGTATGTGTTTGCGTATGTGTGTGTTTTTTCTCACGGCTAGGAAACCAAATTTTCTCAATCACTCGCCTCTTTGGGAAACCCTAGTACCAGCTACGTACCAATCCAATCTCAATGAGCGACAGGAATTTTTTGTAGCTTTTCCCTGCTTATCCGGACTTTTCAGCCAGTTCTCTTTTAGCATGGTAATTTGCTTCAAGCAATATAGTATATTAACTGAGTTGATAATAAAAAGTGGCCACCGTAAAGAGTTTTTAAGCTGACATTTTGCGCACAGGTCTGGGAACAGTAGTTTAAAGATACTTAGTTCAGTCACCATCACGGGGGAATGGATATTTACAGAGGCGAGCGATTAGTGATTTACTAACTAGTTTTGCTTTTCTTTTTTGCTGGGAATTTACAGTACCTTAATCTTGATTGCGCAAAGAGTATTGGGAAACTTGAGTTCTTTCCGTTGGTTTGTTCTGCTATTAATCACGTTCACGTGCTCTTAAATGCAGGTAAGCATAACAGGAGTTAAGTGCACTAGGTTTGTCTTAGCATGATATAGTAAATACAGCTATCCTCATTGGCTACTGGAGATATAGTCATCTCCATCTTTCTGCATTGTACTGTGGGAAGTTTAGATAACTGTATCTGATGTGGACAGTAGTACTGTAAAAAGTGTAGATGGCAGTACCGGCTGTTGACGATGCAGATTGTGGTACTTACTTAAGGCAGTGTCGGTGATGTGTACCATAGTATTTTTTAAGTGGTCATATGGGTTTTTGATTCTTGTGAACTCATTCGGAGATTGCGTGATGCGTGACCTGGGCTGTTGTAGCGATTGAAGGGAATGCATATACCCGAAGCTAGAACGGCATATACAGTCAACTCTCGCCTTGTGGACACCTCGCTATCACGGAGGCCCCCTCATTGCGGACGGGAGCCAGCCCTCCGGCGCTATTACGAAAACACGAACACTTCCATGCCTCCCAGCGCGACATTTTACTCGTTTTTTCTTTCGCTGTAACGGACACTCAAGTACCTCGTCGAAAATCCTGACTCAAGTAATATAAAGCCACATTACGATAAAGGAAAAATAAAGAAACCACTCTTGAATTGGGTGCGAACATGAGAATTTCCTGCTTGCGGCTGGGTCTTTTTCCGGCTCGTGAGGCCACGTTGGAAACGTTATGTTTGCGTAATTACATATTCTTTCTCTCGTACCCGTTATTACGAACTCACACTATTACGGACACTAAATCTCTTCCCAAGGGTGTCCGCAATAACGGGAGTCAACTGTAGTCACTTTGTCAGAAACTTAATGTATTTTGCGCATATATATGATAAAGAATGTGCTCGAATGAAAGTCTTTTCGGATTAGTTTGAGATTGTTATCAAACTTCTGATGTTCATTCTGTTTTTTAGTTGATGGTAGTGGTGACAATGACGAGGAAGGCTTCTTTACTGATCAAATTAAAGTTGATATGGGGGATGAAGGTAACAGACATTTTAAAACTGTGAATCGTCGAATCAGCGCCTCCCCTCGAATGAACATCCCCCTCCCTAACTGTTTTTCTGTTATTTTTATTTTATGGAATGAGCACTGAAACTAAACGAGATTTATAATAGTAATTGAGGTTTATCATTACTAGTCCGCACTCTTGTAGCGCACTGGTTGCAGCTTGTGAGTAGGGTAAGTTTTGAAAATTATCACCAGCACTAACCGAGCAAGCATGAAAATTTTAGAGTCAGTGCTCAAATCCTGGAATAAGCACGCCCGTCTTATTCTAAGTGTGTATTTGTTGCACACGCAACCATGTCACTCCCAAGTTCTCATTAATGATTCTCCCTACTGTCTGCCGTACAATTCTCTTTTTGTTTCTAAGAGAATTTGGTATTGGATCCACTTATTTTCCCCTAATTGATTTTTGTCTTTATTATCGTCACTTGTCTGTTTGATACTATTAATATTAGAAGGAGAAATTCCTTCTTGGTCACGCATGGGAGTGAAAGCGTTAAGCATGTAACAAGTTGAATGAATTCGAATCTGCTCTCTTTGACTTGTAGGAGTTCAGATTGCTAGGAAAGCCTGTGGAGAAATCTCACAGCTGATCCACCGGCTACTGACCATCTTGAAACCAGGATCAGTTCAAAAACCCTCCCTGCCTCAATTCCTATTGCGTCCTTTTCAAGACATCATTGTTGGTTTAGCGAGGCAACCTCTTGTTAACAGCTATGCGCGCACCCTACCTTTGGTGTGGAAGATGGGCTGGGCACCAGTCCCTGAAGGGCCTCTTAAAACAGAGCTTCCTCCTTTACCGATAGAGATCTTGAAAGAGAAAGATGTCCTGGATGAATTCGTAAAAAGGGTTAATTTGATTGGTAAGGTTTAACTCTGGTTACCTGTTCCTGACTTGTCTTGTGTTGGTTTTTTTTTTCCAACTACTGTGACTATTTTGGTGCTAAGTGGCCAAGTTTTCGTTTCGCTAGTATCTCGCACACTGTTGATTGCGTCTTATTTAATTGTTTCGATATTATCTCCCACTCTCTGCTTATTCTGTATCATTCATTTGTTTCGTTAGTATCTCGCGCACTCTGCGGATTCTGTTTCATTCAATTGCCTCTCTAATAACCTGCGCAGTCTGTTGAATCTGTTTTATTCAATGGTGTCGTTGGTATCTCGTGCAGTCTGTTGATTCAAGCTCATTAATTGTTTCATCAGTATCTCGCGCACTCTGAGGATTCTGTTTCGTTCAATTGTTTCGTTAGTATCTCGCGCACTCTGAGGATTCTGTTTCATTCAATTGTTTCCTTAGTATCTCGTGCAGTTTGTTGATTCAGTTTCATCCAATTGTTCTCAAGTATCTCGCGCACTCTGAAGATTCTGTTTTACTCAATTTTTCGTTAGTATCTCCCGGAGTCTTTTGGTTCTGTTTCATTCAATTGTTTCGTTAGTATCCCGCGCACTCTAAGGATTCTGTTTAATTCAATTATTGATGCGCAGTTATCGGTTGCTAGTGAGGAAGGTATTTTGGGTCCTGATAAGTTGGTACTTAAAAAAATCCTGGTGTGTTGCTTTTTGTTGTCAGGGTGGACCTCTAGACAACAGTTTGAAGAAACATGGGCTGCCCTTCTCGGTGTGATCAGTTCACCACCTCTACCAGATACAGTTTCAACAGAGGTTTGTTTAATATTTGTTTTTCTCTAGTTGTACAACATTGAAATCTGTTGAGAAAAGATCATGCACTCTTGTTTAATTCTTTTAAGATGGAGGCCCAATTTGGTCCGAATTTTACGCACTCAGTGAACCACGACTAAATTCGATTTCAAGCACTTCCTTTCAAACTTTTCAGTGAGTTGTAAAAGTCCATGGTGATATAGGCTAGCAACTTTCGCTGACTTTCCTTCAGAGCCTTGCATGTCATCGCGAAGAACGGCTGTGGAAGCCTGAGATAGGTTACATGCATGGTTCATATTTTTCTTTTGCTGAATTGCAAATGTATTTCAAACGTTTGTCTGCGATTATTGCTTGTCGTCCTACCCATATAATACATATATTATCCAGCAAATAGGTCATGAAAATACTCAAACCTATGTGGTATAAGGTTGTCATCTTGACCTAACACTAAATTGTCGGAACTAATGTGCAAGTAAATGTGTAGCAGCTAGACAGGAGAATCAATAAACAGATCTGGGAGTTAAAGGGTTAATTCATCGTTAAGCAAAACAGTGTTTAGTAGAATTAAATTGTAAATTCAAGTCTCTGTGCTAAAATACAAGAAATGTACGTCTGGCAGCGAGGAGAATTGATTTTGAGACCGTGAGCGTAAAAATGGGTATCAGCAGCACTAGCGAAAGTTCCGCAATGAATTTTGGGTCTCTTAGCCTCCCTCTGCAACGACCTAACAGTATATTCCGCGTTCAAATTCCGACAGCCCCATAATTTTTTCTTTTGTAGTTGTAAGTTCATACCCGCTTTTTTCGTTACTGCACTGTAGGAGGATATGGAGTCGACGCATTCCTGCTGCCTGGCAGTCCGCTGTATCTCAGAATTGTTGCTTCAGACCACTCTTTACCCAGTCCCGGGAAACCCAAGCGCAAGTGCTTATCTACACAGACCGAGACACAGGGATCTGCCTTTCCTGGGAAGCAGGTGAGAATGCCGAGTGTATCGAAACATTGAACCTTTGTCCAAACAACACAGTACTTGAGGATTACATCGGTGTGATTTATCGCACACTGTGACTGTTCCCAAAAGACACAACAAAAATTGCGTTTTATTGCGCTGATGTCGGTGTGCATGGTTTTACTCAGAGTTTTCTTTTATACCTTATAGTATTTTTCATTCATTTTTCTGGTCACATGCTATGATTACTAGGAATTGTAGTTGTACCACGCCCAATCGAAGGAAAGTCTCTCCTGTTTGGAAGAAAACGTTATTTAAAGAAATTTCTTTAATTGAACGTTACCCGTTACTTCGATTCCCTAGGAATTGGAAATTATGAAACAGGAGAACAGTCTGTTCCATTCGTTTTTCGTGTAATAAAAATTAGGGGAAGAAGTAAAGTGTGACGGTTGAGTGAAATGTATAATTGATAAAAATTGCTCTCATCTTGTTTCAATTTAGGGCAGGGAAGAAACTTACGTTTGTTAGGGGCATGATTGAGGAGGAATTTGTTTCCTTGTGCTGTACAGGGTAATTATTGTAGATTTTCTCCGGTTATTTTTTATCTTAAACACTTTGAAGAAGAACCATAAATTTGTGAGCAAGTGAGGATGGTTGTCAAACTGTTAGTTGACCCCTTGACGACTCGGGGTTATCAATGTGCAAATTCTTCTCATAGTTTTTCAGTACACTGTGAAGCAGACGGATTACGAATATGAAGGAAACTATCAACTACGGATTAATGTCCTGATAGCGAATATAAAGGAGAGTTTTTCTCCAAGTGTTTAGTGGAATCAGCTTTAATATCGTTGCTTTGAGAGGGTTCGGGTCTCTTCTTTTGCTTTTTATTTACGGAGATGGTGGCGTTTGAAAACTTCTAGATATGAATTGCTTTACTCTTATACATGCCAATGTAAATCCTCATACATATCACTTGAAAACATAACAGCTACTCTAAACTTCTTGGTTCCTAAAGACTTCAAATTATTAAAGAGAACTGGATTGGGTGTTACAAAATATATATGTATTAATAATGCATCTACAGCATGGCAGACATCATCATTGTAGGATGGTAACTTCTATGCTATTTTGTTATCCTCAGTTTTCAGTTTTTCTATTAACCTTTGCTTAAAAAAGGAGTTTATGAAAGAGTATATTTGCTACTTTCCCGTCTGGACGGGAGGTTTAACCCAGTCCTTTCCCTTGAAGTTTGGAAGTTTGGAAAAACCCAATACCAAGTTTCCTTGCCCAAGAATAGTACACAATTGATCTGGAATTCATCGGGATGAAAAAAAGGGGGGAAAAGGTGGAAGAATCCTTTGACGTAGAGAACTTGACTAGGTTTGAACTGCTGTTTTCTTTTTGTAGAACTGGCCGAGTATTTATCTCGGATGAAGACCTAAAACCAGAGCGTTCTGTAAGTGTCCATCGGTCAAACAGTTTCCTGTGTTTAAACAGTTCAAGCGCGATGTGGATAACTAACCGAATGCTATTTGATCATCCGCTTTACGGACTCAATGTCGATCGCGTGCTGGGTTTTCACGACTACACCTTAGGACAGGTAACATGTAATACTCTAGGTCATACCCTCTTTTGACAAACGATAAAAAATGTCAATGTGTCAACCGAAGTCACCTGTTGTAGCTGTGTCAGTTTTAAGTCACATTTTGTTGTCTATATGAAGTGCTTTTTTTTTCTTTGTGTGGCGAAAACCTCAAAGACATATTCGATCGCCTGCATGAGTTTAGATACTAAGAAAGAGGTCCTGGCTCACAAAAATCTTTGAGTAATTGTGGTGTCGTTATTGACGTGGGGCATGGATTGAGAGGGAATGTTGTGAGGGGGTTTTTCAGCTGCCAATATTTTATTTATGGGTCGCCCTGATTACCCTTCAAATTCTTCTCCATTTTGACTTGTCTTGTCAACATTGTCTCTCTATGTTTCCTATTGCCAAAAACCTAAAACTCTCAAGATCTGTCTCTGAACCCTCTGATTTACTTGCATTACATTTCTCGGCAAATTAGTGAATAATGTAACGATGATATGGGAGAAGTTGCTTGTTTATTCTCTTTGGCGCTGATAATACCGCGTAATATCGTGACGTAGCTCTTAGTAGAGGCCGAGCTAAATAAAATACGACAATGAGAGCTTTTGAGTCGAGAAGAAATGCTGTGTGTACTCCTTGTGTTTACTAGATATCTGTGGGCGCACTTCACAGTCAGGCTCAAAGCGAACTCCAAGAAAGGTACGATAGTGAAGATGATACTGCTGTTGTAGTTTCCCTTCCGCGCATGCCTCAACCTGAAAAGCTCGACATCAAGTCTTGCGAGCAATTTCTTCTGGAGCTTTTCGAACAATGGATGTCCCCGTATATTCACCCCAGGACTCCTCTGGCACTCTTATCCGAGGCAACCAAAGCGGTGAGTTCAGCTCTAGTGTCATTAGATTAATCACATCGGCCAGGAAAGAACATAGGAAAGAAAACTGTCTGAAGCGCGGGAAAATGAGTGTCACCAAGTCGCGATTGCCTTTTTAGTTTTGTATCTGATTAGTTTAGGTGGCAGCAAAGTAGACTATGGATGAACAAAGGGAGTAAGTTTCTAAAGAAACTGTGGTGCTGCGTCGATGGGAGAGTATAACAAGGGTAATTAAGTATTACCAACTGAGTAGATAGCGTAAATTGACCACCGTAAAGAGTTTCAAAGCTCACTTTTCGAGCGTTAGCCTTCGTTCATTCGCTCTGACGAAGGGCTAACGCTCGAAACGTCAGCTTTAAAACTCTCTACGCAGGCCTATTTACGTTATGTACTCAGTTGGTAATACTAAATTACCTTAGAGTATAGATGGTTGAGATGGTAGTACAAATCCCTTTGGACCTGTAGCCGTGGCTTCTGTGGTCTCTCTTTGCCGTACTTTGATTTTAAACAACTTAGAAACGATCGGCATTTTCCTTTTTCAGCTTTTGGTGTTGTCTGATCTGTTCGTTGATGGAACACACTTTGAATGGGTTCTGGGCACTCTTCTTGATCTACATCATAATCATTCAGCGGAAGATGATCTGTTGATACAGTACTTGCTACCTACACTCTGTAAAGCCTTAGCTTTCCTAAAGACGGTAAGACAGTTGAACTTGCAAAAGAAACTCGTCTCCAACGCAGTTTACTTGAACTTCCCTCTTACTTTGACTGGCATCCTAACATCAGTATATATATTTTCCATAGTGTTCTGTGTACGTTTCCTTTGATACTCACCAAGAGAATTTGTTTCAAATCATAAGCTTATTTGATTGGTAATCATTTCCCCTTATTTACATGATTTTAATGATTGATCCAGCAGTGATACTGTTGGGGAAATAATATGTTAGTCAGTGTTAGGAATCAGTGGGTTAAGGAGTGAGTTAAAGAGCACTCGCCTACGGCTCTTGCAATTACGAAAATTTTCAAAATATCGCTCAAACCCACAAATTACGAGATGCACCCGCAACCACTATTATCCCTGTTGAAGAACCACCACGCTTTGCTGATTTAGACAGTACGAGCTAATCCTGTGACATCAAATCAAGCTTCAAGTTTCGCCATAAAATTGCAGAAACCTTCAGTAATGTGCCATTGTTTTGCAGGAAGGATCGATAACTGAAAGAGTTTGTAAGATAGTGGAATCTTCACTTAGGAGTCCACATGTTCCTCTCCAGGTAATTAAAAGCGTTTTAATCTATTATGCTTTTGACCCAGAGCTTGTAGCGTCTACAAATGTTCCCTCCATCTTTCTCTCTGATAAGCTCCATTCCTAAATAAAACCCATAGCAAAGCTTTTTTACTAGTTGTACCCGAAAAGCAGTAGCATTCATGTATCAAGGAAGAAGCCTTTCAAAGATTTGACATGTAAAGTTTTGCTTACCTTCTCCTTAGAAGGTTTTGGAAGCTTTTATCTTACGTCCCAATAACTGTTCGGAGGAAAAATTATGATTGGCGTTTTGTTTCCCAATGAGTTTTTGGTTAGCGTCAACAACTCCTGCCCCATTTGGAAGCCCAAGAAATTACTGGGTGCTACGGGGCTTATCAGAGAGAAAGAAAGACTTTCAAAGAAAAGTTGGCTCATTCTTGTGTATTTTTTTTTGTAACAGATCTCTGCCCTTTATGGTGCAATGTACTTACTAGAAATTCAGGTGCCATCTGTAAGTGCTGTGCTACTGCCAATCCTAACAGATTTCCTGGGCAAGAAACTTACTGTGATTAATGGGTAAGATAACGACTGTTTCCTTTACAATATTACTCAGTATCTCTTTTTTTCTTTGTTCAGGGCATGTTCTCATTGTTTTTTTTTTTCGTCATGAACATTTTACTTCTTATGAACTGAGTGCTGGAGGTTATCCAGGTTTCCATGGCATGAAACGATTGGGAGTACTGCTTATCTCACTGATTGGGTCACCTGTCACCTGTCACCTGTCACCTGTCCATCCTAAGTACCCCTCCCTATCAAGTATTTTGGGAGGTTTACTTGACACGTTTTCGTAGCCATTTATACTCATGGATGGACAGGGGTAGAGTGAGAGAACACCAAACTGTGCTAGGACTGGAACCATTTCTTTTAAAACTAGCGTTCTCTATTATATATTTTTTGTGTTGTGTGATGGGGTTGATTAAACCGTTTTTTATTTTTTCCTTCTTAATTTCAATATTTTCCAAGCGCCGTGTCAATGGCAGAACACCACTTATTAGTCATGTGGTCGACAGCATTTTACTTGCTGGAGAGATACGCTGATGAAATCAGTGATCAAGAATTAAAGGCAAACCTCCTCAAGGTAAATTTTACAACGTCTTATATCTAAGGCAATATTTTACTTCTCCTTACACTCGATTTAAAATTGCTCAAGAGAGTACCGCATGACATTGAACAGCATTGAAAAGCAATCCTTAGATGTGAAATTTGTGTTAGACACATTTACCTCGCAATTGGTTACTTGTATGTTGATTATATTTGGGATTGAGTTTAACAACCTTTGGTATCTTATTTTATTTTACAGAATGCCGTCCGCACTGCGTCCTCAAACGAAGACAGCACCCCGACCTGTGTCTATCACGCCATCATTAGGGGACTTGAGAGGCTTGTAGTATCATTTGCTCTGTCGAGTGCTGAGTCAGACTCGCTAGTCAAACTTAGTGTGGACAGGTGGGTCGGGTGGGACGGTCAAACGTGTGAGAGTGTGGAAAGGTAGTTCGGGTTGGGTGGTCATACATAGCAAAAACAGGTGGGTTGTGTGGGCAGGGGGGTTGGATGGGAGATAATCATCAGTTAGAACTCTGTAGTTCAGGATGACGACGGCAAAACAAATATTTTCAAGCAAAAACAAAAGAAACTTATGATCTTCAACCCTGGGAGAATTTCTTTGGAGAGTACATGAAAAGATCAATTTATGACGAGTATTCCTGCAAAATTGGATTTAACACTCGTTTCCAATTGGATAACGATGTTTCAAAGGGGTCAGCCATTTTTTTTTTCATTTTTTTTTTTCATTGTTGTGTCCGAGGATGTGGTCACTATTACGCTCGGGAACAGAAAGATACGTGTTGGAAATAAGAAAGAGACAGGCCCCGCCACAATTCTTGCCACAAAAATCTATAATGTCTTTGATTCGTAGATGATTTTAATGCGATACAAAATACCATAGACGTAAAGGAGTATTTGCGCACACCTTTTTGACTAATATATTTTTTTTCCATCTCAGGCTGTCCATGCAAAACCCTCAAAGAGCCATATCTGCTCTTGGTTTATTGGTAACGTGTATGTATACAGGTAAGAAGTATGTGTGGCTTTTTTATAGTGGTGTTATTACAACAGTGCTGCTGAGAGGTTTCTGGTTATGTATATAAATGCATTTTAAGGCCATTCTACAATTCAAATGGGAGTCACAGAGGAAGAAATCCTTTAACTCGAGTTGACTTGGGCATTCTGTCACTTGACAAACTGTTTTAGTAACCAAAGAACTGACTTCAGAATGGTCGTCAGTCAGTTATTGGTCAAAAGGTCAGTTACTCAGTCAATAAACCTTCTGTAGGTAAAATATGGTTGGCTGGTCGAATGGTGTATCAGTCACCATGTGGTTGGCCTGTCATTTTGGAAATTGGTCGTTTACTTAGTCATTCACTTAGTCATTCATTCAACCAGTCAAAAATGAACTATTTCGTCCTACAAGACACTCTTGAATTCAGCACATACCTCATTTTTACAGGTAAGATTGGCGACCGACCAAGTGGAATCTACCCTCCGGCTGACACTGCGGAGTTTCCAACAGAGGACATACTTCTCATTGCTATGGAACGTGTTACTGTCCTGTTTGATAGGTGAATTGCAGTTTGTTTATGTTTGAATTAACATAAAAAATACGACGTAATTTGCCCAAATTCAGTTTAGGAGCATTTGCATGCATGGTTAAAACTCGCAAGTGTATTATTGAGGTCGGTCTCAAGAATTGTTAGTATTGTTGTGGCATTTTTAGTGCGCATAGACTTTCTAATCTTAGAATTCAAGTTCCCCTAAGACTAACAATTTTAATTAACATACATTAAACGTACCCCATTTTTAGCGGGCAGCCTGTGTTAAACAGACGCTAGCTCAAGTCCAAAATATTTCCTCCCGTATTACTTAAACCGTTGAGTTCGTAAGCGTGATTAGCGTCTAATTTCTTTTGACAGCACCACTGCTTAATCAAACGTAAGGTCATGAGAATGAAGGAAATGATCACCAACTAAAGAAGTACTTGATTGTTAGACAGATTCTCCTTGTTAGCACTTTAGAAAAGGCATTGAAAATACTATGGAGAATATGTATGCAAACTGATGTTAGGATGTAAAGGGTGCCAGGAAAGTGAGCCTCTATTCAGCAGAAACTTTTATTAATTGGACATAAACAGAGACGCGAAATTGACGCGAAACCTGTGCATTAGTACACTCTAAGATTCCATCGTTTACATTTGAAACATCGATTCTGGCGATTGATTGTTACTCTGTCTACCGGATTTGAAATGTTGCTGATTGTTTACTCTGTTCTATATGGAATTTGATAACTGACTACTGTAGCACAATATACAATTCGAAGGATTTTAGTCACCCTGGGTTTAATAGGCACTACTCAGATGAACTACTGTAATAAGTAAAGTTTTATTGAAGATATCGGTGTAGAATGACCTTAAACCTTGACAATGTAACATCGTATCGATATATGCACAAAGGGAATAATTGAAATATGCGCCTGCTGTACATGTTTTGGGGCTGACATGCAGCGAAAAATGTGTTGATCATCTGGTGGATCATCTTGTCAATTTTCAAGGGTGTTTTTCTTTTCGGCAGAATAAGAAAAGGCGTGCCATCTGAAGCCAAAGTGGTGGCCAGAGTTTTGCCACCCTTGCTTTTGGATTTCTTTCCCGCCCAAGAAATCATGAACAAAGTGATCGGAGAGTTTCTGTCTAGTCAGCAGCCACATCCTGAACTCATGGCGCAAGTTCTCTTCAAGGTAAATACCTGTAGGATGCTACTTCTTTCAGTTCTTTTTATTCATCGCTTCTCAAATAAATCGTCTATAGGGCCATCTTTAAACAGTAAACTCTCAGATGTAATTAACATAAAACTATTCTGTGCAATATCAATATCATGATCATGCGGATGATGAAACAAACGTATTGATTAAAGGGTTTCCACTTGATTTAAAAAACAAAATTTCCCGTACAAAATGCCTCCTCTCCACGATAATGAGAAAATTTTGAATTATGACGGAAACTCTTTTTTGATTATATGCAGCTGACGAGTTACTTCGTTCGGAAGGGTTTCTTGAGTCTTTTTCGTTCTTTAATGGTCCTAAAATAATTCTAGTAATAAAATATTAAAACTTCTGCTCTACATTCTATTATCTTGATTAGGTGTTTGAAGGTCTTCACAGTCAAGGGCAGCAAACAGAAGTGAGAGACTGGGTACTTCTCTCACTTGGAAGTTTTATTCAGCGGTATGGTGTTTCCTTAGCTAATACTAACGTTGGAAAGTTCGATCTAGTCGCGTAAACTACAGTTTAAGGACTTTTAAACAAATTAACTTCTCTTGCCGTGATTCTGTTCTTACCACATTTTGACGTCATCCGTGCGCGGACGCGCGGCATCATGGCATCTGATTGTTAGATACGGACATTTATACCTTCTCCATTTCTCTTCCACCTCATCCTAGTGATTCTAAGTGCAAGTTTGCCTCGACAGCATGAAGTGCTTCAAAAAGGGATCCAGGGAAAGGGTGGTGCAAACCCCCTTCTCATTTGACCTGTGGGGTTTTTACTACATTTCTGACACCAAAATTCCTGGAACGACAGGATTGCATGTTGCTGCACAATTCGACGTATTCAATATTTATTCGTCTTGCAATTTTTCTTTGCTTATTTGAACCACAGTGTAAAAACTTTTCTGTGTGTTTGTGAATAAAAGTTGTGATCCTGTATCAAATTCCCCCTCTCCCCTCCCCCAAGCTTGGTTTGCTTGTGTAGTGGGATAGAGGACGTTGCCGTTAGGCGTCTATGCATGTGTACCTTATTGATGTTCGCTATGTATTTTTTTTTCTTAACAGGACACCCCTGTCGATGGCGGTATGGAGTCTTACCTGCTTCTTCATTAGCGCTTCTAGCAACAAATGGATTCGAGCCCTGTATCCAAACTTAGGTGCAAAAAGTAGTAATGAGTGCAACTCACGGCATTTTGTTTTTTACTTCAGTTGGTTACTCTTTTGAACTTCGTCACTTTAGTATTTAGGCTGGTGTTGTTGAAGAGAGGTAAACGTCCAGGCACTGTTTACTTATGCTGAAACATTGTCCTCTTGAGTTTGATTCTTAACGGTAACTTCAGCTTTTCTTATATCGTGGGAAGGATGGGTAAACTTGAAGATATCGACGTTAGAATATTTTGTGCAGCAGCTATGGATTTCTACAGAACTCAGGTAAAACAAGTTGTAGCAGCCAGTTGAGTCTCATACAAACTTTGCTTTCCCTTTGGATTGTATGGGTAAACATACATGAAGGATGGGTAAACTTGAAGATATCGACGTTAGAATATTTTGTGCAGCAGCTATGGATTTCTACAGAACTCAGGTAAAACAAGTTGTAGCAGCCAGATGAGTCTCATACAAACCTTGCTTTCCCTTTGGATTGTATGGGGTATTTCAAAACTTCGTGACCTTTTTTTTTGAACAAAGAAAAAAAAGCATTTCATTCTAAACTGTTCGGTCGTTGAAGCCCTGCAAGTGAATAACCCATGTTTACAGTTTTTCCATATCCATGGACAATTTCATAAGCCTGAAAGTTCCCCTTTGCTTTTCATGACGTTTTTCAGGGGTCGTGGCAAAGAAGGCAGCTGGTTTGGGGTAGTGGGGCGGAGGGGAGGGGGGAAAGAGACTTTTGTCCATGCCAGGCGTAGCCCCGTTTTCAGTTCTCCCATTGTTTTTGGACCGGAAGACTGTACGTAACCTCGTCAAAATTGCTCCCGAGATTTTCTTCAGGATTAAGATCTTGCGAATTAGCAGGCCATTTGTTTTTATTCTATGAAATTGGGTAAGTTCTCTAGCACGATGTTTGGGTAGCCAAGGCTGTGGTGCCCGTTTAAGGACAGCAACTTTTGAAACATCTTCTAGTTCTTAACAGGAGTTAATCAAGATGATTCATGAATGAAGGAACCGCCAATGTGTGCAGAGATCGAAGTCTCACTTCCCTTTTACAACACATTTTAAAATTGACGCAAGAGGACCACAGCCGTTTCCCCACGTCCACATGCTCCCATGATATAATAGCATTCTCTGATGTTTGAGGTTTGCTGAGGTCATTACACCTTTTTCACCTGTTAAAACTAACCTGTTGGAAGTTCTGATGAGTTTGCAAATGTTCAGTGGTCAACATGTCAATTTTTCTTCCTACAGAACCTCGATGCAAATCATAAGGAGACTCTGATATCCACATTTAGAAGGGCCGCTCAAACGAGTGCACCTTACAGAGAATTTATTGAGTGCTGTCAGTCAGACAGTAAGCACTCTCGATAAATAAAGGGTTGGTTTATGGCTGGAGGGATTATTGAAAAAGGTCCCAACGTTTCTTGATCGTGAGACTGTTTTGCTGAAGAAGCAAAGGAAAGGTAGTGTCCAGAACTTCAGGGTTCTTTGCCGTCAGGCATATTCTCGGTACAGCTTGCTAAGTAAATTTCCCCAGTGCTACACGGATTTTCATGACTTACGATTTCTTCAGCTTGAGCCAGTAGTAATTGTGGGTAATTCCTGGTTGTGAAATGTTTTGATAGAAGTTTGAATACTTTTTACTAGGATGGCCACTAATTCAATGAACCGTCCTCATATTTTTGATAACGTAACAGAGAGAAACGTTACGAAGTAGCGGAAAGTGGAACATTCACACACGTGCTTTGTCACGCATTGCTTGAATCGCATTTTCACGCGTTTCATGACATGTCAAATAACAGACACCTTAGGTAGCGTAGAAAATCACTTTTGGTGTGTTTTCCTTGCGCTCGCTTATTCAGAGACTAAGTGGAGATGTGGGGTCAATTTTGACTCAATGAAATGATGTACTATCAATTATCAATGGAGTATTAGATACAATTATGTCTCAATTCGAAGAAAATATAATGAAAACAACTATTATGACTATTTCATTGTGCTTATTCTTGGTAACTGTATTTAACCTAAAGGCCTTGCCAATTTTATTCTCAAAACGATGGAATGCTTTGGGTGCAATATTTTGCTAAAACTGATCGCATGGGTGTGGTTGAAAAACTTTCTTATGACGGCAATTTATCCAAACAAATGCCCTTAGAGCCGTCTTACATCTGTTTTTTTTTTTTTTTGCGCAAATCTGAATGTAATTACACATACTAGAAATGAAAAATTTTTTTCACCGAACTATTTACTGTTTGACGATACATAAACACAACATCTCGTGTATGCAATTAAAATGGCAGGGGTTATACTATATCGCCTCGTAAAACACCATGGTGTTTCAGAAACGTTTATTTTTTGTTATTAGTATACAACACTTTTAATTTAGCCCATCATTTTCATCATGTATGTGAACACAATGGTTGATAAAAGAAGGTACTCAAAAACGCCAAGTTTGACCCAACCCAACCCAACCAGGCATTGTTACATTTTTTTCTATTTACTCATGATAATTTATTTATTTATTTATTTATGAATTTATTTATTTATACACCTTGCTGCGAAAATAGGAAACTTTACATTACCGAGTTAGAAACTAAATGGTTCATGATTGCTAGTGATCACAAGGGAGGGACCAATAATAAGTCCAACCTTCAACCTAAAGCCTCGTAATAATCGCATTCCTCGCTCTCGACCAGATCTTCAGGAAACTCGTTTGCGATGGCAGCATTTATCTCACAAAGGCTCGTTGATGGCGCTTCCCCTGGTCTGTAATTAACTGATGTGCAGTTTTGATAGCGTCGACACCAAAGCAAACATTCAATGTCACTTTGTACTACCAATTGATGAATCACATGCTTAGTCAGCTGGGTGTTTGGTGATCTCTTGAAATATCTTCCGTTTGCTGCATCTGTTTCGATACAAAATGTTGTTCGTTACTAATCAGCTCGTGGGATGAACGCTCTTTTCCTATTAACCCTTTAACTCCCAAAAGTGATTAACAAGTAACTTCTCCCTACCATACCCATGAACTATTGAGCAAAAAGGTAACAAGAATTAACAATCAGATCTTGGGCGTTAAAGAGTTATCAGATTCTTTGTTAGTTTGGACATACTTCTGTGTTATTCCAGTTGCTTCTTCCTGTTTTTATTTACACATTTTATTTTACAAGGACCAAGTTCGAGACTTGATCAATAAATATCATGTTTACCTACATACAAGAAATAAAAGTAACCATAGCGCTCTGACAAAGGGCTGACGCTCGAAACGTTAGCTTTAACACCAAATTACAATGTTATACCCAACACTGACGCAGCACCACAGTTTCTTTAGAATTTATTCATGGATTATTGCTAGTTGTGCTTTGGACAACTTTTTCCTGTACCTGACTTTAAGTCTCAAACGACACGTCTTCCTCCAAAAATTTCCTTTTCATCAAGGTAAATGCCCTCAAAAAATTTAATGATAGTGAAATGCCAGACAAAGGTACAGAACTTGTCATTCATTTTATAGAACCCCGAATCTCGACAGACTCTGATGTGTTTCCGCGGGTAAAGTGCCCCTGTATACTTGATCACATTTGGTTCAATTTAGCTAATCCGGATTGATGATCCGGACTGTTTAGCACCAATGTTTCCCACTGTGGATAAGCTCCCAAGGGCAATGACAGAAGAAAGTGTTTACTTCTTATTTTCCATCTCTCGTCCTCGCGTGTCTGTTTCGATTGAGTGTCTCAATACCAAAGCTAAGTTGATTAGAAACACCAATCAGATTAGAGGGAATTATTCCAAGTAAGGGAGCAGGTGAACTGCGTGATGCACGGGAAAATACGAGTGCCCAAAGCATGATTATTTTTTGTTTTTTACATGATCAGTTACTACGTTTGTATAAGCTTTCTAGACCAACCGCAGAATACAGGGAGTCAAAACTGATGCAGTGCATGGTTAAATTCGACACTCAATCGAATATTTCTCTGGGGACTACTGATGACTACAATTAAAAACTTGCCATCAGAAAAATTACCATAATTGTATCTCTATCAGAAAAAGGCAGTGTTTCATACTACTAAGTGCCTGAGGTGAATGATTTACTTAACCTTTTTCACAGATGTATGGCTGTTTTTTGGAGCAGCATTTGTCGTTCCACTTGCCGTGATATGAACCATAGTCTGTCATCTCACCGCAATCCTCACGACCCGAAATGTCCGGGTGACGAATCCAGTTCAGATAAGCGAGCTCCTCGCCTTTCGACCAGCGGAAATTTTTAGAACTTTGATCTTTCACCAGGCCGATCCAGAACGTTTTGTTGACTGCCATGCGTCGGTACACGAACTGCTGCTCTCCATCAGAGTTTATGCTGAGCAGATCCCCTCCGTTTTCCTGGCAAGCGGCCCTTGCGTAAAACCAAGACAGTTGCTTGTTATAAGCTCGATAGCATGAGCCGTTGAAGTAGAACCAGTCTTTAGCACAAGTCCAACCTATTCAAAAGGATCGTGAGCTTGAGTTGGAGGTATAATTTCCTTTTTTATTTTCAAACTAATCTTACAGCTTTGTTAAGCAAAACCGATGCAATCTTCGACTCTATGTTTGACACACAATTGTAGGTAGCCATATTGCAAGGATGACTGCAATTTATCTCAGGTGAATTTCACTGTATTACATTTGCGATGGGTTTGTGGTTCGGGGGCGAATTATGAGCGAAATTGAAATTAAGTGAAACCATCAGTTACTTTGTGATGATGAACATATATTGTGTTTCTTCCTCTATTGTTGATGACAAGGTTGTTGTCGTGTTTTCTGAACATGTAAACTCTTATGCTTCAAAATTCTAAATACAGTATCGAAATCATTCAGTGCCTCGGATTCTCTTACAAATGAACCGGGAAAGCAACTTTTAATACTTATAGTTTCAGAATACACCGGAAAGCTTCCTATACGATTGATTCCACTATGACTTAATATACCGAAGGAAATAAATCGCGCAGAATGGAGAAATAAAAGAGAGTGTTGATAGATTTAGTCACTTAATTTGGACAGACGCAATCGCTGGTTGTCATTCTACGAAAATGTTAATTGGAGTCGCAGCCTTGTTACTTAGGATAAAGATTTTTTATTACATTTTACGACGCGGTAGTTTTCTTTATGTGAATAATACTATATTACTTTATCTGAATATGTCCTAGAGAGGATTTTTAAAAAAGTAACCCTCGCTGTAGCTTTTGGTATCTCTATCAATGAACGCAGAATAAACTGGTAACACTTTGACAGTGTCTTCGGATTTGCATCCAGACCAAATGAAAAATGTAATAAATTAACCTGTTACGGTTGTATTAGGATTTCAGTACTTCTCCAGTACAATGAATACATTTAAAAGCGGATAAAAACTTTGCGGTTTTTTTCAAAGGCCATCGTTGTTGCATTAGCCTCGCGCGTTGGATCGGGCTGAATGACGATAAAAATATCGAATAAAACCATATTTGTTTAATCTTACCTTCTGATAAATCCTCGTCAAACCCTTCTGAAGACAAATAGAGCTATCCAAGAGAGCAGATATCAAAAAAGGTCGGTTTAAATTTGGCCGAATCGAAGCATATCCAGAAATTTCAATTTCTCAGCACTTACCGCGGCAACACAAAGAAATGAAATTATCATTATTGGGTCTCTACCACTTTTCCCTTTTCGCACTGTGTGGCACAGCCATCTCCCACGTTTAAACAATATTTCTTTTTATCTGTATGCAGCTGCTGCTCTCTTGTGTTTTATAACCAAGTGATCTGTATATTGCTGATGATTTATACACGGATCCGCTTCCCTTTTAAGTGTACACAGCTTTACATAGGAACATCAATTTTTGACAGGTCGTCAGCCTTGTTGATACAAATATTCTCTTTTAAAGAAAAATTTTAAGGCAGTCGATTCTATGGTGGCATTGTGTTTTCTTTATTGTGTAAACATTGTTACTAGATACTTCCTCGTATCAAAGAATGATGTCTAGAGTTTCGATAGTTCAATATCTTTATCTCAGACTAAGGACACCCGCCGGCCCATGGCTAACTTTTAGTGGAGTTAAACAGATTCTAAATTCTTTTTTTTTTCAAAGGGTTATATCTTGTAGCTGAGCAGTCCAAAGAAAAACCCAAATTCCGAAAAAGTCCAAAACAAACACACCTAAAGAATACATTAAAGATGTAGATCTGCATTACACACCAATTGTTTTTTTTTTTCGGTGACATACACTTTGGACTATTATTTCCTCCTTTGCCTTCAGTGAGATAACAAGGAAATGAGCATGGGAATCAGTTCATATGAAACTTAAATTGTAGACTTAACTCGTTGATTATGTGTAGTCAAGAAATATGAAACTTAATTAAATGTGTTGGAAATTATTTCTCTGATTATTGATTGTTAAATGTATAGTAGACGCATATATCTGAGCAACATTGCATTCGTTTGTGAATAGCAACGAAGAGTCTTCGATTTCCCTGAGGTGAAGACAAAAAAAGAAGTAAACCGAGTTTTAAACTAGTTTCTTATATCATTGGTTGCTGGTGCAAGGTTATGGACAGTGAACCATCATCAACTCAGACAGGTGGGCACGATATCAGTGATGATCCCCCCTCATCTGCAATAAGACTAAAATGGGACCCACGTGTCAGTAATGGAATAGCATCAGAAAAAGCAGGTGCGAATGGCATACAGACTGAGATTTATCTGGTTAAAATTCTCTTTCGCAGAGTTGATCAGATGAAGTTAGAAGAATGGGGTATAGATTTGGAAAAGCGTTGCTGTTCGATAAGGGAGCTGATTCCTTGACACTTAAAGAGTAAAACATTGTGATAAGATTTCAACCTTAGTACATATAAACAACTTATTATTTAAACTCAAAAGACTTTATATCAAAGAAGATAAGGTTCAAAACATATGACTACAGGGGGGGGAAGAGGGCGGGGAGAATAGCTCCTTGGGTTCCATCCAGATCCGCCCATGACAAAGTTATGCGGGTATGAAAAAAAATGACGAAAAACCAATCCATGAAGATGAAGGAAAGATCGACAAAAATCTGTTTTGTTAACTCATTTCTTATTATACTTATTTCTGTGGCTTATGTTACTGTCCATCCTTTTTAGAAGACGCAAGTGAGATCGCATTTTAAAGCAAACAAAACGTTATCCAGATTCAGGACAAGAAAGGAAGCAATGTTCTCCACTAAATAAGTACGTCGGAATCAACCATTCCTCCCTTTTTTCAATGGTTTCTTAGTGCTCGCCCGTTGATATTTAGAACTTTTGCTCCCTTTTTCCAGCTTGCGCACAAAACCTCATACTTTATGAACATTGAACTTTCAAAACGGGCACTCGATGCATAAATGAATTATTCTCATGTAGAACGTGATAACATCGCTCGAGGTAACCGAAAGGCGATCGAAATCCTGTTTGTCCTGGTTAAGATTTTAGACGTCTGATTCAACTCTGTAATTTCAATAATTCATATCCAATAGCAATTAATTTTCCCTTTTTATCTGGGAGATCTGGAGGAACGTGGTCCAAATCTACAAACTTTTGACACTACAACTTTGACCATTCATTTGTTTTGTCCGTTACAAAACTGCGTCGAATATGAAATTCGTAAGCCTGATTCACTAATCTTTAAACTCATCCGAAGCCTTCGCATATTCTGATAAACGAGGGCAACTGATCTAACGGCGATAAAGACTACAATCAAAAAATAACCCCTCAGCAAAAAATTAATGTCTGGCGGTCTAAGATTTAAGAACAAAATGGTTTGAACGCGTAGAAATGGACTGGATGAAAACACTTCCTTACAAACTCTGTACGCGCTTATGATTTAAAATAAGATCTGGGACGCTTCCTTTTCTCAATAAGTTTGAGAATACCTCCCAGAATTGAAAATAGAAAGTCATTATGACTCCATAAAGCTTAGTTTCCTGTTGATAGCTCTGTTTAATTAATTTGCCGTCCTTCGTGGCTGTTCGGTAAACGCGGAAGTCGCCGAGTTGTCCAAGATTTTTGCTGGGATGGACGTGACTGCTTTTAAATTTAGTTTCCTGCAAGTGACTGATGAATATGGATGGGCTTTAAATAGGGCATTCGCTTTTACGAAGGGTTAACGATCGAAACGTCAGGTGGCCAATATACATTATAATCAATTCGGTTGATTAAAACAAGTTATTTTGTAATACCCGGTCCTTGAGCGACGCAGCACCACGGATTCTTTGAAAACTTATCCCCTTTCTTGATAGGTGAATGTATGTCAATACAAAAGTTTTTAATTTTTGCAGGCTATAGATAGATGAATGTTATTTAATGTGACAGTTTAAGGTGGCTTAAAAGAGTACATCCCTTCATATGAGCGGCTAATGTCCAAGTCTTGCAAACTCAAATGAATATGGAGGTTTTTTGTTTGATAGTCTCGAACTGCCAAGGAGCAAATCAAGAAGTCCGACTGTCTTTTATACCTCTTAAGTTGAATACATTCCGAATTCTCCCTTGTACCGGCTACTTCTGAGGGCACATTCATGAAAATGACCTTCATTATTCCGCAGTCATTTTCACGTTATGTTTATAAAAAGAGCACTTATTCACAAATAACTTCTGCGCTACTTCTGTTTCCCGTCACCTGCCAGACAGTGTCTGTATACTTCACACCTCGCATAGTCCATAGATTATAACGCAGCATCGGTATGGTGCTCAAACCGACTATATTTTTGTTGAGACGCTATAATGCCGTTTTCTTAGTACGAATAATACTTGAACGGTAATCAGGAATATTATGGTCCAATGTGTAGCTTGTGTATTTCTCGCGAGAAACCTTGTCACAGTGGCAACAAGAGGTTGGTCACTAAACTATTGCGTTCTAAAGACCCTTTGAAAAGTGTTGCACCGTACAACGTCAAGACACAACAATCATGAATAACAAAGTCAAAGAATCTCATCCTAGTTTAGTCAGATCACGAGTTCGATATTAGTTTTCTTGGTATCTATTTTCAAAAGTTAAAGGATCAGGAAACTAAAGACTGAAATCGGTCAATTGCTGAAACTTCAACCTGAAAGGTGTTGCACCCTACGTCAAGACACAACAATGACGAACAACAAAGGCCACACCACTCTAGAACCACATGATCGCGCCGCAATTATAGCTAATTGTTTTCAAATTGATTTTTCATCACCTCGAAACTAAAATGAAGTCTAGTGGAAGGACGTTGCCGTTAGGCGTCTATGCATGTGGACCTCATTGATGTTCGCTTTTTATTTTACTTTTTAAAAGGAAACCTCTGTCGATGGCGGTATGGAGTCTTACCGGCTTCCTCATTAGCACTTCTAGTGACAAATGGATTCGAGCCCTGTATCCAAACTTAGGTGCAAAAAGTAGCAATGAGTGCAACTCACGGCATTTTGTTTTTTACTTAAGTTAGTTGCTCTTTGAACTTCATCACTTTAGTATGGCTGGTGTTGTTGAGGAGAAGTAAACGTCCAGGCACTGGTTACTTGTGCTGCGACTTTGTTCTCTTGACTTTTATTCTGAACGGTATCCTCAGCTTTTCTTATATCTTGGGAAGGATGGGTAAACTTGAAGACATCGACGTTGGAATATTTTGTGCAGCAGCCATGAATTTCTACAGAACTCAAGTAAGACAAGTTGTAGCAGCCAGTTGAGTCTCATACAAACCTTGCTTTCCTTTATTCTGAACGGTATCCTCAGCTTTTCTTATATCTTGGGAAGGATGGGTAAACTTGAAGATATCGACGTTGGAATATTTTCTGCAGCAGCCATGGATTTATATAGAACTCAAGTAAGACAAGTTGTAGCAGCCAGCTGAGTCTCATACAAACCTTGCTTTCCTTTTGGATTGTACGGGGTATTTCAAAAGTTCGTGCCCTTTTTTTGAACAAAGAAAAAAAGATTTCTTTCTGAACTGTCCGTTCGTCGAAGCCTTGCAAGTGAGTAACCCATGTCTACAGTTTTTCCATATCCATGGAGAATTTCATCAGCCTGGAAATCCCCCTTTGCTTTTCATGACAAACGCCAAGTTTGATCCAGCCCAACCAAGCGTTGTAAAATGTTTTCGCTATTTACTTATAATAATTTATTTATTTATCAAGAAACCTTACACTACCGTCTTACAAACGAAATGGTTCATGATTGCCAATGATCTCAAGGGAGGGGCCGATAATAAGTCCAACCTTCAACCTAAAGCCTCGTAATAATCGAATTCCTTGCTCTCGACCACATCTCCAAGAAACTCATTTGCGATGGCAGCATTTATCTCACAAAGTCTCGTTAATGGCGCTTCCCCTGGTCTGTAATTAACTGATTTGCAATTCTCATAGCGTCGACACCAAAGCAAACATTCAATGTCACTTTGTACTATCAACTGATGAATCACATGCTTAGTCAGCTGGGTGTTCGGTGATCTCTTGAAATATCTTCCGCTTGCTGCATCTGTTTCGATACAAAATGTTATTTCGTTACTAATCAGCATTTAGGATGAACGTCCTTTTCCTATTTACCCTTTAACTCCCAGAAGTGATTAACAAGTAACTTCTCCCTACAATATCCAACCACTATCTAGCAAAAAGGTAACAAAATTACTCAAATGCATCAGGTAGTGTTGATATCTTGATCTAGCACCAAATTCTTGTAACTAATTTACAAGAAAATGTGTAGCAGCTAGAGGGGAGAATTAACAATCAAATCTGGGACGTAAAAAGGTTAACAGATTCTTCGTTGGTTTCGACCTACCTTACTACTACCTTTGCTTTTCCCTGTTTTTCTTTTACTAGGACCAAGTTCGAGACTTGATCAACAAATATAATGGTTACCTACATACAAGAAATAAAAGTAACCATAACGCTCTGACGAAGGGCTGACGCTCGAAACGTCAGCTTTAATACCAACTGACCTTGTTATACTCTACCACCGACGCAGCACCACAGTTTCTTTAGAATTTTTTCACGAACCCGTTATTCATCTACAGAAACCCGAATCCCGACTGACTCAAGTTCAATTTAGCACCAATGTTTCTCACTGTGGCTAAGATACCAAGGGCAATGACAAAACAAAGTGTTTACTTCTTATTTTCCATCTCTCGTTCTCGTGTGTCTGTTTCGATTAAGTGTCTCAATACCAGAATAAAGTTAATTAGAAACACCAATCAGATGAAAGGGAACTATCCCAAGTAAGGGAGCAGGTGAACTGCGTGACGCACGGGAAAACACGAGTGCCCAAAGCAGGATTACTTTCTGTTTTCCATATGATCAGTTACTACGTTTGTATAAGCTTTCTAGATCAACCGCAAAATCCAGGGAGTCAAAACTGAAGCAGTGCATGGTCAAATTCGACACTCAGTCGAATATTTCTCTGGGGACTACTGACGACTATAATTGAAAGCTTGCCATCAGAAAAATTACCATAATTTTCTTCTCTATAAGAAAAAGGTTGTGTTTCATACTACTAAGTGCTTGAGGTGAATGATTTACCTAACCTTTTTCACAGATATATGGCTGTTTCGTGGAGCAGCATTTGTCGTTCCACTGGCCGTGAAATGAACTATAGTCTGTCATCTCACCGCAGTCCTCTTTACCCAAAATGTTTCCCTCTCCAGGAATCCAGTTCAGATAAGCTAGCTCCTCGCCTTTCGACCAGAGGAAACTTAGAGAGTTTTTATCTTTCACCAGGCCGATCCAGAAAGTTTTATTAACTGCCATGCGTTGGTACACGAACTGCTGCTCTCCATCAGAGTTTATGCTGAGCAGATCTCCTCCGTTTTCCCGGCAAGCGGCTCTTGCGTGAAACCAAGACAGTTTCGTGTCATGAGCTCGATAGCATGAGCCGTTGAAGTATAACCAGTCTTTAGGACAACTCCAACCTGTTCAAAATGATCGTGAACTTGAGTTGGAGGTATAATTTCCTTTCTATTTTCTCCGAACCAGTCTTACAGCTTTGTTAAGCAAAACCGATGCAATCTTCGACTCTAGGTCTAACACGCAATTGTAGATAGCCAGATTGCAACGATGACTGCAATTTATCTCAGGTGAATTTCGCTGTGTTACATTTGTGATGGGTTTATGGTTCGGGGGCGAATTATGAGCGAAATTGAAATTGAGCGAAACCATCAGTTACCTTGTGATGATGAACATTTATTGTGTTTCTTCCTCTATTGTTGATGACAAGGTTGTTGTCGTGTTTTCTGAACATATAAACTCTTATGCTTCAAAATTCTAAGTACAGTATCGAAATCATTCAGTGCCTCGGATTCTCTTACAAATGAACCGGAAAAGCAACTTTTAATGCTTATAGTTTCAGAATACACCGGAAAGCTTCCTATACGATTGATTCCACTATGACTTAATATACCGAAGGAAATAAATCGCGCAGAATGGAGAAATAAAAGAGAGTGTTGATAGATTAGTCACTTAATTTGGACAGACGCAATCGCTGGTTGTCATTCTACGAAAATGTTAATTGGAGTCGCAGCCTTGTTACTTAGGATAAAGATTTTTTATTACATTTTACGACGCGGAAGTTTTCTTTATGTGAATAATACTATATTACTTTATCTGAATATGTCCTAGAGAGGATTTTTAAAAGAGTAACCCTCGCTGTAGCTTTTGGTATCTCTATTTATGAACGCAGAATAAACTGATTAGACTTCGACAGTGTCTTCGGATTTGCATCCAGACCAAATGAAAAATGTAATAAATTAACCTGTTACGGTTTTATTAGGATTTCAGTACTTCTCCAGTACAATGAATACATTTAAAAGCGGATAAAAACTTTGCGGTTTTTTTCAAAGGCCATCGTTGCTGCATTAGCCTCGCGCGTTGGATCGGGCTGAATGACGATAAAAATATCGAATAAAACCATATTTGTTTAATCTTACCTTCTGATAAATCCTCGTCAAACCCTTCTGAAGACAAATAGAGCTATCCAAGAGAGCAGATATCAAAAAAGGTCGGTTTAAATTTGGCCGAATCGAAGCATATCCAGAAATTTCAATTTCTCAGCACTTACCGCGGCAACACAAAGAAATGAAATTATCATTATTGGGTCTCTACCACTTTTCCCTTTCGCACTGTGTGGCACAGCCATCTCCCACGTTTAAACAATATTTCTTTTTATCTGTATGCAGTTGCTGCTCTCTTGTGTTTTATAACCAAGTGATCTGTATATTGCTGATGGTTTATACACGGATCCGCTTCCCTTTTAAGTGTACACAGCTTTACATAGGAACATCGATTTTTGACAGGTCGTCAGCCTTGTTGATACAAATATTCTCTTTTAAAGAAAAATTTTAAGGCAGTCGATTCTATGGTGGCATTGTGTTTTCTTTATTGTGTAAACATTGTTACTAGATACTTCCTCGTATCAAAGAATGATGTCTAGAGTTTCGATAGTTCAATATCTTTATCTCAGACTAAAGACACCCGCCGGCCCATGGCTAACTTTTAGTGGAGTTATACAGATTCTAAATTCTTTTTTTTTTCAAAGGGTTATATCTTGTAGCTGAGCAGTCCAAAGAAAAACCCAAATTCCGAAAAAGTCCAAAACAAACACATCTAAAAAATACATTAAAGATGTAGATCTGCATTACACACCAATTTTTTTTTTTTTTCGGTGACATACACTTTGGACTATTATTTCCTCCTTTGCCTTCAGTGAGCTAACAAGGAAATGAGCATGGGAATCAGTTCATATGAAACTTAAATTGTAGACTTAACTCATTGATTATGTGTAGTCAAGAAATATGAAACTTAATTAAATGTGTTGGAAATTATTTCTCTGATTATTGATTGTAAAATGTATAGTAGACGCATATATCTGAGCAACATTGCATTCGTTTGTAAATAGCAACGAAGAGTCTTCGATTTCCCTGAGGTGAAGACAAAAAAAGAAGTAAACCGAGTTTTAAACTAGTTTCTTATATCATTGGTTGCTGGTGCAAGGTTATGGACAGTGAACCATCATCAACTCAGACAGGTGCGCACGATATCAGTGATGATCCCCCCTCATCTGCAATAAGACTAAAATGGGACCCACCTGTCAGTAATGGAGAGGCATCAGAAAAAGCAGGTGCGAATGGCATACAGACTGAGATTTATCTGGTTAAAATTCTCTTTCGCAGAGTTGATCAGATGAAGTTAGAAGAATGGGGTATAGATTTGGAAAAGCGTTGCTGTTCGATGAGGGAGCTGATTCCTTGACACTTAAAGAGTAAAACATTGTGATAAGATTTCAACCTAAGTACATATAAACAACTTATTATTTAAACTCAAAAGACTAGCTCCTTGGGTTCCATCCAGATCCGCCCATGACAAAGTTATGCGGGTATGAAAAATATGACGAAAAACCAATCCATGAAGATGAAGGAAAGATCGACAAAAATCTGTTATGTTAACTCATTTCTTATTATACTTATTTTTGTGGCTTATGTTACTGTCCATCCTTTTTAGAAGACGCAAGTGAGATCGCATTTTAAAGCAAACAAAACTTTATCCATATTCAGGACAAGAAAGGAAGCAATGTTCTCCACTAAATAAGCACGTCGGAATCAACCATCCCTCCCTTTTTTCACTAGTTTCCTAGTGCTCGCCCGTTGATATTTATAACTTTTGCTCCCTTTTTCCAGCTTGCGCACAAAACCTCATACTTTATGAACATTGAACTTTCAAAACGGGCACTCGATGCATAAATGAATTATTCTCATGTAGAACGTGATAACATCGCTCGAGGTAACCGAAAGGCGATCGAAATCCTGTTTGTCCTGGTTAAGATTTTAGACGTCTGATTCAACTCTGTAATTTCAATAATTCATATCCAATAGCAATTAATTTTCCCTTTTTATCTGGGAGATCTGGAGGAACGTGGTCCAAATCTACAAACTTTTGACACTACAAGAATCAAACGTATATATAACTAGAATGATTAAGACCCATTCATTTGTTTTGTCCGTTACAAAACTGCGTCGAATATGAAATTCGTAAGCCTGATTCACTAATCTTTAAACTCATCCGAAGCCTTCGCATATTCTGATAAACGAGGGCAACTGATCTAACGGCGATAAAGGGTACAATCAAAAAATAACCCCTCAGCAAAAAATTAATGTATGTCTAAGATTTAAGAACAAAATTGTTTGAACGCGTAGAAATGGACTGGATGAAAACACTTCCTTACAAACTCTGTACGCGCTTATGATTTAAAATAAGATCTGGGACGCTTCCTTTTCTCAATAATTTTGAGAATACCTCCCAGAATTGAAAATAGAAAGTCATTATGACTCCATAAAGCTTAGTTTCCTTTGATAGCTCTGTTTAATTAATTTGCCGTCCTTCGTGGCTGTTCGGTAAACGCGGAAGTCGCTGAGTTGTCCAAGTTTTTTGCTGGGATGGACGTCGCTGCTTTTAAATTTAGTTTCCTGCAAGTGACTGATGAATATCGATGGGCTTTAAATAGGAGATTCGCTTTTACGAAGGGTTAACGATCGAAACGTCAGGTGGCCAATATACATTATAATCAACTCGGTTGATTAAACCAAGTTATTTTGTAATACCCGGCCCTTGAGCGACGCAGCACCACGGATTCTTTGAAAACTTACCCCCTTTCTTGATAGGTGAATGTATGTCAATACAGAAGTTTTTAATTTTGGCAGGCTATAGATAGATGAATGTTATTTAATGTGACAGTTTAAGGTGGCTTAAAAGAGTACATCCCTTCCTATGAGCGGCTAATGTCCAAGTCTTGCAAACTCAAATGAATATGGAGGTTTTTTGTTTGATAGTCTCGAACTGCCAAAGGAGCAAATCAAGAACTCCGACTGCCTTTTATACCTCTTAAGTTGAATACATTCCGAATTCTCCCTTATACCGCCTACTACTGAGGGCAGATTCTTGAAAATGACCTTCATTATTCCGCAGTCATTTTCACGTTATGTTTATAAACTGAGCACTTATCCACAAATAACTTCTGCGCTATTTCTGTTTCCCGTCACCTGCCAGACAGTGTCCGGCTGTATACTTCACACCTCGTATAGTCCATAGATTATGACGCAGCATCAGTATGGTGCTCAAACCGACTATATTTTTGTTGAGACGCTATGATGCCGTTTTCTTAGTGCGAATAATTCTTGAACGGTATTCAAGAATATTATGGTCCAATGAATAGCTGTTCTTGTGTATTTCTCCCGAGAAACCTTGTCACAGTGGCAACAAGAGGTTGGTCACTAAGCTATTGTGTTCTAAAGACCCTTTTAAAAGTTTTGCACCGTACAACGTCAAGACACAACAATCATGAATAACAAAGTCAAAGAATCTCGTCCTAGTTTAGTCAGATCACGAGTTCGATATTAGTTTTCTTGGTATCTATTTTCAAAAGTGAAAGGATCAGGAAACTAAAGACTGAAATCGGTCAATTGCCGAAACTTCAACCTGAAAGGTGTTGCACCCTACGTCAAGACACAACAATGACGAACAACAAAGGCCACACCACTCTAGAACCACATGATCGCGCCGCAATTATAGCTAATTGTTTTCAAATTGATTTTTCATCACCTCGAAACTAAAATGAAACTGCAAAACCCGTTTATGAATATCCCCTTTGTTATTCTCATTTATTAACTAACTTATTCATGCCTTTTTTAATGATAAAACTGTAAAGCAGACGTTTGTCCACTTCAATATCTTTTGTTATTTGAGGGCTGAAAAAGAGCCTCTGATAATCCCTTTCTTGTTTAATTTAGCTGAGGGGTACAGGGTGGTTCCATACCGAGATATCTATATCTTATCAGTCACTTCTTGCCTAATAAATCGTGTATTTCAGTCAAAAGCATAACCAACAGATGCAGTAAAGCTTGTACTTACTCAGTGTACCGCGTAAAAAATGGGTTGTAAACATTTTACTGGATTGAATCCCATTCATCGCTTCATTCATCACAGGGCAACGATATTATACCACAGAACTCCCCAAGTCAAAGAATGTTGTCTTAGTTTAGTAAGATCACGAGTTCGATATGAGTTTTCATGGTGTCAATCTTCATTTTTCATGATAACACTTTAAAGCAGACGTTTGTCCATTTCAATATCTTTTGTTATTAGAGGGCTACAAAGAGCAGTCACCCTGGATTTAATAGACACTACTCCGATTAACTACTGTACTAAGCAAAGTTTGGCAAAAATCTCGGTGTAGAATGACCCTAAAACTTGATAATGTAACATCGTGCCAATATGTGCACAACGGGAAATATTTGAAATGTGCACCTGCTGTACATGTTTTGGGGCTGACATGCAGCAAAAAATGTGTTGATCATCCGCTGGATCATTATGTCAATTTTTTGTGTAAAAAACGTTCTGTGTTTTGTGAATGAAAGTTTTGACCCTCTATCAAATCCCCTCCCCCTCCCCCCAAGGTTGGTTTGCTTGTGTAGTGGAAGGACGTTGCCATTAGGCGTCTATGCATGTGGACCTCATTGATGTTCGCTTTTTATTTTACTTTTTAAAAGGAAACCTCTGTCGATGGCGGTATAGAGTCTTACCGACTTCCTCATTGGTAGTAATGTAGTAGTAGCAAAAAAAATAGTAATGAGTGCAACTCACGGCATTTTGTTTTTTACTTAAGTTAGTTGCTCTTATATTAGGCTGGTGTTGTTGAGGAGAAGTAAACGTCCAGGCACTGGTTACTTGTGCTACGACTTTGTTCTCTTGACTTTTATTCTGAACGGTATCCTCAGCTTTTCTTATTTCTTAGGAAGGATGGGTAAACTTGAAGACATCGACGTTGGAATATTTTGTGCAGCAGCCTTGAATTTCTACAGAACTCAAGTAAGACAAGTTGTAGCAGCCAGTTGAGTCGCACACAAACCTTGCCTTCCTTTATTCTGAACGGTATTCTGAACGGTATCTGAACGGTATCTGAACGGTTTCTTATATCGTGGGAAGGATGGGTAAACTTGAAGATATCGACGTTGGAATATTTTCTGCAGCAGCCATGGATTTATATAGAACTCAAGTAAAACAAGTTGTAGCAGCCAGCTGAGTCTCATACAAACCTTGCTTTCCTTTTGGATTGTACGGGGCATTTCAAAAGTTCGTGCCCTTTTTTTAGAACAAAGAAAAAAACATTTCTTTCTGAACTGTCCGTTCGTCGAAGCCTTGCAAGTGAGTAACCCATGTCTACAGTTTTTCCATATCCATGGAGAATTTCATTAGCCTGGAAATCCCCCTTTGCTTTTCATGAAAAACGCCAAGTTTGATCCAGCCCAACCAAGCGTTGTAAAATGTTTTCGCTATTTACTTATAATAATTTATTTATTTATCAAGAAACCTTACACTACCGTCTTACAAACGAAATGGTTCATGATTGCCAATGATCTCAAGGGAGGGGCCGATAATAAGTCCAACCTTCAACCTAAAGCCTCGTAATAATCGAATTCCTTGCTCTCGACCACATCTCCAGGAAACTCATTTGCGATGGCAGCATTTATCTCACAAAGGCTCGTTGATGGCGCTTCCCCTGGTCTGTAATTAACTGATGTGCAATTCTCATAGCGTCGACACCAAAGCAAACATTCAATGTCACTTTGTACTACCAACTGATGAATCACATGCTTAGTCAGCTGGGTGTTCGGTGATCTCTTGAAATATCTTCCGCTTGCTGCATCTGTTTCGATACAAAATGTTATTTCGTTACTAATCAGCTCGTGGGATGAACGCTCTTTTACTATTAACCCTTTAACTCCCAAAAGTGATTAACCAGTAACTTCTCCCTACAATATCCATGCACTATCCCGCAAAAAGGTAACAAGAATACTCAAATGCATCAGGTTGAAGTTGTTATCTTGATCTAACACCAAATTCACGTAACTAATTTACAAGGAAATGTGTAGCAGCTAGGGGGGAGAATTAACAATCAGATCTTGAGCGTTAAAAGAGTTAACAGATTCTTTGTTAGTTTCGACATATACTTCTGTGTTATTCCAGCTGCTTTTTCCAGTTTTGATTTACACGTTTTATTTTGCTAGGACCAAGTTCGAGACTTGATCAATAAATATCATGGTTACCTACATACAAGAAATAAAAGTAACCCTAGCGCTCTAACGAAGGGCTAACGCTCGAAACGTCAACTCTTACACCAAATTACAATGTTGTACCCTACCACAGACGCAGCACCACAGTTTCTTTAGAATTTATTCATGGATTATTGCTGGTTGTGCTTTGGACAACTTTTTCTTGTACCTGGCTTTAAGTCTCAAACGACACGTCCTCCTCTAAAAATTTCCTTTTCATCAAGGTAAATGCCCTCAAAAAATTTAATGAGAGTGAAATGCCAGACAAAGGTACACAACTTGTCATTCATTTATAGAAGCCCGAATCTCGACTGACTCTCTGATGTGTTTCCGCGGGTAAAGTACCCCTGTATACTTGATCACATTTGGTTCATCAGAAAAATTACCATAATTTTCTTCTCTATAAGAAAAAGGTAGTGTTTCATACTACTAAGTGCTTGAGGTGAATGATTTACCTAACCTTTTTCACAGATATATGGCTGTTTCGTAGAGCAGCTATTGTCGTTCCACTGGCCGTGAAATGAACCATAGTCTGTCATCTCACCGCAGTCCTCAGGACCCGAAATGTTGGGGTGACGAATCCAGTTCAGATAAGCTAGCTCCTCGCCTTTCGACCAGCGGAAATTTTTAGAACTTTGATCTTTCACCAGGCCGATCCAGAACGTTTTGTTGACTGCCATGCGTCGGTACACGAACTGCTGCTCTCCATCAGAGTTTATGCTGAGCAGATCCCCTCCGTTTTCCTGGCAAGCGGCTCTTGCGTAAAACCAAGACAGTTGCGTGTTATAAGCTCGATAGCATGAGCCGTTGAAGTAGAACCAGTCTTTAGCACAAGTCCAACCTATTCAAAAGGATCGTGAGCTTGAGTTGGAGGTATATTTTCCTTTTTTTATTTTCGAACCAATCTTACAGCTTTGTTAAGCAAAACCGATGCAATCTTCGACTCTATGTTTGACAAACAATTGTAGGTAGCCATATTGCAAGGATGATTGCAATTTATCTCAGGTGAATTTCGCTGTGTTACATTTGTGATGGGTTTGTGGTTCGGGGTTGAATTATGAGCGAAATTGAAATTGAGCGAAACCATCAGTTACCTTGTGATGATGAACATTTATTGCGTTTCTTCCTCTATTGTTGATGACAAGGTTGTTGCCATGTTTTCGGAACATATGAACTCTTATGCTTCAAATTCTAAGTAGTATCGAAATCATTCAGTGCCTCGGAATCGAAAAAATGAACCGGGAAAGCAACTTTTAATGATTATATTTTCAGAATACGCCGGAAAGCTTCCTATACGATTGATTTCCACTATGACTAAATATACCGAAGTAAATAAATCGCGCAGAATGGAGAAATAAGAGAGAGTGTTGATCGATTTGTCACTTAATTTGGACATACGCAATCGCTGGTTGTCATTCTACAAAAATGCTAATTAGATTCACAGCCTTGTTACTTACGATAATTTAGGATTTTTTTTATTACATTTTATGACGCGGAAGTTTTCTTTATGTGAATAATACTATATTTTTTTATTTGAATATGTCCTAGAGAGTATTTTTAAATGAGTAACCCTAGCCGTAGATTTTACTTTCTCTATCTATGAACGCAGAATAAACTGATTAGACTTCGACAGTGTCTTCGGATTTGCATTCAGACCAAACGAAAAATGTAATAAATTAAACTGTTACGGTTGTATTAGGATTTCAGTACTTCTCCAGTACAATAAATACAGTTAAAAGCGGATAAAAACTTTGCGGTTATTTTAAAAGGCCATCGTTGCTGCATTAGCCTGGCGCCTTGAATCGGGCTGAATGACGATAAAAATATCGAATAAAACCATATTTGTTCAATCTTACCTTCTGGTAAAACCTCGTCAAACCCTTCTGAAGACAAACAGAGCTATTCAAGAGAGCAGATATCAAAAACGGTCGGATTAAATTTGGCCGAATTGAAGCATATCCAGAAATTTCAATTTCTCAGCACTTACCGCGACCACACAAAGAAATAAATTTATCATTATTGGGTCTCTACCACTTTTCCCTTTTCGCACTATGTGGCACAGCCATCTCCCTCGTTTAAACAATATTTCTTTTTATCTGCATGCAGATGCTGCTCTCGAAAGGTGTTTTATAACTAAGTGATCTGTATATTGCTGATGGTTTTTACACGGACCGCTTCCCTATTAAGTGTACACAGCTTTACATTGGAACATCGATTTTTGACAGGTCGTCAGCCTTGTTGATACAAATATTCTCTTTTAAAGAAAAATGTTAAGGCAGTCGATTCTATGGTGGCATTGTGTTTTCTTTTAAACATTGTTACTAGATCCTTCCTCGTATCAAAGAATGTTGTCTAGAGTTTCGATAGTTCAATAACTTTATCTCAGGCTAAGGACACCCGCCGGCCCGTGGCTAACTTTTAGTGGAGTTATACAGCTCCACTGCTCATGCTCGCCTTTTAGAACATCACTTATTCCTATAGTACTAAAATTATTTTTTTTCAGAGGATTATAACTTGTAGCTGAGTATTCCAAAGAAAAACCTAAATTCCGAAAAAGTCCAAAACAAACACACCTAAAGAATACATTAAAATATGTAGATCTGCATTACACACCAATTTTTTTTTGTTTTTTTTTTTTGTGACATACACTTTGGACTATAATTTCCTCCTTTGCCTTCAGTGAGCTAATAAGGAAATGAGCGTGGGAATCAGTTCATATGAAACTTAAATTGTAGACTTAACTCATTGATTATGTGTAGTCAAGAAATATGAAACTTAATTAAATGTGTTGGAAATTATTTCTCTGATTATTAATTGTTAAATGTATAGTAGACGCATATATCCGAGCAACATTGCGCTCGTTTGTAAATAGCAACGAAGAGTCTTCGATTTCCCTGAGGTGAAGACAAAAAAAGAAGTAAACCGAGTTTTAAACTAGTTTCTTATATCATTGGTTGCTGGTGCAAGGTTATGGACAGTGAACCATCATCAACTCAGAAAGGTGCGCGCGATATCAGTGACGATCCTCCCTCATCTGTAACGAGACTAAAATGGGACCCACGTGTCAGCAATGGAGAGGCATCAGAAAAAGCAGGTGCGAATGGCATACAGACTGAGATTTATCTGGTTAAAATTCTCTTTCGCAGAGTTGGTGAGATGAAGTTAGAAGAATGGGGCATTATAGAGTTAGAAAAGCGTTGCTGTTCGATAAGGGAGCTGACTCTTCGACACTTAAAGTTGGGTTAAAACAGGGACGGATTAAGAAGATTAAAACATTGTGATAAGATTTCAAACTTAGTACATATAAACAACTTATTACTTCAACTCAAAAGACTTTATGTCAAAGAAGAAAATGTTCAAAACATATGACTACAGGGGGGAGGAGGGCGGGGAGAACAGCTCCTTGGGTTCCATCCAGATCCGCCCATGACAAAGTTATGTGGGTATGAAAAATATGACGAAAAATTAATCCATGAAGATGAAGGAAATATCGACAAAAATCTGTTATGTTAACTCATATCTTAGTATACTTATTTTTGCGGGCTTATGTTACTGTCCATCCTCTTTAAAAGACGCAAATGAGATCGAATTTTAAAGAAAAAAAAAACGTTATCCATATTCAGGACAAGAAAGGAAGCCATGTTCTCCACTAAATAAGCACGTCGGAATCAACCATCCTTCCCTTTTTTTTCACTGGTTTCTTAGTGCTCGCCCGTTGACATTTAGAACTTTTGCTCCCTTTTTCCAGCTTGCGCAAATACCTCATACTTTATGAACATTGAACTTTCAAAAAGGGCACTCGATGCTTAAATGAATTATTCTCAGGTAGAACGTGATAACATCGCTCGAAGTAACCGAAAGGCGATCGAAATCCTGTTTGTCCTGGTTAAGATTTTAGACGTCTGATTCAACTCTGTAATTTCCCTTTTTTATCTGAGAGATCTGGTCCGTGGTCCAAATCGACAAACTTTCTACACTAAAAGAATGAAACGTATAGACAACTAGAATGATTAAGACCCATTCATTTGTTTTGTCCGTTACAAAACTGCGTCGAATATAAAATTCGTAAGTCTGATTCACTAATCTTTAAACTCATCCGAAACCTTCGCATATTCTGATAAACGAGGGCAACTGATGTAACGGCGATAAAGAGTACAATCAAAAAATAACCCCTCAGCAAAAAATTACTGTATGTCTAAGATTTAAGAACAAAATGGTTTGAACGCGTAGAATTGGACTGGATGAAAACACTTCCTTACAAACTCTGTACGCGCTTAGGATTTGAAATAAGATCTGGGACGCTTCCTTTTCTCAATAAGTTTGAGAATACCTCCCAGAATTGAAAATAGAAAGTCATTATGACTCCATAAAGCTTAGTTTCCTGTTGATAGCTCTGTTTAACTGATTTGCCGTCCTTCGTGACTGTTCGGTAAACGTGGAAGTCGCTGAGTTGTCCAAGTTTTTTGCTGGGATGGACGTGACTGCTTTTAAATTTAGTTTCCTGCAAGTGACTGATGAATATCGATGGGCTTTAAATAGGGCATTCGCTTTTACGAAGGGTTAACGATCGAAACGTCAGGTGGCCAATATACATTATAATCAACTCGGTTAATTAAACCAAGTTATTTTGTAATACCCGGCCCTTGAGCGACGCAGCACCACGGTTTCTTTGGAAACTTTTCTTGATAGGTGACTGTATGTCAATACAAAAGTTTTTAATTTTGGCAGGCTATCGATAGATGAATGTTTTTAATGTGACAGTTTAAGGTGGCTTAAAAGAGTACATCCCTTCCTATGAGCGGCCAATGTCCAAGTCTTGCAAATCAAGAAGTCCGACTGCCTTTTATACCTCTTAAGTTGAATACATTCCGAATTCTCACTTGTACCGCCTACTTCTGAGGGCAGATTCTTGAAAATGAATTTCATTATTCCGCAGTCATTTTTACGTTATGTTTATAAAATGAGCGCTTATCCAAAAATAACGCTATTTCTGTTTCCCGTCACCTGCCAGACAGTGTCTGTGTACTTCACACCTCGTATAGTACATAGATTTTGACGTAGCATCAGTATGGTGCTCAAACCGACTATATTTTTGTTGAGACGCTATAATGCCGTTTTCTTAGTGCGAATAATTCTTGAACGGTATTCAAGAATATTATGGTCCAATGTGTCGTTTGTGTATTTCTCGCGAGAAACCTTGTCACAGTGGCAACAAGAGGTTGGTCACTAAGCTAAAGACCCTTTGAAAAGTTTTGCACCGTACAACGTAAGACACAACAATGATGAATAACAAAGTCAAAGAATCTCATCCTAGTTTAGTCAGATCACGAGTTCGATATTAGTTTTCTTGGTATCTATTTTCAAAAGTTAAAGGATCAGGCAACTAAAGACTGAAATCGGTCATTTGCTGAAACTTCAACCTGAAAGGTGTTGCCCCCTACGTCGAGACACAACAATGACCAACAACAAAGGCCACACCATTCTAAAACCACATGATCGCGCCGCAATTATAGCTAATTGTTTTCAAATTGATTTTGCATCGTCTCGAAACTAAAATGAAACTGCAAAACCCGTTTATAAATATCCCCTTTGTTATTCTCATTTATTAACTAACTTATTCATTCCTTTTTTAATGATAAAACTATAAAGCAGACGTTTGTCCACTTCAATATCTTTTGTTATTAGAGGGCTGAAAAAGAGCCTCTGATAATCCCTTTCTTGTTTAATTTGGCTGAGGGGTACAGGGTGGTTCCATACCGAGATATCTATATCTTATCAGTCGCTTCTTGCCTAATAAATCGTGTATTTCATTCAAAAGCATAACCAACAGATGCAGTAAAGCTTGTACTTACTCAGTGTACCGCGTAAAAAATGACTTGTAAACATTTTACTGGATTGAATCCCATTCATCGCTTCATTCATCACAGGGCAACGATATTATACCACAGAACTCCCCAAGTCAAAAAATACTGTCTTAGTTTAGTTAGATCGCGAGTTCGATATGAGTTTTCATGGTGTCAATCTTCATTTTTCATGATAACACTTTAAAGCACACGTTTGTCCATTTCAATATCTTTTGTTATTAGAGGGCTATAAAGAGCAGTCACCCTGGATTTAATAGACACTACTCCGATTAACTACTGTAATAAGCAAAGTTTGGCAAAAATCTCGGTGTAGAATGACCCTAAAACTTGACAATGTAACATCGTGCCAATCACTTTAGTATGGCTGGTGTTGTTGAGGAAAGGTAAACGTCCAGACACTAGTTACTTGTGCTGCGACTTTGTTCTCTTGACTTTTATTCTGAACGGTATCCTCAGCTTTTGTTATATCTTGGGAAGGATGGGTAAACTTGAAGACATCGACGTTGGAATATTTTGTGCAGCAGCCATGAATTTCTACAGAACTCAAGTAAGACAAGTTGTAGCAGCCAGTTGAGTCTCATACAAACTTTGCTTTCCTTTATTCTGAACGGTATCCTCAGCTTTTCTTATATCTTGGGAAGGATGGGTAAACTTGAAGATATCGACGTTGGAATATTTTCTGCAGCAGCCATGGATTTATATAGAACTCAAGTAAGACAAGTTGTAGCAGCCAGCTGAGTCTCATACAAACCTTGCTTTCCTTTTGGATTGTACGGGGTATTTCAAAAGTTCGTCCCCTTTTTTCTGAACAAAGAAAAAAACATTTCTTTCTGAACTGTCCGTTCGTCGAAGCCTTGCAAGTGAGTAACCCATGTCTACAGTTTTTCCATATCCATGGAGAATTTCATTTGCCTGGAAATCCCCCTTTGCTTTTCATGACAAACGCTTATAATAATTTATTTATTTATCAAGAAACCTTACACTACCGTCTTACAAACGAAATGGTTCATGATTGCCAATGATCTCAAGGGAGGGGCTGATAATAAGTCCAACCTTCAACTTAAAGCCTCGTAATAATCGAATTCCTTGCTCTCGACCACATCTCCAGGAAACTCATTTGCGATGGCAACATTTATCTCACAAAGGCTCGTTGATGGCGCTTCCCCTGGTCTGTAATTAACTGATGTGCAGTTTTGATAGCGTCGACACCAAAGCAAACATTCAATGTCACTTTGTGCTACCAACTGATGAATCACATGCTTAGTCAGCTGGGTGTTCGGTGATCTCTTGAAATATCTTCCGCTTGCTGCATCTGTTTCGATACAAAATGTTATTTCGTTACTAATCAGCTCGTGGGATGAACGCTCTTTTCCTATTAACCCTTTAACTCCCAAAAGTGATTAACAAGTAACTTCTCCCTTCCATATCAATGCACTATCCCGCAAAAAGGTAACAAGAATACTCAATTGCATCAGGTTGAAGTTGTTATCTTGATCTAACACCAAATTCACGTAACTAATTTACAAGGAAATGTGTAGCAGCTGTAGGGGAGAATTAACAATCAGATCTTGAGCGTTAAAAGAGTTAACAGATTCTTTGTTAGTTTCGACATATACTTCTGTGTTATTCCAGCTGCTTTTTCCAGTTTTGATTTACACGTTTTATTTTGCTAGGACCAAGTTCGAGACTTGATCAATAAATATCATGGTTACCTACATACAAGAAATAAAAGTAACCATAGCGCTCTAACGAAGGGCTTACGCTCGAAACGTCAGCTTTAACACCAAATTACAATGTTATACCCTACCACAGACGCAGCACCACAGTTTCTTTAGAATTTATTCATGGATTATTGCTAGTTGTGCTTTGGACAACTTTTTCCTGTACCTGGCTTTAAGTCTCAAACGACACGTCCTCCTCCAAAAATTTCCTTTTCATCAAGGTAAATGCCCTCAAAAAATTTAATGAGAGTGAAATGCCAGAGAAAGGTACACAACTTGTCATTCATTTATAGAAACCCGAATCTCGACTGACTCTCTGATGTGTTTCCGCGGGTAAAGTGCCCCTGTATACTTGATCACATTTGGTTCAATTTAGCTAATCCGGATTGATGATCCGGACTGTTTAGCACCAATGTTTCCCACTGTGGATAAGATACGAAGGGCAATGACAGAAGAAAGTGTTTACTTCTTATTTTCCACCTCTCGTTCTTGTGTGTCCGTTTCGATTGAGTGTCTCAATACCGAAACTAAGTTAATTAGAAATACCAACTAGATCAAAGGGAACTATTCCAAGTAAGAGAGTAGATGAACTGCGAGACGCACGGGGAAATACGAGTGCCCAAAGCTTGATTACTTTCTGTTTTTCGTATGATCAGTTACTACGTTTATAGGAGCTTTCTAGACCAACCGCAGAATACAGGGAGTCAAAACTGAAGCAGTGCAGGGTCAAATTCGACACTATCGAATATTTCTCTGGGGACTACTGATGACTACAATTAAAAGCGTGCCATCAGAAAAGTTACCATAATTGTATCTCTATCAGAAAAAGGCAGTGTAAATCCATACTACTAAGTGCCTGAGGTGAATGATTTACTTAACCTTTTTCACAGATGTATGGCTGTTTTTCGGAGCAGCTCTTGTCGTTCCACCAGCCGTGAAATGAACCATAGTCTGTCATCTCACCGCAATCCTCAGGACCCGAAATGTTCGGTTGACTAATCCAGTTCAGATAAGCTAGCTCCTCGCCTTTCGACCAGCGGAAATTTTTAGAACTTTGATCTTTCACCAGGCCGATCCAGAACGTTTTGTTGACTGCCATGCGTCGGTACACGAACTGCTGCTCTCCATCAGAGTTTATGCTGAGCAGATCCCCTCCGTTTTCCTGGCAAGCGGCTCTTGCGTAAAACCAAGACAGTTTCGTGTTATAAGCTCGATAGCATGAGCCGTTGAAGTAGAACCAGTCTTTAGCACAAGTCCAACCTATTCAAAAGGATCGTGAGCTTGAGTTGGAGGTATAATTTCCTTTTTTATTTTCGAACCAGTCTTACAGCTTTGTTAAGCAAAACCGATGCAATCTTCGACTCTATGTTTGACACACAATTGTAGGTAGCCATATTGCAAGGATGATTGCAATTTATCTCAGGTGAATTTCGCTGTGTTACATTTGTGATGGGTTTGTGGTTCGGGGTTGAATTATGAGCGAAATTGAAATTGAGCGAAACCATCAAAACATTTATTGTGTTTCTTCCTCTATTGTTGATGACAAGGTTGTTGCCATGTTTTCTGAACATATGAACTCTTATGCTTCAAATTCTAAGTACAGTATCGAAATCATTCAGTGCCTCGGATTCTCTTAAAAATGAACCGGGAAAGCAACTTTTAATGATTATAGTTTCAGAATACGCCGGAAAGCTTCCTATACGATTGATTTCCACTATGACTTAATATACCGAAGGAAATAAATCGCGCAGAATGGAGAAATAAGAGAGAGTGTTGATCGATTTGTCACTTAATTTGGACATACGCAATCGCTGGTTGTCATTCTACGAAAATGCTAATTAGATTCGCAGCCTTGTTACTTAGGATAAAGATTTTTTTTATTACATTTTATGACGCGGAAGTTTTCTTTATGTGAATAATAATATTTTTTTTATCTGAATATGTCCTAGAGAATATTTTTAAAAGAGTAACCCTAGCCGTAGATTTTACTATCTCTATTTATGAACGCAGAATAAACTGATTAGACTTCGACAGTGTCTTCGGATTTGCATTCAGACCAAACGAAAAATGTAATAAATTAAACTGTTACGGTATTAGGATTTCAGTACTTCTCCAGTACAATAAATACAGTTAAAAGCGGATAAAAACTTTGCAGTTATTTTCAAAGGCCATCTTTGCTGCATTAGCCTCGCGCGTTGAATCGGGCTGAATGACGATAAAAATATCGAATAAAACCATATTTGTTCAATCTTACCTTCTGGTAAAACCTCGTCAAACCCTTCTGAAGACAGATAGAGCTATTCAGGAGAGCAGATATCAAAAAAGGTCGGATTAAATTTGGTCGAATTGAAGCATATCCAGAAATTTCAATTTCTCAGCACTTACCGCGACCACACAAAGAAATAAAATTATCATTATTGGGTCTCTACCACTTTTCCCTTTTCGCACTATGTGGCACATCCATCTCCCTCGTTTAAACAATATTTCTTTTTATCTGCATGCAGATGCTGCTCTCTAAAGGTGTTTTATAACTAAGTGATCTGTATATTGCTGATGGTTTTACACGGACCGCTTCCCTATTAAGTGTACACAGCTTTACATTGGAACATCGATTTTTGACAGGTCGTCAGCCTTGTTGATACAAATATTCTCTTTTAAAGAAAAATTTTAAGGCAGTCGATTCTATGGTGGCATTGTGTTTTCTTTATTGTGTAAACATTGTTACTAGATCCTTCCTCGTATCAAAGAATGATGTCTAGAGTTTCGATAGTTCAATATCTTTGTCTCAGACTAAGGACACCCGCCGGCCCATGGCTAACTTTTAGTGGAGTTATACAGATTCTAAATTCTTTTTTTTTCAAAGGGTTATATCTTGTAGCTGAGCAGTCCAAAGAAAAAATTCAAATTCCGAAAAAGTCCAAAACAAACACACCTAAAGAATACATTAAAGATGTAGATCTGCATTACACACCAATTGTTTTTTTTTTCGGTGACATACACTTTGGACTATTATTTCCTCCTTTGCCTTCAGTGAGCTAACAAGGAAATGAGCGTGGGAATCAGTTCATATGAAACTTAAATTGTAGACTTAACTCATTGATTATGTGTAGTCAAGAAATGTGAAACTTAATTAAATGTGTTGGAAATTATTTCTCTGATTATTGATTGTAAAATGTATAGTAGACGCGTATATCTGAGCAACATTGCGCTCGTTTGTAAATAGCAACGAAGAGTCTTCGATTTCCCTGAGTTGAAGACAAAAAAAGGAGTAAACCGAGTTTTAAACTAGTTTCTTATATCATTGGTTGCTGGTGCAAGGTTATGGACAGGGAACCATCATCAACTCAGACAGGTGCGCACGATATCAGTGATGATCCCCCCTCATCTGCAATAAGACTAAAATGGGACCCACGTGTCAGTAATGGAGAGGCATCAGGAAAAGCAGGTGCGAATGGCATACAGACTGAGATTTATCTGGTTAAAATTCTCTTTCGCAAAGTTGATCAGATGAAGTTAGAAGAATGGGGCATTGTAGAGTTGGAAAAGCGTTGCTGTTCGATAAGGGGGCTGATTCCTTGACACTTAAAGTTGGGTTAAAACAGGGACAGATTAAGAAGATTAAAACATTGTGATAAGATTTCAACCTTAGTACATATAAACAACTTATTATTTAAACTCAGAAGACTTAATATCAAAGAAGAAAATGTTCAAAACATATGACTACAGGGGGGGAAGAGGGCGGGGAGAATAGCTCCATGGGTTCCATCCAGATCCGCCCATGACAAAGTTATGCTGGTATGAAAAATATGACGAAAAACCAATCCATGAAGATGAAGGAAAGATCGACAAAAATCTGCTTTGTTAACTCATTTCTTATTATACTTATTTTTGTGGCTTATGTTACTGTCCATCCTTTTTAAAAGACGCAAGTGAGATCGCATTTTAAAGCAAAAAAAACGTTATCCAGATTCAGGACAAGAAAGGAAGCAATGTTCTCCACTAAATAAGTACGTCGGAATCAACCATTCCTCCCTTTTTTCACTGGTTTCCTAGTGCTCGCCCGTTGATATTTATAACTTTTGCTCCCTTTTTCAGCTTGCGCACAAAACCTCATACTTTATGAACATTGAACTTTCAAAACGGGCACTCGATGCTTAAATGAATTATTCTCATGTAGAACGTGATAACATCGCTCGAGGTAACCGAAAGGCGATCGAAATCCTGTTTGTCCTGGTTAAGATTTTAGACGTCTGATTCAACTCTGTAATTTCAATAATTCATATCCAATAGCAATTAATTTTCCCTTTTTATCTGGGAGATCTGGAGGAACGTGGTCCAAATCAACAAACTTTTGACTCTACAAGAATCAAACGTATAGAATGATTAAGACCCATTCATTTGTTTTGTCCGTTACAAAACTGCGTCGAATATGAAATTCGTAAGCCTGATTCACTAATCTTTAAACTCATCCGAAGCCTTCGCATATTCTGATAAACGAGGGCAACTGATCTAACGGCGATAAAGAGTACAATCAAAAAATAACCCCTCAGCAAAAAATTAATGTATGTCTAAGATTTAAGAACAAAATGGTTTGAACGCGTAGAAATGGACTGGATGAAAACACTTCCTTACAAACTCTGTACGCGCTTATGATTTAAAATAAGATCTGGGACGCTTCCTTTTCTCAATAATCTTGAGAATACCTCCCAGAATTGAAAATAGAAAGTCATTATTACTCCATAAAGCTTAGTTTCCTGTTGATAGCTCTGTTAAACTGATTTGCCGTCCTTCGTGGCTGTTCGGTACACGCGGAAGTCGCCGATTTGTCCAAGATTTTTACTGGGATGGACGTCACTGCTTTTAAATTTAGTTTCCTGCAAGTGACTGATGAATATCGATGGGCTTTAAATAGGGCATTCGCTTTTACGAAGGGTTAACGATCGAAACGTCAGGTGGCCAATATACATTATAATCAACTCGGTTGATTAAACCAAGTTATTTTGTAATACCCGGCCCTTGAGCGACGCAGCACCACGGTTTCTTTGAAAACTTTTCTTGATAGGTGACTGTATGTCAATACAAAAGTTTTTAATTTTTGCAGGCTATAGATAGATGAATGTTATTTAATGTGACAGTTTAAGGTGGCTTAAAAGAGCACATCCCTTCCTATGAGCGGCCAATGTCCAAGTCTTGCAAACTCAAACGAATATGGAGGTTTTTTGTTTGATAGTCTCGAACTGCCAAAGGAGCAAATCAAGAACTCCGACTGCCTTTTATACCTCTTAAGTTGAATACATTCCGAATTCTCCCTTATACCGCCTACTTCTGAGGGCAGATTCTTGAAAATGACCTTCATTATTCCGCAGTCATTTTTACGTTATGTTTATAAACTGAGCACTTATCCACAAATAACTTCTGCGCTATTTCTGTTTCCCGTCACCTGCCAGACAGTGTCCGGCTGTATACTTCACACCTCGTATAGTCCATAGATTTTGACGTAGCATCAGTACGGTGCTCAAACCGACTATATTTTTGTAGAGATACTATAATGCCGTTTTCTTAGTATGAATAATTCTTGAACGGTAATCAAGAATATTATGGTCCAATGTATAGCTTTTCTTGTGTATTTCTCGCGAGAAACCTTGTCACAGTGGCAGCAAGAGGTTGGTCACTAAGCTATTGTGTTCTAAAGACCCTTTTAAAAGTGTTGCACCGTACAACGTCAAGACACAACAATCATGAATAACAAATTCAAAGAATTTCGTCCTAGTTTAGTCAGATCACGAGTTCGATATTAGTTTTCTTGGTATCTATTTTCAAAAGTTGAAGGATCAGGAAACTAAAGACTGAAATCGGTCAAGTGCTGAAACTTCAACCTGAAAGGTGTTGCGCCCTTCGTCAAGACACAACAATGACGAACAACAAGGGTCGCACCATTCTAAAACCACATGATCGCGCCGCAACTATAGCTAATTGTTTTCAAATTGATTTTGCATCGCCTCGAAACTAAAATGAAACTGCAAAACCCGTTTATAAATATCCCCTTTGTTATTCTCATTTATTAACTAACTTATTCATTCCTTTTTTAATGATAAAACTGTAAAGCAGACGTTTGTCCACTTCAATATCTTTTGATATTAAAGGGCTGAAAAAGAGCCTCTGATAATCCCTTTCTTGTTTAATTTGGCTGAGGGGTACAAGGTGGTTCCATACCGAGATATCTATATCTTATCAGTCACTTCTTGCTTAAAAAATCGTGTATTTCAGTCAAAAGCATAACCAACAGATGCAGTAAAGCTTGTACTTACTCAGTGTACCGCGTAAAAAATGGCTCGTAAAACATTTTACTGGATTGAATCCCATTCATCGCTTCATTCATCACAGGGCAACGATATTATACCACAGAACTCCCCAGGTCAAAGAGTGTTGTCTTAGTTTAGTTAGGTCACGAGTTCGATATGAGTTTTCATGGTGTCAATCTTCATTTTTTTTTTGAATTGAACCAAAGTCTGTCATCTCACCGCAGTCCTCAGGACCCAAAATGTTCGGGTGACTAACCCAGTTCAGACAAGCTAGCTCCTCGCCTTTCGACCAGCGGAAACTTAGAGAGTTTTTATCTTTTACCAGGCCGATCCAGAAAGTTTTATTGACTGCCATGCGTTGGTATACGAACTGCTGCTCTCTATGAGAGTTTATACTGAGCAGATCTCCTCCGTTTTTTTTTCCCGGCAAGCGGCTCTTGCGTGAAACCAAGACAGTTTCGTGTTATAAGCTCGATAGCATGAGCCGTTGAAGTATAACCAGTCTTTAGGACAACTCCAAACTGTTCAAAACGATCGTGAGCTTGAGTTGGAGGTATAATTTCCTTTTTTTTTATTAAACCAGTCTAAAAGGTTTGATAAGCAAAACCGATGCAATCTTCGACTCCATGTTTGACACTCAATTGAAGATTGATCAATTTATTTCAGGTGAATTTCGCTGTGTTGCATTTCTGATGAGTTTATGGTTCGGGGGCGAATTGGGAGCGACATTGAAATTGAGAGAACCGATCAGTTACCTTGTGATTATGAACATCTCTTTTGTTTCTTCCTCTATTGTTGATGACAAGGTTGGATGGAGCCCAACATATTTGTGTGCACTTATGTTACTGTTTATCCTCTTTAAAAGACGCAAGTGCAATCGCATTTTGAAGCAAATAAAACGTTATCCAGATTCAGAACAAGAAAGGAAGCAATGTTCCCCACAAAATAAGCACGTTGAGATCAACCACTCCTGCCTTTTTTCACTAGTTTCTTAGTGCTCAACCGTTGAAAGTTGGAACTTTTGCTCCCTTTTGCCAGCTTGCACTTAATATAACATGTTTAATTGGGAAATTCCTCATACTTTATGAACATTGAACTTTCAAAAAGAGCACTCGATGCTTAGATGAATTATTCTCAGGTAGAACGTGATAACATTGCTCGAGGCAATCGATTGGCAATTGATTGTGATCCTTTGTATCTTAGTTTTCCAATTAAAAAAGCAAGCAGATCAATATACATGTACTTCACATGGCCAGTAGCTTTCAGTTCGATTTCAGGTACACGTATATATGTTATTCGCCCGCCGGGAGGTCCGTATTGGGAAAACAATGGACGAAGTCTTGAGTACCGCCCTCAGCCTACGGCCTCGGGCGGTACTCAAGACAGAGGGCATAGTTTTTCCCAATACCGACCGACCTAGGCCGGTGAATTACAGTTTTTTTTTCATAAACATAACGAAATTCTTTCCAAAAGAACCCGAATGATTTACGGCTTTAATTAAGGCAAGATCTTCCATAACCTGAACAATTTTTGAGCGAGTAAATGATGGTTAAAATAGAGGTGATGCAAATTAAAGAGAGATGCTTCACCGAAACATTTTCATTTGCGTAAGGATAAAGGTGATTTAAAAGGCTTCCAACAAAATTTGACACTTTTTTTTACAAGTATCTGTTACAATCTGACACCTGTCAGTTGGAGAGCGCGTAAGAAGAAAAAAAAGCGCAAGTACACTTTTGAAAAAAGAACGGCACTAGTTTGGTAAGGACTGTCACGACAACGTTTTCTTAAAAAACAGTCAGTGATCGTACGGACAGTATTATTCACTCTCATCGACAATTAATTAATGTACGAAGATTTACCTCTGTTCAGTGAGTGAATAGCAAGGTGAGTAATTGTAATCGAATTCAAATTTTTCATTTTGAAGTTGTCAGAGTTTGCTAGTTTGTTTACTGCAATGGCGTGTGTAAATGTGGTCTTTCCTCCACAAAAAATCAATTCGAATGAGACACTTCAACTTGACGCAAGAGAATTTTTATTATTGAATTTCTTCGGTTTCTGTTGTGCAATTCACGGTAAAAATGTCCAACCTGAACGGACTTAGAAAGACTTACCGAAAGCGTCTTTGTAGTAGAACTGAAAACTTCGCTCGCCCTTTCACTATTAACAAATTGTTTAAAAGAATTCAGATATCAGATGAATGAAAGTTCCATCGATTAATTCAATTGTAACCAAATACCTCACGTTTTAACTTTCTAGGTACTTTTTGTGGAGGATTAAAAGTAATTACAAACGGGTTTTAGGCCGCTTTGATAACACTTTAGCTAAAACAATTTAATTTCGAAACCAATATTTTTCTGCCAACCAAAGTGATTTGAGAGAGATAGAAAAGAGCCTAAAAATACTGTCCAGCCTGAAAAACGCGATATATTTATGAAAAAATGGCAACGAAGGTAGGGATGTACTCGGCGACAAAGCGTTAGCGTGCCCGTGGGCAGAGATAGGAAAATACGGACCGCGCTAAGAACCAATCAGATGACAGGATTCGTTTCCGTGCCCTCTTAGAAAAAAAATTTGAAATTAGAATTACACTGTCTCACCTGTACTTTTCACCTGCATCATCAAAAACAGGATAGCTTCAAAAGAGAAAATAAAACATGTGCATCGATTGTTATTGCAGGAATATCATAAAAAACGACGTCAACCCTTAAAAAATCGCACCCCAGTTCTCGTGAAAAGAGGAAGAAAAGAGGAAGTAATGAGAAATAGCAGAAAATGGATCTCGTGCAAGAGTATAATCAGTCGATTGACATTGTGTGGCAATAGCTAAATTTAATATGAGACGATCCAAAAAGGAGATAGAGAGGCTTTTGATCGTTCAGAAATTAATATCGCGCCGCCGCGGAGTAAAATTCATCTGATCCTAACATTAGTTCGCTTTTATTTGACTACAATTAAAAAGCTAAATACAGAATGCTAAGACAAGGCTCGTAATGTCCTATGGACACATTTATACCTAGAAACTCACCACAAAAAAGTTGAACGGTTATCAAGAATATTATGGTTCAGTGCATACTTTTTTCTTGTATATTTCTCGCGAGAAACCTTGTCATAGTAACAACAGGAGGTTGGTCACTAAGCTATTGTATTCTAAAGACCCCATCGAGTGGTGTTGCACCTTACGTCAAGACGCAATGATCATGAATAACAAAGTCAAAGAATTTTCTCTTACTTTAGTTAGATCACGAGTTCGATATTAATTTTCTTGGTGTCAATCTTCAAAAGTTAAAGGATCAGGAAACTAAAGACTGAAAACGGTCAATAGGTGAACCTTCAACCTGAAAAGTGTTGCGCCCTACGTCAAGACAAAACAATGACGAACAACAAGGGCCACATTATTCCAAAACCACACGATCGTGCCGCAATTGTAACTAACTGTTTTCAAAATTAATCAAATTAATTTTGCATCGCCTCGAAACTAAAATGAAACTGTAAGACCCGTTTATAAATATCTCCTTTGTTATTCTCATTTATTAGCTTACTTATTCATTTTTCATGATAAAACTTTAGAGCAGACGTTTATCCATTTCAATATCTTTTGTTATTAGAGGACTATAAAAGAGCCTCTGATAATCCCTTTCTCGTTTAATTTGGCTGAGGGGTACAAGATGATTCTCTACTGAGATATCTATATCTTATCATTCACTTCTTGCTTAATAAATTATATATTTCAGTCTAAATCATAACCAACAGATGCAGTAAAGCTTGTACTTACTCAGTGTACTGCGTAAAAAATGGGTTGTAAACATTTTACTGGATTGAATTCCATTCATCGCTCCATTAATCACAGGGCAACGATATTATACCACAGAACTCCCCAATGCAAGTCAAAGAGTGTTGTCTTAGTTTAGTTAGATCACGAGTTCGATATGATTTTTCATGGTGACAATCTTCAAAAGTTATATAATTTCACAATACATTTAAATCGTTGGCACCTGTCAGGCTTCCCAAACGGAGAAGCCTATCAAAGTGCAAAAACTGAAATACGAGCTCACGTTCATCAATAAGAAAGTAATAAACGAGAACTGACCCCGCCATATGATTACAAAACTGAATCATAATTTAATACTTAACGAAAAGAAAGTGACAGTACAACAAAACAAACTCCTGAAAATATGAACATATCTCAGAGATAAATTTCTTGGGGTTTTTTTTATCTTACATGGAGCTACCACCTGTATGCAACAACAGAGGCAATTGAAAGCCTTACCGAGAAAATGTCATTTTTGTTTGATATTTTCGCGGATAATTTATTAGTCTAGTAATTCTTAAGATGCAGGGCTCCTTAGGATATCAGCCTTTGAGTTGAATAGGAAACCAGGTTGAAATAACGTTTTACTTTATTTTACTGGCTTTACTAGAAAAAAAATGCTTTCATAACTCTACTTATGTTTATCTTAGCTATTTTCATATCATTGATTTTCTTTGTTAGCATATCTCGACAGCCTTCTTTTAATCAATTGCAAAATAGTATTCATTTATTCAACACCATAATAATATCGCTACTTACTACATAAAAATCTTTTAGAACTTTCTGACGTAAAGCTGCTTACTTCAGTGCTTCGTTTAAAATGTGTAATGCTTTGTTTTTCTGTGGATACTTTACCTTTAACACAACACCTCTCAAAATTCTTACACTGATTCTGCTGAAATTAAAGAAGGGTTCATAATGCGCGTTTTATAAAATTAAATTTTTTGAGGGGTAATTAAAACAAGTGACATATTGACGAACTTCGGAGCATTATGACATAAAACATTTTTAAAAACAACGTCACAATCCCGGTTCTTCAACAGGGTTGCACTTTTTCTTTAAAAGATGGCTTTCGTCATTGTCAGCAGAACTTCCGCGATCATCAAAACTTTGGCTGATAAGGTCACTGTAATAGGAAGTTGCTGGCGGGTATTTAAGCGTATTTGAATAAATTAGTCGTTAATAAACGTAAGAAGGATGGAAGATATATTTCAGAAGATAAAAGATCTATTTTGCTAAATTAGCGTTAATGTTCCTATATTCCTCTCGCTTCCTGTTTGCTGCATGTTCCCTGTACGGTCTAAAATTTGGACTGAAGATATTCACTAAACAACAAACTCAATCGTCGGTCACTAAAATATCATGAAAGAAGCTAATCTTTAGTATAATGTATGCACAACCACATTATTCAGCCTTAGAAGACAAAATTCGCATTCGGACAATCATGATGGAAGATCTTTGTTTAAAATCCGAGCGTGCTGAATTCTCTATCTGTTGGAAGCCTGATCACTCTTCTTTGCTTTCTTGTCGCTTGTTTACACGTCTGTGGTAACAACACTTTAAAGTTTTCTTTATCGCCTTACGAATTTCAGGAAGCCGCCAAAAGTAGACTATGGGGTTCAACGACGAGTTTATAAACGCTATGGTTCCTGTGTATTGCAGTGCGATATTTTTGGTGGGGCTTGAACCTGTCACTTGAATCAAGCCAGCTGTACAAAAATATGGGAAAAAGCAAAAGAAGAGAATGAAGCAAACGTAAAACGTATTCACAGCTGACTTTGTGAAACGTGCGAACTGCAAATGCGATGAAGTTTCTTTTGCGCTTCCAACAGGAGCTTGAGATTGTATTTGGGCCTGGTGACGTCTCACAACGCGATAGATTTTAAAGTACATTAGAACTATAATAACAATGGAGATGACGAAGCTTGTTATTCCAATTACATAATAAGCTGTAGTATTTTGGGTCCAAATGACTCCCAAAAGAGAGGATGAACACCAACATAAAGCGATGATCACCACGATTTTTTTGTTAGTGACAATGGCTTGATATCTCATATGCAGGTGAAACGCCAGGTACCTATCTATACTTATAGCAGTTGCTATCGTAAAAGACGCCGCAGATAATACAACAGAAAGCACATCAAACGCCAGTGAGAGAGCGATTGGACCTTCTTCCTTTTCGACAAGGAAGATGATAGAGCAGGCCACTATTAAGGGCTGAGTCAGTATGCCAACGAGGAAGTCGGTCAGTGCAAGACCAAATAGCAAAGTGTTTGAAGGCGAATGGAGAGCTGGCGTCCGCCAAACAGCGATCAGTATGACTCCGTTTCCTAACGTTGCTGGGAATGAACAAATGGCATTAAGAATGCAGTTGATCAGGCTTGAAGTTCGCACTGCAGAGAGATCCTCTTCCAACGTACTTGAACTAAAATGAAGAGTAGACATTTGGCTCAGAAGGGAAAGAAAATATTCCGCTATGAAATATCTTTATTATAAATCTATACTTTGCAAACCCCATGCACTTTTCGACAAACCAATCATCTTTGAGGAAATTAGAACTGGCAAGTACCTGATTATCATTTAGATAAGTTGAAGAGCTTGTTTTTCTTGAAATTGAGTTTGAGTTGCAGCATTAATATACGCTTGATGTCGCCGGCACACGGAACTTAGATATAGCTAGATGCGTTAATCATACCTAAATTATCATTTTGTACCTTATATCAAGTTATTGTTTGTACCATATACCGAGCTATTTTTTTCGTTACCCAAGGTATTCATTTTAAGAGGAGTGAATCGGGTTCATTTCAAAATTTATTTAATAAGCTATTGATACAATAGACAGACAACTTTCAAAACTTGTTGGGCGCTGATGCTTTTTTGACCAAAAAAAAAAAGAACGCTAAGAAAAATGATAGAAAATGCCTAATTATAATTTCGATGTATTGAAAACTAGTTTTTGTTATTATGTTCACCTTGCAATATCTACATACATTTAATATCATACACGCAGTATAGACAGCTAGAGGAAAGATAATTTTGATGTTAAGTAATCTTAATTTAGCTTCCTTTATGTAGGCTCCTGGAATGTTCCAGAACACTTTGTAAATATATGACGACTCACTCATGTGGTAGGAGCAGTAATTTCTGTTGTCGGAGCGACGACTGTTTTGAAAGCTATACCGAGAGAGAGTTACGGCGGGAGATTGCTTATTTCAAGGAACTTTGGAGACAGTAGTGAGATTGTGCCATTGGTGAGCTAGGATATAGACTGTGGTGGGCTTAATTAAGTTTATTGACGATAAGTATTATACTGCTTTTGGGAGTCACTCCTTGTTAAAAACATTACTCACTGTTTAATAAAGTAGTATAAATAACTAATAAAGTAGTAAAAATAAAGTAATAAAGTCGAGTTTGTGGGATGGTAGATTTTTTTTTGGTCGGTTACTAATCTAGTAGATTATACCGTAACAGGTGAAACTGAAATGTGGACCACTTTTATTATAACGGAGCGGCCTAATTGCGTTTTTTTCTTTTATATTAAAGTAAATTCGATTTTCTCGCCTCCATAAATGCTAAGAAATGCTAAGAGTTTACAGTTATCTTGGCAAATTGAGAGAAAGTACAAAATTAAAAGAGTGATCGTAATTGTTTTATTATAGCAAACAAGTTTTTGTTGTGTGTAACACACGTTTTTGACATTGCTACACTTTAGAGCAAATGATCAAACAATCCTGGTGGTTTTTTGTGACTGGTGTGAGGCAATCGAGAGTTCTCTTACAGTTCTGTCTCCCATTTAGGTTTGACAATCCATCATCCATTTGGTATTCTTTTCGCTCTTCTTTACTGGGGACACGCTGTTGATTTAGTCCGTAATAATTCCTTTTAGGTCTCCCTCGTTTACTTCTGGCTGTAAGGATAGTAAAAAAGGGTGCTAAATTAGCGATTTTAAATTTTGGTAAAAGCAGTCCTGTACAGGGATTCTCAGTAACAAGAGTCCTGCTTGATAATGGAACCGTATTTAATTAAAAGAAAAATAGTACTAACTCGTATTAAAATGGTTGTCAAATCACTGCTAAATTAGCGATTTTAAACTTTTGGTAAAAGCAGTCCTGTACAAATTCTCAGTAACAAGAGTCTCCGTAAAACTGCTTGATAATGGAAACGTTATAATATTTAATTGAACGAAACAAAATGAAAATTTGTAATTTGCGAAATGAAAATGTTACCTGTGACGCACGGTAAGCTTCACAGAAACCACAACAGCCTCAGGTCATTTGTTGTCATTATGGTCAGGTCATTATGAATTACCACTTATGCAAGGTGAGATGTTAAGATTTAATAGTTTATTAAAGCAGACATCCGTTGAACGATTTGCAAAGATGAATTAACATGAGATCTTTACGGTAACGGATCAAAATTTGGTTTTGTGAAAATATTTCTTATCTTATTTTGGCAAAAGTGTAAAATAAAAAAAAATGTGGTCTCTGAATAAGAGTTTGAAACCCGCCATCAAAGTTTCCTGAATGCGTCCCTCCCTTAGCAATGTTTGTGCCATTACGGTAAGACGTGGTTTAGAGTGCCATGTGGTTAGTATCTCAGCAGGTGCTGGAGTTGGTCTTAAAGGAAGGCAAAATCCATAACAAAAGGGTTTATGTCCCCGAATATTGAATATTTACACGAAATGGTGTATTAGTGCGAATAATTTTATTAGAAATTATAAATCACCATCCCACAAACATTTTTATATAATCTAAATGAGATTTTGTCTCGTCTGCAAAAGGTGATATAGATGTTCAAATTCCCTTTCAAATTTCTAAATAGATGGAAGACCTCCGAAAGAAACAAATGTCAGTGCAAAACTAAGCAAAATCAAATTAGGGCTTCTTTGTCTGTTTTGTCAGCTGTTAGGTAAGTGCATTTGAATATCTGTCATCAATTTGCCTTCTAGTTGCTCAGCAAACCACGAAAAATTAATGCTACTGATCAGCACAGCCTCGTCCAATTTCGAGTTTAGGAGAATTGTGTAAAAAAAATGTCGCCAAATTGTTTTAAATTTGCTTTCTTGTATATTAGTAGTGTAAAATGAAATGCTGAAAAAAATGAAACGGGAACTTAAAATCAAAATGACGTCAACAAATAAGTGTAAATGTGTCCTTCTTGTTAAAGATTTACTTAACATTTATTGGTTCCCTAGATGGTAAGTGCACCCTGCAGAGTAGATATATTCCAACATGTATTACTAAGAAGGGGATTTGTGTAACAAAAAGCTTGCCTAAACCAAAAGTTCTTTGTTGATTTTGGTTTGATAATCCTGCAAGACCATTTCTCTACATTAAGAGGTCCCGTTCTGATCCACTGCATGCCATATCTTCAATGCAAACTTAGTACGAGTAGAGTGCGAGTTGGAAAACGTTAGTCTTGATCACAACTTAATGATACCCACCAGGTCATGGATTGAAAAAAATGAACAAATAATGATTACAAAACAGTTCATGAAGACAAATCAACACTAAAACAGGCAGCACTGTTAAGTTTAGCGTCGTTCCATGTCCTTAGGTTAAAACGTTGTTTCGAGTACGAGTCAATACTTCAGCAGGTGGCAGGCGTGTTACCATGGTGACATCATAAAAAAGAGGAGATCTTTTACGAATTTATCAATCAAGCGCAACACGGGTCTTACACTTTATCCAAAGGTGATCGAGTCTTTAGATTGGAAATTCACTACATCGTGCTTCAGCGTTGTATCTTCGCGCGAAATGGCGCGTATCATCATTATTGATTAGAATCTTTATTTCTGTGTTTACACACTCAACTATATCTGAGTGAATTTCACCAAGGGAAAGCATTACTTTCATCAAAATTTCTACGTTTATCTTTCGACTAGTTTGATTGAAATGACAGTAAATGAACGAAAATTTTGTCTGCTGAAGCGAATACTGGTGAGATTGCCTCTTCTCTATCCGTCTTTTCAATTGAGCTATTGGATATACGTCAATTTGGAGAGCAATTGGCACAGCCAAAACAAATATGAAAACATTTACGAGCTCTTAAGCTGTTTTTGCAGCCGTCAGATGAGTCCGTTTGAGAATTCACCATCAATTCGACTACTAATTGCTTTTCATTCTCGAGTTTCGAAATTAAAAAACCGGACTATGTTATGTGTCTCCGGCGTTTTGGAACATTGGATATTTCTCAGAAATTTGTCTTTAATCCTTTCTCAGTTTATCTGTAATAAAACGTGTGTTCAAAAACTTAAACGGAAACTGAAAAAAGAAATTAACATAGCAAACAAATATATTTTGAATTAATAATTTATGTTTTTCTAACATTTATTTCGCGGTTCAGGATAAGTTAGGATCTACATGTGGATTTTACAATATACTTATTTGAACACGTATTAGGAGCTTGCTGTTCAAGAGAAATGTCCTCCGTGAATATTGTTTCAAATAACCAAGAAGATGACATCTCTACATTAAGAACTTCAAGACTTATCAACTGCATTTTAAACGCCATTTGTTCATTTCCAGCTGCTTTTGGAAATGGAATCATACTACTCGTTATTTGGAGGACGCCATCTCTTCATTCACCTTCAAACACATTATTGTTTGGTCTGGCGCTGACAGATTTCCTCGTCGGTTCGGTTACTCAGCCTTTAAAAGTCGCCTCTTCTGTGATATACCTCGTGTCCGATGAAGAAGGTCCAGTCTCTCTTACCCTGGCGTTTGATTTTCTCTCCGTTGTGTCATCTGCGTCGTCTTTTTTCATAGCAACTGCGATAAGTGTAGATAGGTACCTGGTTTTTTACCTGCATATGAGATATCAAGCCATTGTCACCAACAAAAAAGTCGTGGTGATCATCATTTTATGTTGGTTTTTTTCCGCATTTTGTGGATTTATATGGACCCAGAACACTACAGTTTATTACCTTGTTGGAATCGTTTCTTTCCTTGTCTCGTTCACTGTTATCATTTTGATGCACTATAAAATCTATCGCATTGTAAGACGTCACCAGGCCCAGATTCAATCTCAAGCTCGAGTTGGAATCGAACAAGAAGCGTCAACACAAATACGGTTCACTCGTTTCACAAAATCAGCTATAAACACGTTTTACGTTTGCTTTATTCTGTTTCTTTGTTTTTCTCCATATGCATGTGTAGCCATTGTAGTTCAGTTTACAGGACAAAGTCTCACTAAATTTGTCGCACTGCAGTACACAGGGACGATAACGTTCATAAACTCGGCGCTTAATCCTGTGGTATACTTTTGGCGACTGCCTGAGATGCGAAGGGTTATAAAAAGAACCTTCAGGTGTTGCTTTAGACAAGCACGCGTGCGGCACGAAGAAATAAATTCCACTGAATTATCAGGCATGGGAAGGAAATTCGCCGGATCTACATGTAACGATTTCTGATTACAAATATTTAATTGTGCCCCTTGCTGGGTATTCCGTATGAAATCTGGAATATAACTTAATTAATCTTTTGATGGGTCGAGACACGTTCAAGACAGCATGTTTAAATTTTATAGGATATTGTTTAATTACACAGTTATTGAGTGTGGTAATTCTCCCAAAATAGGTATTGAAAATGCTTTTGAAAGGGAAAACAGATTAAACTCGCCCAGCTGGCAGTCACACACACGTCACATGTGAAGTTAGCATGTTGCAAAATCCTTGTTATCAACCCTGGACTTGATGTCGGCCTAACTAACCCTTGTGCGACTCGAGGGAACTGAATTAAAGATCTTTCCATAAACAGCTAGCCCCCCTTACGTAACAAAAACTTAGGCTCGTGGAGTGGGTAATGAATAAAACGGAAAAGACGCTTTGTAATTTGTTATTTTTTAATTAATCGAAAACACTTTCGCCAGTTTCAAAGAATGCGCCTACCCCTGAACTTTTTTCAATGGAAGAGCCTTTGCCTGAAATTTTTGGAAAGTTTCCATCTCACAGGCATCATGAACTTATGAAATGATTAGCGTGCAGCGTGCAACCATTGAGTAATGGTGCACGCCTGAGGTTGCTAAGCACAAAAGAAGTGTAAGAGTCGCATGAGGCAACAAATCGCGTCAATCCAAATAGCTTTGGTCGACTGGATTAAACTCTAAAGGGGGTAAGTTTCTGAAGAAACTGTGGTGCTGCGTCGGTGGGAAAGTATATAACAGGGTAATTTGGTATATAAACTGAGTTGTCGTAAAACCGTGGCTGGGGCTTAGACCTCCAGTAAATAACCAGCTCATGGGTTGTGCCATACATCTCATCGACTTTCTAATAAGCCTCAATTTTTGATTCTACTCTTTGTCCGCTATAAACCCGTCAGCTCGGTCGGACAATCAACTTCAAGAATGCGGAAGTCCACGCTGGCAAAGATCTTTTTGGATATTGATTACGCCGACATTTCGAGTTGAGGGGCTATCCATTTGCAACAGGTCACGACCCTGTCGGATGAAGAAAGATGTCAGATGTCTATCAATATAATTGGACATAGAGAAAAACATGAGTTTCTTTAGTGTATTCATCTTTCACATTTCTATATTTGTTAGTTATTGTTATTTTCTTTGACCATTGACTTCCGCTTCCCTCAGTACAGTTCTTCTATCACACTCAGTTTGTTTCAAAGCAAAGTAAAAAGTTCATGATAACATCAGAAAACTACTTAGTATAACAAAAAAAAAAGCTTGACAATTTATGATTAATTACCAATTAGCTCCCTATGTGACAAAATAAATTTAACTTTATATTTTGCGTTCATTTACTCTAGATATGATAGAAAAACCGTCAAAACACGTTTCAAAATTCAAAGGCTGTTTGTTTCTCCTTAAATTGGTCGATTGATTGATTGTTTTCAGGAGCACTGAACAACTGTTAAGCCAAACCTCTTTTTATCATTGAAATCCAGGATGCTCAGAACTAAAATCGTGCTTTGTAGCGCTAAAAAAAAGATCTAGGTTTGACCTCTATGGGATGTACAAGAGCTACAAATTAAATGTTTGTGAACCCACCTAGATCGTCTGCTTATAGACCCGTAGAATGTCAGGGGACTGACCTGAGACGTTGACAAAACGACCCTCGGCTGAAATGGACGCTATGGTTGGATCAAACTGATGATCTAATCGGTTTAGTGGAATAAACGTAGGGCTGGTAATAAAATCAGAGACCGACACATCCTCTTGGATGCCATGTATACAATCACGCGGGTAGAAAAAGTAACTTAAAAAACTTAATAAGAATTGGCCATAGACTTTCGATGACAATAGACCAGACAATAGAGGAAGTTGGTGTAAGAGCAAAAAGCAACTGTCTGTTGTATTAAAATAGCAGATCACCGCTGTGAAAATAGATAAGGATTCCGAGGTGCAATTATTGTGTAAAGATAACTCTCTCGTCGAGGAGAGCAAATTAATATAAACCAGTTGCTCTCTCTCTCTCAAGCTCAAAAGCGTAAATGGTTAGACAGAATCTTTGTCGGTTTTATCTTTGAATCTTTGCCCCTGATTACGTAGCTACACTACTTTAGAGGGTTTTCTGAAATCAGTTAAGTTACTAAGTTTGACAGCTGATACGTAAATAGCTGACGGAGATATGTTCTTCCGCGAAAAAAGCGTCATTTTACACATTTAATATGATGGTTTTGAACGCATCTTTCTAAAACTTGGCATATTGACTGATTATAAAACACTGTTTCAGCATTTAGGATGTATTTTTGGAAAATGGTACAAATACTGCAGAAGAGTCTATTATCGGTTATTTTGTATGTAGAGCGAAGAAAATTTGGAAATTTTAAACAAACTCAGCTTTTAACAGTAGCTTTTAGTAGATGTGGCAATTTTCATTGTAGAATGATGTATTGGTAACATATACTTTTTTGTAAAACAATAACTCACTTGATGGGAAAGTATCCACATCCTACAATTCTCTTCTTGTCAGCAGTTGATTTAACATAAATGGATGCATTGTCTTGAAGTAAAGTACCAAGTTTACTCTCTTAAATCGAGACAAATCGGGGACAAAGAACTTGACACAGCTCACCAAAAGGGAACCACCAAAGCCTCAGGGTAGATCTAAAAATCATGTTTAATAAAGTGCACATGTGAGTTGAAATCTAGAAGAGATTCTTTGTAAAATGTGAGAATAGTTTCATAGGATTGCAGTTAAGAATGTACAGATGCCTTACTGTTTATGAACCTGAAGATATTGTGTGCAACCCAGGCCGCCAAGCATTATATACATGAAAACTATGCACCTTGTATATCTTGCATGGTTATTAATTACTGTTATCATATTGGATATATTGTACAGTTTACAAATTCATTGTAATGAAAAAAGGGGCTGGTCACATTTTTTCCATTATGAAAAGTCTTATACTGGTGTTTTTTGAGAACTAGGCAAGTGTTTTGCGATTTTAAAATTATATGCTTATTTTAATAATCCAGGAAGACATGGAGAAGAATGTACATTGTATGTGTTATTGAAATGACTTAAATTTTCTCTTAGTCAAGCCAAGTTGTATGAATACTGAAAATTGTCAGAATTGCCATGGTTACCATGCTTTGAGTATAGGATTTCCTTTGTTTTGGTTTGGCTTTGTTTTTGTTCAGGGACAGAAAGATACTTAGCGATCTAGTGCAAAATATAATTTTTTTTTAACATAGAGTTGAGTTCAGGATTGCTTATAAGTTTGCATTTCTGGGGAAAGTTTCTACAGTCTATGAAATAATGTATAATTTGCAAATGTTTAAAATGTTTGCAGCCTAGGTATACTTTGGAAAGGGCTCCAGCTGACATTTGAGGGAAATACTGTTAACTGAGCAAAAGTTTGAGAAAAAAAAGAATAATTTCTATCAATTCCCTAAATTTTAAAGATGCAAGACAAACAGCCAAAAAAAAATGACGGTATCGCCCCCTGCCTTTTGGTGAAGGTTCATTTTCTCTCCTTCCTGGGTGGATTTGTATTGATAGTACTATAAGTGGGCACATTGGTGAAATACACCTGAACGGATTTAAGTGAAAATTTGTCATAACAATGCAATGTGCAATCTAGGGTATTCATATGGCATGAGATATGGGAGAATTCTCTTTTTTTCATTTTATAAATTTAAGTGACCATTCAAACGCACATTCTTTGGATTCTCTTAAGTTCAATTCTTTCGTAAGTATCTCGCACGCATTCAGGATTCTCTTTTAACCGATTGGTTTGTAAGTAATTCTCACACTCCAAGTGAATTTTCTTTCTTTCGATTGTTTAGTTAGTTTCTCGCTTACTCTAATTTCGATTAGTTCGATTGTTTCAGGAGAATCTCGTGCACTCTTAGATTCCCTTTCATTCGATTGTTTCGTTAGTATGCAAGACCCGCGCACAATTTGGATTCGCGTAACTTCAATTATTTCTTAAGTATCTTGCGCATTCTGTGGATTCTTTTCAATGCCGTTGTTGCGTCAGTATCTTGCACACTGTTAGGATTATCTGAAGTTTGATTTTTCCTTTATCTGGGATACTTTAAGGATTCTCTTTAGTTATTTCATTGTATTGTTTCGTTAGTATCTCGGCACTCTGAGGATTCTTTTTCATTGGATTGTTTCGTTAGCTAGTATCTCGCGCACTCTAAGGATTCTTTTTCATTGGATTGTTTGGTTAGTATTTAGCGCGCTCTGAGGATTCTTTTTCATTGCATTGTTTCGTTAGAATCTCGGCACTCTGAGGATTCTTTTTCATTGCATTGTTTCGTTAGCTTGTATCTCGCGCACTCTAAGGATTCTTTTTCATTGCATTGTTTCGTTGGTATCTCGGCACTCTAAGAATTCCTTTTTATCATATTGTTTCGTTAGTATCTCGCGCTCTCGGAGGATTCTCTTTAGTTTGATTGTTTCGTTAGTAGCTCGTGCACTCCTAGGATTTGCTTTCATTGGATTATTTGTTTGTTTGTTTGTTTCGTTGGTATCTTGTGCAGTCTGAGAATTCATTGGATAGTTTCGTTAGTATCTGGGACACTTTGAGGATTCTCTTTTTTAGCTCGAATGTTTCGTTTGTATCTTGCGCAGTCTGAGGACTCTATTTTATTAGATTGTTTCGTTTGAATCGGAGTAGTGCACTGTAAGGATTCTCTTTTATTAGATTGTTTCGTTAGAATCGAAGTAGTGCACTGTAAGGATTCTCTTTTATTAGATTGTTTCGTTAGAATCGAAGTAGTGCACTGTAAGGATTCTCTTTTATTAGATTGTTTCGTTAGAATCGAAGTAGTGCACTGTAAGGATTCTCTTTTATTAGATTGTTTCGCTAGAATCGAAGTAGTGCACTGTAAGGATTCTCTTTCATTAGATTGTTTCGTTAGAATCGAAGTAGTGCACTGTCAGGATTCTCTTTTATTAGATTGTTTCGTTTGAATCAGAGTAGTGCACTGTAAGGATTCTCTTTT